GATGTCTGGTAATGGGGCTAGCATAGGGGATCTGTGGTGTGGTGTGGTAGTCGCGCATGGAGCGCAAGAGGGAATTAAAGAAAAAAACACACAGAGAATTCGAGAAGAAGATCTTTTCTAGAAAAAAAAAAAAAACACCAAAAGAGAAGAGAAGAGATACAACTAGGGAGTTACATTCAAACCACGACAGTTAAAAATGAATATAACTATATCATGCGTCATGCGTTGTAACGTTTGGAATATGATTTTTGAATTGCTTTGTTATTGCCCCCATTTTTGAAACAATTAAGGGTATTCTAATAAGTAAGTATAAAGAAAAAAAGAATGTGTTTTGTCTCCCTGGATCAGCCACTGTCGCATGGATTTCCAGTCCTCGAACGCCGCACTGTTGATGATGTTTTTTTTCAAGTTGACAATAACTAGCGTGTCAGATGTATGAAACTACACTCCGATGTAACCAGGGCATTATCTTATCACTCATCAGGAAGAAAAATCAAATGCTCTCAATTTTTTTTTTTTTTTGGCGACCCTGCTATAAAAAGTCTAAAAGATGTAAAAATAACAACAAAAAGATAACGAGCCACAAACGGGGCGGTGCAGTGGGGTAATTTTTCCCCCACCCGCCATGGCACCCAATCGGATCGCGGAAGACCCCTGATAGATTCCCAAATCTGGTGGGGATCTTGTTAGCGCGCATCTGTGGGGCGGCCTGAGTTGTGGCTCATGCTCAAACTTTCCCACATGCGCTTCCCTTTTCTTATTGGAAATTCGCTCGAGGGATAACAGTACCACAAAAACGGGTCATAACTAACACGCAGCCAGACGCAGAATTGACAAATGGATAAAACTCACAATAACTAATCAAGAGAATTCGCATAGATAAGTTTTGAGTCTGTTGGTTACCTCATTCTCAAAGTGTTTTGGATCTGGGGCACCACCGTACGCCAATCGCACATTTTTTACTCGGGGTAGCGAATGTCATTGTTGAAGCTAACTTATCTCCCTTATCTCCTGCAGGAAATAATCATAGAACCTTATGATATCATTGGCTATGCACCTTCCTAACAAGGGAAAAAATCAACAAATAAGAAAGAAAAAAAGTATCGTACAAGAACAGAACACCAAAAAAAACACAAATGACTGCATGCACACAGCCACAGCACACGGGGCCGGGCCAGTCAACTTGACGACATACATTATGTTCCCTCTGTTACCTTGTGGCTTGAGTCCAGACTTAGGCGTAATTTTTTTTTTTTCGCATTTCGTATTTGTCTTGTCTTGTTTTTTTCTTTTTCTCTTTCCAAAATTCCATGCTAGTTGTTGTCAAGCTTTTTGGTAAACTAACTAAAACCAAAACCGGTTTCGAAGGATCTACCTCCGAATTTGAAATAAGCCGTACGGAGTAACTATTATCCGTTTAATTGTGATGCGCGTGTTTGCTTTGTAGGGCTGAATCGAGCGAGCCCTCCTCCACAATGAAATGAACAACCAGAACAGCTAGCAAAAAATAAAATAAAATAAATGGAAATAGGGAAAAAAAAAAAAAAAAAAAAAGTTAAGAATGCATCCCCTTCGTGGGACACACAAAAAAAGGCAATTCAAATAAAAAAACCTTTGAACCTTAATATATATGTATGTCATGTTCACATGCATGCTTCTTGTTTCTCACTGCCCATATCTATCTATCGCAATCTGCCGTCTGAAACACCGTCCCCTCATACACACGCAACGCTAGTGAAGGAAGGGCAGGAACCCGTCTTGATCCCTGACAAAGGCTAAAATACAAAGAAGAACAGAAGGAAATGAAATGAAAGAAAAAAGAAAAAGATAATAAGCGGAAATGGGAACAAAACAAACATACAAGCAAGCAAAAGCGGAAGATGGCAGCCCCGAATCTTCGGCTTTGACTCCAAGCGGAGGCCGGCGCGCCGGGAAAAGGGACGGGGGGAACGCGGGGGGGAGAGGGGGGAGAAGCCGGGAGTAAGCAATGGTCTTTTTTTTTCGTTAGTTGATTTGTCATGCTCTGTCCAACGAACTTTATTGTTGACGCAGCGCATTTTAATCAAATCACTGTGTTGCACCCCTTGTATGCAGTGGAGGAGTCAATTTATTATTATACCAGTTGTAATCGTATGTATACAAATAATGAAGGGAATTGCTTTGCTTCAGCGATCCCCTCAGCGACCCCCAATCTCACTGCAGTTCCACATTAAGACCTGTAATTTCTATTATTAGGGCGTCCGTCCGTCCCTTGTGGAGAAGTGGAAGGTGAGTGAAGGAAGGTTTGAGGAGATCAACAAAATATAATACATGATTCATTGATTCTTATGATGATTAGTTTTGCTTATTTTAAGCTTTTTTTCTTTCTCCTTGCTATTACGATAAGCCAAAAAAAAAAAAAAAAAAAAAAAAAACCGAGGGAATCCGCGTCCACCGCGGCGCCCGCGGCACCACCTGCCGAGGACCTATCAGCGACGCAGAAATCCTGGTGGGAAATCATTCAACAAGGCGTCGGCTATTGATGCTTTGGATTCCCGAACCGAGGTTTCTCATCCAGGGAATATCTTTCTTCCTTCCTCCCTTCCTTCCTTTCCACGCAGGAATTTCTCCGCATCAAAATCAACTTGAACATATCCGGCGGAAGAAAAAAGAAAAGAAAAAAAAAGGAAAACAAGGTTCTTCCATCTTCCCGCCACGAAGTAAATTGCATCAAAGAATCAAGATATAATACATCAAAACTCCAACTGAGTACGTCTGTCTTGTGAGAGAAACAAATAAAAAAAAAAAAAAAAGGGGGGGGGGCTATGCCCGGGAATTTATTAAACCTCTTCTTGGTCCCCCCTTGTTTCCCCCTGTTTTCCCCCCGTTTCCCCCGGGGCCCCCCCCAGAGATTTTCCCCTTTCTGCACCGAGTGCTCCGTCGGAGAAGCTGGCTGTCATACGTCGTTACGTAGGGCTGGCCAGTTAAAGTTTGCATTTTGCTTGGAGGTGGAGGATTCGTGGGGCCGTTTTCTTATTTGACTTGTCTGAGTTATCTCGACTACTACCTCATTGCTCTGCCGAGACAAGTTACTAATACTAGTACGGGTTCCTTGTAATATTATGGAAAAAGGCAGGCAGGCATTCCAAGCGTGAAGAAAAGACGGGAGGGCGGGAAAAGAAATCTTCTGAGTTTCGACTCAAGCTCGAGAGAGATAGAACCCTCTTTTTGTCTGGGAACTGGGCGGAGCCCCACGGAACGGGAACTTTTTTAGAAATTCGTCGGGGTATCCTGGGCGCGGTTGAGAGGGAGGTGAGGGATGATGATAACAATTCATAATTGTAGATACTGTTTGCACTCCGTAGTCGGTACTGTTTGGTGAGATTATTTTTGTTTCTATTTATATGGTCCAATGAGGGTATTTTCTTTCTTTTTCCTCTTTTTTTTATTCGTTCCCGTTTGCACTGCAGGGTAGCGGTGCATATCTATCTGTATTACGGCCGGAAGGTAAAGGAGATGTGTAGTGAGTGATGAAGGTGGGATTGCCCCAACAAGATGTCTTACTTCTCATGATATCTGATATGCAGATGTATGTACAGATGCACAGTACATACTTTGTATGTTGGCAAGCAAAGAGATAAAAATATATAGGCATGATGGCCACTCATATCCAAGTTTCTATATATAACTAAATAATATTTTGCTTAGCCCCAACACAAGCCAATGAATATGTGCCATAGCAAAAAACCAGGTTGGTGTCGGTGCTAATTGGATGACCGCAGCAAGTCTGCCAAACAAGTCCGGAGTTATCATCCATACTGATACCGGAGGAAGGTATCGGGTAATTGTAACATATCCAAAGCCGATTTGTTTCGGACTTATGGATAACAAGGACCGTTGCCAATGCAAATGATCTCCAGCCGGCTTCTAGAAGGAAACGGCACTTGGGATCCTCTTGCTCAGCGGCCGCTCCCGTGTGAATCAAGGGGAGAAAATATTGAAATACCGAAACACCACCTTGCTGAGAATTGGCTGGCCCCCTCGAGGAAGCGGAGATTTTTTTTTTTTTTTGGAAAATCGGAGTTTGGAGATAACTCTTGGAGATAAAGAAAGGGCCTCTCCTAATTTCCATTCTTGTGGCGTTGGTGTTTTGAACAAATGTAATCACGATTATCACCCGACCAGATAGAAAGCAAGTTTTTTTTTTAAAAAAAAAAACTCCCTCAAGGGAGAGAGGGCAGCAGTAAATGAATCACTATTATTCACGGCAAGGCAGCCGTCGATTGGGCGATCATATACAAAAACAAAAGTATGTCGACGAGGCTGTTTTCTTGCACGTTCCGCTGAAGCAGAGCGTCGCACAGCGTCGTAGGGCGGTTGTAAGAAACCAAAGAATGACAGAAAGAAAGAATGACAAGAAACCTGTCGCAGGCCCAAAACCGTCCACGAACCAGCTCGACCTGCGGGTTGCAGGCCACCGTCCAGCCTTACGCGGATAGACCCATTGCACAACACAACGAAGAGAGGTTTGGGTTTGGGGAAACGGAGAAGATGCATGGCGTCACATGAAGCTTGCATACCGCAACAATGGGTGCGTTGGGTGGTTGAAACTGGGGTCTGCGCTATGATGAAGAACGGTGAAGCAGGATGGGACTCGGGCAAGGATCAAGCCACGATGATTCAAAGTAATAATGGGATTTTATTTTATTATATTTTAGGTTATTTTAGCGTCGTTGGCTAGTTCGGTGGATTTCTTTTGGGACAGATGCATACGAGCTATGTATCATCAGGCGGGTTCATTCCATGCATTGATTGCATTTTCATTGCATGGACGGTACTCCATGCTCTGTACAGAATGTTGTCGACTCGGGCGAATAGTCGTACCGTCCGTTGTTGGAGAGGTTCCTCATACAGGGTAGTAGTAGTAGTAGCAGTGATAGGAGAAGCGATAGCAGCAAAGCAAGGGCTACCTTGAGCGTCCATAGGGCTCGGACGACGGATCATGATCCCTTGTACATATCATGGCCGGCAAAGGGAGATTTGATGTCGGAACTCACTTCCCTTTCTGGCTCTTTGGGATCCAAGTAAGCCCTACGCAGCAAAACTCCGTCCTGACTCTTCAAACCTTTTTCGAGACTCGGCCCAATCGGAGAACCCCGTTCCGTATCGAATGTCTTTTTGCATCCCCGGCGTACTAGGGGCTGGGCGGGGCAGAGGCTTAAATTTTTGTTTTTTTTCGTTTTCTTTCCTTTTTGCAGTACTCCACGTACAATATACCGTATTCCGTACAGTATTTTGCTGGTTGGTTCTTCGCCTGCGACCCTTGTCCCGTCTTGTCCAGGGACTGAGACCCAGACACAGACACAGACACACGGATACCGCGCCAATACCACCCCATACCACACCAGGCCACCACCTTCTTCACTGCCGGGTCCTAGCGTGGCTGCGCACTGCCGATGCAGAGGGAAGGGGAGCAGAAGCAGGAGCAGCGGTCATCGATTGACTCGACTCGACTCGTCGGCGCCGTCGCTAGCGGCAGACTGGCATGGCCGTCTGGCAGAGTGTCAACGTACGTAGCTAGTGCCGAGTGGAGAGTGTGGTCCTGATGGAGGCATTGGACGCCAGCCTATGACTGCTGTGGCATAGCGTGGACAGTGGCCTGCGTGTTGCGCCTCGCCTGGACTCCGCCAGAGTCACTCCTCCTGCTGCTGCTCCTGGTGCTGGTCCTGGTGCTCCTGGTGCTTCTTGTTCATCTCCCTGTATTGCGTAGGGCAAACAAATCAGATCCGCGATCGTTTTTTTGTTCCTCTCGGCGCTTTATAAAACTATCCCCGCCGCCCTTTGGTCCTCCTCGTCCTCCTCGACTGCCGTTGCTTGTTCTCCTCTCCCCCTTGCACTCCTTTTTTGGTGCTTCTGTTATACTGTTGACTATATTTACTTGATTTCTCTTCCTGACTCCAACCTCTCTGCCAATGGATCTTCCCCTTCTGCCGTTTCTGCCCTCAACCTACCCCTAACAGCAAAAGACAACGTCGCAGGGAAAACATCAAAAAGGAAAAGGTGAAAAAAAAGAAAAGAAATAAAGATTAAATCCGGTCGTGCCCAAAAATAAATAGAGCTCGTCTTCCCCCGCGATTTGCCACTGCGAGATCTTCTCAAGCTCAAGCTCAAACAACTCCCACCACTCGATCAATCGCCGTCCTCGTACAGTCGAACAACGAGCTAACTACCACTCTCACTCTCCCACATCAATCTCTTCCTCTCCCTCTGTCTCTTTCTGTGTCGCTTTTCTACCTAGCTGGCCTGCTCTGTTCAACCCGCGATTCTGCCTTCTCATTGGCTGTGTCCATTCAGTTCCAGCACCTCCGCCAAATCTCTAGTCCTGGCTGCGCCATTCATCCTCGTCCACTCCTTTGCCAGTGCTCGTGCCCGTCGGCTCTTCTTCAGCCATTTTTACCCCTTCAGCTCTCCAGGGACACATCCCCACGAACACCCTTCTCTTGTCTGAACAAGAGGACTGGTTCTCCTTCTTCTATCTGTGCTTGCCCTACATATTATTTTTAACTGCTGCGGACCGTCCCGTTTATCCTCCTTCCGTGGTTTCATGCTTGGCGCCAGTTGCGAACATCAACAAGTGCCGCGAAGCATCGAGCAGTGCGTTGTTCTGACGAAAATTTAATTTGGGAACAGACAGAGAGAAGAAAAAAAAGAAAAGAAAAAGAAAAGAAAAGTGACTGGTACGGTGATTCGCGGCCCATAATCCCGTTTCTTTTCTTTTTCCTATTTCCAATATTGTGATTTCTTTTTCTGCTTCTGATCCAATTTGGATATAAACCAGCCCCAGTCAGCTGACAGCGTTCTATACAAAATAGCCAAAAAAACATATTTGCCTGATACTGCGCTGACATTGGCTCCCGTTCCGCGTTTTTGCTTTTTGATGAACGATCTGATCTGCTCAAAAACGACGCCAGAAAAACTTTGTTGCTGGTGTCTCTGTTTTCCCCCTTCCTTGCCGCTTCTATCTGCCTGCGTGGTGAGCAGAAAAGGGCGCTTCCGCCTTTCTTCCTTTCCAACGGCCCAACAATGCTAGCGCTGGAGCGTTCTCGTCACGAGCAATCCTATCTTCAGCAACTCTCGATGGATCCCTCGATGCATGATCCCTTTGGTTCGCTGAATATTGACGGCTACAATCATCTGGGCTACAACCCGTTCCCCGTAGGCACAGCTTCTTTCATAGAGGCTCCTTCGTTCTTGGTAGAGGCTCCCCAACACTCCTACAGCGACGACCATCCCAACAATCAGAAATTCGAGTCCTATGCACATCACCCTTCTGCTTCCCCCTCTATAGCCACTGCCTTCTCCTCCGACCTCAGCACGTCGACAATCTCATCCGCATCTGGCCCTTCGCTGCCAAGCACCTCGTCGTCTACCATCGGTTCTCCATACCAGGATAGCTGGATCGACATGAACAGCACTTCAGGACTAGGACCCGCCACTGTGGGTAGCGATGGTTACCCGCAGGAGTACGTCAGTGCTTCCATGGATGGTGAGGCGCTGTTTGCGCATGAAAAGCTCCCGGATAGCTTTGTGGGTGAGTGCGAAAATATTTTTCCTTCTGTCCAGCCTTCGCAGATGCCCGAACTGCCTGCACAAACTACTCAGCTTGTAACAAAACCCTCTGTTTCTACATCCGCATCCGCATCTCCTCCAGTAGTAGATGGTCGTTTTGGTGCACTTTCTTCCTCTCCTTTTACATGGCCACACTCAGATGTTGCAGCCCTGGCTAGCAAGAATCAACAAATTCAATCCATGTCCCCCCCCTCAAGCACTGCCACTCTTGCAGGAGGGATATTATCGCGCAAGTATTCAAGCAGCGGAACCAGTGGACGCGGGCGTGCGCTGGTCTCCCTAATAGCCCGATCGCTGAGTGGTGATTCTCCGGCTCCGGCCAAGTGCTCGCCAGAGATGCGCAGCAGAAAGCGGTCTATGACCCAAGACTCAGACATGACCACCTTTGAAGCGAGGAAAAGGTCCACTACAGAGGCCAGAATGAAACAACGAGATATCCTGCAGTCTCCAAAGAGAAGCCCTAAGCCTCCAAGCTCCAGACAGAAGAGGCCATTTGAAAACTCTTTCTTTAAACAGAGCAGCGGGAATTTTGTGCCGCCGCTCGAGTCATCTTGTTGGTTTTTTTCTTTTTTTTTTTTTTTTTTTTCAAAACTTCCTACTTGATACCCCGTACAAACTACTTTGTGTACTTCTTGTGTTTGCTGTTGACATGATTTTTTTATATTCTCTTGTTATTTCATTATGATACCCAACGCTGTGATCGTTATACAGTTCATGTCCTTGTTATGTTTTTGTTTCGTTTTCATTATTTCGCGCATTTGAGGTACTTTTTTGTCTCTTCTCTCATATACTATGGTCGCTAACATATCGCTTGGCATGTATAGATCCGTCTTTGATCCAACCAATGCAACAACAAAGCAGCTACCCACCTCCCACCCTGTCATACGCAGAAGAAATCCAGTACGCTTTTGCACGATCACCCATCTTCAACTCCACATCTCCCGCCGCATCGCCTTTACCCCAATCACAAACATTACACCACCCACAACACCACCAGTCCGCTCTCCCCTCTCCTTATCTTACACAATCCGGATTCCCTCCTCGGCCGTTTTCATTTCCTGGAAGAAGATCGTCCATCTCCTCTCAGAATTCGCGCCGGTCGCAACACAGTCCCCTGGCGGGTAGTGTCGATTACGAGGAAAAGGGAAAAGAGAAGGGTCGTTGTCCCCACCCGGATTGTGGGCGGGTATTCAAAGATCTGAAGGCCCATATGCTCACCCATCAATCAGAACGACCGGAGAAATGTCCGATCGTAACCTGCGAATATCACCTGAAGGGATTCAGTAGGAAATATGATAAAAATAGGCATACATTAACACATTACAAAGGGACGATGGTGTGCGGCTTCTGTCCCGGTTCCGGCTCTGCTGCAGAGAAGAGTTTTAACCGTGCCGATGTGTTCAAGCGACACCTGACTTCTGTTCATGGCGTGGAGCAAACTGCGCCAAATAGCCGGAAGAAAACGCCGCCTACGTCAAACCGAAAGGCTGCAACTTACAGCCATGATGCTACAGGAAAATGCTCGACATGTTCCTCAACGTTCATCAACGCGCAGGAATTCTATGAGCACTTGGACGACTGTGTTCTGCGGGTCGTCCAGCAGGAAGAGCCCAGTGAAGCCATCAATCTTAAACGATTGACAGAGGTGGCCTCTGACGATGCTGTGCGACAGACCATGGAGAAACACATGCTTGTTGACACGGCCAATGACGCGATAACGAACAATACCCAAACCGACGACCATGATGATGATAACAATGACTCTAACGACCTTTCAAACAACGACACCACCAACAGCAATAATAATACCACAAACACCAAAGGCCTATCCGCTGGTAAAGGCTCTCTAACACCATCCGCCTCATCAACCGCCGCCACCACCAATCCCACCTCATCCTCCTCTATGCTCTCCAAACCCTCCACCTCCTCCACTCTCACAGCCTCAGGCATCACAAAACCCCGCTCAGCCACCTCCCGCCGTCGAAACAACCGCAACAACTACCCCCCATCCTGGGGCAGCCCAACCAACAAAATGAAAATGAAAAAACGCGTCCTCTGCCTCTTCGACGGCCAGCGCCGCCTCTGGAAAGACGAGATGATGCTCGACAATGAATTCGAGGTGCGCCTGAAGTTACTCGGCGGTGCCGATGGCACTGACAATTCCAACGTCCGCGATGCGTATGTTACGGATTTGGACGTGGAGACGCTAAAGCGTGCTGAGGCAGTGCATGGGGCTACGGAGGAGGAGAGGGGCCCCTGGGATGGGAACATGGGCGGCGCAGGCGTTGTTGGACTAATGGGTCCCGCGGCGGTGCCGTTGTTGAGACACATGCCGGAGGGCGGGCTGGTTGATGAGGTGGATATTGATGAGTTGATGGCGTGAGCATGGATATGGATGTGTGTGATCATTTGAATGTTGGTTTTTTGTCTTTTTTTTTTTTTTTTTTTTTTTTTTAAATTTTTATTATTTACTATTTTATTTATTTATTTATTTTGGTTTTCGTTGGGCTGTTTCGAGATAGATGGGATTTGGCTGGGTATATATATATCTATGGGGCATGGAAAGATATTGGGACCATTGTTTTTTATTTTATTTACTTGAGATTCTCCCCCCCTTTCCGTTTTATTCACGTCCTCTTGCTTCACGGTCAACTTGATTTTCGTGTTCCTTTATGTTGAATTTACTTTTCCATTTAATTATATATTTATAACCATTAGCTGGTCTGTGGTCCTTCCTCCCCTCCCGTCTTCGTTTTCTGCGCCATGCCTCTCTATTTTTTTTTAATTTTTTTTTTTTTTTCGTGGAATATTATCATCTTTTAGTGAACTGTATACATCAGCTTACATACTATTTAACATCTTCCACCGTCGTTTCCTCTCCTTCATTTGCTTGAGGGACATACATACCGTACGCTTCTTCGTTTAGTTTTCTTTTCTTTTCTTTCTCTTTCTTGTGCAGTGATATGAATTTCTCTCGTGGCTGACATAATTATGTTCCCAAGAGACTTGATTGAATTAAAAAGTTGTTAGGTATTAGGCCACTGGGGCAAAAGATCTCGATCACCACCAGCGCCATGCTGGTAGTAGAGGGGACGAACCAATTCAAACCCCCACAACAAAGGTTGCCTACTAGAACTACATAGTAGGTAGTACTTTCGCAAAAAACAGCAACCCACTTAATTCCACCCATCCCCATGTGGGAGGGGTTAGATAGATAATTTCCATCTCCTTCAAATGGACAAGTAGTTAAAACTAGTTAACACAGCAGTTAACTAACTAGTTACCAGTAACTAGAAAGTCAACGTGCAATATCACATTACCTCAGCCAAGCAAATAAGTCATGTGATCGTGCGATAGCTGGATAACCCTTTAGTTCTAACAAGGTAGGATATACCACCAGAGTCGGCTGTAGCCCCATTCGTTCTGCGTCTTGCATGGTTTTGGGCTGCGACCCATCCATTATTCCAAGTTTGTCTCGTTAGCTTCCCCCCGAAGGGGTCTATCTATTCCGTATGTGCGGGTGTGTCCCTAGTTACTTCATTTTGAAGTTGGTTTGCAGCTGAATAGTTAGTTACTAACGTTAACTTAGTTAGCAGAAGTCCAGCAGTTTACCGAATGCGGAGTTTTGGTTTTGCCTTGCCCTGCCTTTGCCCTGCCCTGCCCTGCCCTACCTCTTGCAGCTAGCAACGTTGAAAGTTCCTATGTAACGCAGCTGTTGCTGTAAATGAATGAAATATCCCAAGGTGTTTTTTTTATGCCAATTTCATTTTCCTGCCCCAATTTTTTCCTTCTTGAATCTAACAAAAGCGACGTAAATAGTTAGGGGAGGGGTGGGAAAAAAAGAAACCGACGAATTATCCCCATTCACTTGTGTTTTATAGCACCCGGCACAACGCAACGCAACGCAACGAAACGAAAACGAAACGAATAACTCGCACGGCTTGAGAGATTGGAAGCCCCATAGCTATCGGAACGCGGGGAAACGCCCTGGACGGAGATAGGCGCGCGGGCGGGGGAAATCTTGCGAAAGCGGGAGGTGTGGAGGAAAAGACAAACGAAAGAAAGGGAAAAAGGGAAAAAAAGAAAAAAGAAAGAAAAGACACCTCCTTTCCCCAAAACATAAAAATCCAACCGTTCGTTCCGTCGATATATATAATTCCGAACAAAACCCAGCACCGGCAGAGAGATCCCAAGTTGGGAACTTTTGTTGCGCGGGGCCTTTCTAAAAGGAGGGGCGGGGGACCATTTCGAAATATCGTCGGGGTCGTCGTCTGGGCGAAGAGAATAATATCATATCGATCGAGTTCCGGCACAGAAACAACAACAACACACACACACACACACACACACGCACACACATCCTATTTCAACCCCAAGTGACACGCGCACGCGACAACATCGATACATCGGGTTGTATCCGTCGACACGGCGCTCATCCACTCGTTTTCCGTAACTAGACGTATCTGTCGAGGTATTTTCAGTTGGCTGTCGAACGGTTCCCTGTTTTCTTTTCTTTTCGCTTTTCTTCTTCTTCTTCCACCGGCTCCCTTTCCCTTTCGCGGTAGTTTGCGACTGGAATGGAGTCGCTTGCTAGCCCGTCTCCGTTTGCGGGGGCTACAGATGTGGAGATGGTTATGGGGCTCGGGGATGGTGATGGTATTGGAAACAGTAAGGTTGGTAAGAAGGTCGGGAAGGGTAAGGTTGTCAGAGTCGAAGGTATGATGCTTTTTTCCAAGTTCCTGGATGGCACTGCACTGTATGAGAGCGAGTGAGGCTGGTGGGTGGAATCTTATAGCTAAGGGATTCATTCTTGTGCAGAGCCGCCAAAGTTCGATCTGGAGTCCTATATTAGCAATTATAAAGGTATGTTTTGTTTTGTCCTCTGTGTATTAGGGTGCATTGGGTGTTCTTCTGAACCGCGTCGTACCTACAGGGAGAACGAAGTTTGCTAGACTCTATCTGATCGGAACCTGCTCGACGTTTCTCTCCGTTGAGGCTTTGAAGATGGCAGTTGTAGACGCCAAAGGGGGAAAGGATGTGGGTTCTTATACCAAAGCTGTTGAAGCTTTGGCACGCGTAGCTCCGCAGGATCCAGAAGCTAAGCTTGATACTGCATGGGTTGGTCATACATCAAGAGTGGTGAAAGCTGAGACAGATCGGCTGGAGCATGAGCTCAAGGGATACAAGAACAACCTGATTAAGGAAAGCATTCGGGTGCGTGAACCTTGTGGCCTGTTGTTGTCCCAATCAACACATCCTGAGACATTACTTATTCTTTGTTTATCCAGATGGGCAATGAGGACCTGGGCCACCACTATCATCTCATCGGGGACCTGCCATCCGCCTCCAAAGCCTACTCTCGAATGAGAGAATACTGCACCACCACGTCCCACATCGGGTCTATGCTTTTCAGGAACATCCACGTCGCCATCGACCGCGGTGACTGGCTGGGCGTCCAATCCAGCGTGCAACGTCTGCGCAATCTTCAATTCAAGCCCGAAGACGAGGCCAAAAACAAAGCCAAGATGTTCGCCGCGCTCGGCCTATCCCAGCTTGCCTCATCCGCCTACCACTCAGCGGCAATAAACTTCCTGTCCACGGACCCGATCCTAGCGGACAACTACAAAGAAGTAATCTCGGCCAACGACATTGCAGTCTACGGTGGCCTCTGCGCGCTTGCCTCCATGGACCGTGCTGACCTCCAGACCCACGTCTTGGAAAACAAATCCTTCCGCAACTTCCTGGAACTGGAGCCCCATATCCGCCGCGCCATCTCTTTCTTCTGCGCGTCGAAATTCCGTCCCTGTTTGGACATCCTCGAGGCCTACCGTGCTGACTACCTCCTCGACATTCACCTCCAGAAGCACGTGCCCGTGCTCTACTCCCGCATCCGCACCAAGGCCATGCAGCAATACATCATCCCTTACAGCCGCGTGATGATCGACACGATGGTTAAAATCTTCTCGCCAGACCAGGCTGCGCTAATCAAGCGTGACGGAGGCACCATAGACTTGCAGTCGCCGTTTATTGTTGAGCTGATCGATTTGATCCAGGAGGGCACGCTGGATGCGCGCATTGATGTTGAGAAGGGCGTGCTTGTCACCAAGCAGACAAATACGAGAGAGGATGTGCAGGCGGCGGTGATCCAAAACATCAAGGAGTATGTCAATGCGGCCCACATTCAGTTGTTGCGGATGAATATTTTGCATGCGGGCTTGGAGGTGCCTCCTGTTGGCGCTGAAGCGGATGGTGGGCCTGCAGGTATGCGTGCCAGAGCTGCTGCTGCGGAGTCTGCGATGAGAAAGGGGTTTCCGCGGGGGAAGGGATTGAAGGGCCCGTTTAAAGGGAAAGATTGATGTTGCGGCTGATAAGGGAGGTTTGGCAGGTCAAGAATTCATTGTCAATGCTTTTGAGGGATTTTTTATGGGGTATCAGAAGCACCGTTGCTATGTATGCATGCCTGGTATGCCTGATGTGTTAGTATGAGTTTTCAAGGTCCCCTAGTTGATGATGGCTCAGCGAAGGAATGAAATTAATGTTAATCATTCAGCCATTTTATATTTACAACATTCTACCGTAAGAACCACGTTCACAGCTCGAACTGATGTAAAAGAAAAGAAAAAAGTTATATCAACACGACACTATCCCTTGCCGGTTAATAATATAGAAACATTATCATAGTTATCCATAAACCCATTACCCATACCGCGACCATCCTACAAACCCGCTACCTCCCTCACAACTTCGGCCCCTTGGCTATAATCTCCACATCCTGAAACGGTATGCCTAAGAACTGCCACATATAATGGAACCGATCACTGCCGAAGAACGGCTCAGCCTTCCCCTGTGCATTTGTCACCCAAAACCACGGCGCTCCAAACGCACCCCGATCCAACGCCTCCTTCGTCCGATCGGCCAGCGCCTTCTTCCCCTCAGGGGTCTGTGCGCCTTTCATGATGGTTTCGATTTCCACGTCGCTGTATTTCTCCTCGCGGAGCAAGGCCGTCATGTTCTCGGGTTTGCTGAGGTCAATATGCCGGTAGAACATATAGGTCCAGTACAAGAGGAAGGTTTTCTCGAAGCGGTCCCGGGGGTAGTTGGCCTTGAGATACGTGGCCACACGTTGAGGCTTGCGGGAGGCTGAGGTGTTAGTAAACCAGAGGGCCATTCTAATCCACAATCCACATACGGGAGAGGAAACCTGGATCCATCCCGAAGGGGGAGAAAGGGGGGAAAGGGTATACCAGAATTGTGACGGGGGGGAAGAATGGTGGAGGAACCATGTCTGTGACTTTGAAATACCGGGATGCTCGTTGACGGTCAAATTGGCCGTATTTTGCCTTCGCTGGGTTTGTCCAGGGAGGTGTATTGCCTTAGGGGGAATAGCTGGTTAGCTTCTTGCGATTCTATTGTAGTTGATATGGTACATACCTGAGCCAGCATTGATTCCTCCCAGGAAAACTGGGAATATCCTAAAATATGGATAGAGTAATTTTAATATTGGTTCAATTATCCCACGAACTAGTTATGCTTGAATGTGTCGAATACATACTCAACCTCTATGCCATGCGATGCTAGCACCTCACGGTTCCTGAGGAGATGTAGGAAAGCAAAAAACGAGTAAGGAGAGGCTATGATTATGTTAAAAGGGTCAGCGTAAATGTCCCTTGTAGCAATGGAGGAGTGGAGGACTTACGGCAGTCAAGATATGTTTCTATCTTTGCACCCATAGTGTCGGATTAAGCTTGCTGCTGAGTATACTACTACTATTCTATTACCACGAAGGGAGTTGAAAAAACAATTGCACGTTAATCTCCAACGGGAATGCAAGATCAAATCACCCCGGGTATTTATCTATGATCTGACTCTGGAGATCTCCAGGCTATGGATGATTTGCGCCAAAATAATTAATAATCTAAGATATTTCCTTCGTATCGTGATGTCTGGATGCCGAGGTTCAGAGCTCTCTCGGCCCCAGAACCATGATTTGTGACCAAAATGGGCGTAGTCCAGAGCATACAGACCCAGAGCGAGAGTTACTGATAGGTTCCCTTGAGAGAGCTGAAATACGAGTTCGCTATGAAGAATTAATAATTCGTTAAAACCGGAAAGGCTCATCGGCTGTGAGAAAACATTTGACCTGGGAGACAAAGGCGTTACATATAGGTCCCTGTGGTTCTGCTCGCCCTTAGCATACACCCTTTCCTGTCTTTCCCGTTGCATAATAACCATGGCAGCTACCAAACCAGTAGCATTGGTGATTGGAGCGTCCCGTGGAATCGGCCGGCAAATAGCTATAGACCTGGCAAAGGGAGGTTATGCTGGTTCGTACAGATTTGTCCCCCCTCGAGCCTCCATTTGCCGATATATACAACTAGTTCAGATATATCTTGCCAATTATGATACAAACGCAACAACATTTGCTAATTAAACCAACCAAACAGTGGTCGTATCTGCAAAAACAACTTCCGACGCAAGCAAAACGACTCCCTTCCCGCCTGACCCCAACTCCCCACAGTCTACCATCAACACGGTAGAACGGGAGATCCGGGAAGCAGGCGACGATGCCGTCGCACTGGCAGTGGACACTAGAGATGTAGATACCATCAATCATCTCGTGCAACAGACTGTTGAAATATACGGTAAACTGGATGTTCTGGTCTACAACTCCGGAGCCATATGGTGGTCATCCGTTGAGAATACGCCCGTTAAACGGTTCAAATTGATGCAACAAGTTAACCCAGAAGGGCTGTATGCTAGTGTACAGGCAGCATTGCCCTATTTTGGGAAGAATGCGTGGAAGGGTAGGATTGTGGTTGTATCGCCGCCAATTTATTCGAGGTTCTTTAGGGGGAAGACGGCATACGCCATGGGTAAGTTGTCCTTATGCATGCATTGTGGGCTTCATTTTGTTGTGAGGTGGGTGGCCAGAGTCAGGGGAAGGCATTCCTCTGATGAAGATTGAATTTATATGGAATTAACTTGTGGATCTTATTGTATTTTCTTAGGCAAGGTCGCAATGAGTGTTCTAACCGAAGGGTTGGCGATGGATTTTGTTCGCCAGGGACGCAAGGACATGGCCATCACCAGTATATGGCCTGCTGTGGTATGTTCTGGGTGTTAAATCACCCCGCAAACGATTTCCTTTTCGCTATTTCCTATTATATCAACTCTTTCACAACATTTCTAGATCTCAGGGGCTGTAAAACTAAGCCATAAACTAGTCCATTGAATCCGCTGCAACAAAAAGATCCACAGACCAAGAGCCATCACTTGCAAAAGATCTGCGAAAGCCCGTATGATATATACCCAAGCCCCCCCTCAAATAGAAAGGCAATAAAAAAAACTAACATCCTCCCCCATCTTTTCAATAAAAGACAATATTCTCAGACGCTATTCTGGGGATTCTCCATGCTCCCGCATGCGCCGTAAATGGCCTCCTGACTCTAGATGAAGACTTCCTACGAGAATACTGCAACGTATCGGATTTCTCTCAATATAACGTCGTGCCAGGTTCCAACCCGAGGAGAATTATGCCCGCAAAATTCCCTGTTCTAGAGGTTGCGGAGCAGGACGACGAGGGGAGGAGAGTTGATAGTACAACTCTCAGACTTGCAGAGGGGAAATCGAGACTGTGATTGGGTTAGTTTCTTCTTTTGGCTTAGGAACAGGCTATCTGCCTACCTGTATGATAATTTTCGCTCGCCCTTCCTTTAGGTGGAAGGGGCCGTTGTGGCGGGATCAGTTGGATATTCGTTTATCAATCAATGTGCCAACAGAAATATATTTCGTGACCGGCGGTTAACAAATCGCAATGTGGAATCGAAATTGCTTTGCAAGAATTGGCACGGATCGGCCTCCAAAATATTTTATACTCGTTGTCCGGCTCGAATTAATAACTACAGAACTCAATGGAATTCTGGCCTCCGTTTAGAAAGAGATAATCCCATTAATTGCCCGGGGTATTATCATACGACTCCTCCCAACAGATGCGACCTAACTACCAACAGTACTGTCATCAGAAATTGTCGTTGCCATAGGACTGAGTTGAAACATCTCGTACGGCTCGGTCGCAGATACCTCCCCAATTTCCGGCTTTCCCCTTTTCAGAGCGATCAAATCCAACAGCCGGTCAATCAACAGAGCTGCAAATTATATAAAAGAACATTAGGCTCCGTTACAGTAGTCCTGTTGCTTTTGCCAGAGAAGGCGAGGAGCACAAATATCTTGCGGGATGGAATGGACGAGTAACTCACCTACGAATAACGCCAACGTAAACGTGAAAATAATCAGTGGACTCGTCATAAATCTATAGATAAGATCAAAATTCGCCACGATTGTGACCATGGCTAGCAGTATAATTCCCAGCAGAACGCGTGTTGTAATAGCCACCCATGCATAAATCCTTCCAGTATGGCGCTGGGTAAGGAAAACAAAAGCGGCGAGTATGAACATGGCAAACGATGCGACAACGAAATAGTATATGTACACAAACCCAAGCAGTCGCAAGTACAACATCAACAACTTCTCACTCTCTACCACGTCCAAGGGGAGTGTTATCCCCATGCTTGAAAACAGACTCGCTGTCACATTTCCCATCAGGTCATGGGAGCGCTGAAGTGTGAGGGATCCGGGGTTATTCATCGACGGACACAGTTGGGGGCTATCTCGAAGAGTCTGCAAGATATATTGTATACAGCGTTGCTCTTTAAGAGCACCTTTGGTGTAGTCTATATCCATGTCCGCGATTGTGTTGTTGAGCTGGTCGATAGCAAAATTCGGGTCCGGACGGGGCGGTTCACATGCAGAGAGAATCGTGTTGCTCAGATATTTGAGTTTGAGGGATATATCCAAAGTAAGGACTAGAATCTGGGATCCTTCTGAGAGAAGGACAACCATAACATGGAACGGGAAATGCAGCTGCGTCCAGATCTGTTGGTTGGTAATTCCATATTTCATACGGGGCGAAATATCGAAGTAAGATTGCCATAAAAGGTACTAATAGGAACATTAATCACACTGTTAGTCTACTAAATGTTGGGAATATGACTTACTACTCCCATAGTTACACCAAGTATATGAACAAAGGACCACTTTGACCAGCCGGAAGAGCCAACTGTCTGGTTGACGAGCCTAGTTACGGAGATAACACCTTCCCCAATAATTATCAACGTCAGAAGTCCCATTCGAACGTTGAGATGGGTATCTTCAAAACCAATTCCGGGTGTGCGACCCGACACTGACATCACAACGAGCGTTTCGATTGCGAATATCAAAAACCAAGAAGCCCACACATACTCTCCCTTGGTGCCCGTGTTATTGTTAAAAACGAAGTAAAGCTAATCAATGAGTTAATGTTGTTCTTCTCAGGAGCAGTTGTTTGTGACACTTACCCCCGTATAGGTAACTCCTGTTCCGATAAAAACTGCGACGATAAACAGCAACCTTTTGGAAGCCACTTGCATTGTGCCATATAAGAATATTGAGGCTATTGAATATTCGACACTTAATAGCAGGCGGCTACAGGCCAGAAGGATGCTCAACGAAAGAAATGCCCAGACGTTCTCATCGCGAACTTGTGTGGCGAAGCCGGAGCCGGTGGAAGCAAACCCAACCATAGTCGCAAGCTGGAGTGCTTTGCAAATCCTCTCGAATATTGAATCCTGTGCAAAACGTATATCGAACAGGGCCACTTGAAACCACGTAAACCAGATAATGCTGAGGAAGCCAATGTAAGACCACAGTGCTGATATTGTAAATAGTAGTATCAGCACGAAGTGCTCTGACTCTTGTGGTGACATGATAATTCTACCTACCTTCTAAATTATTTATTTCACGAGTGGCGGTGAAAGTAGACAGATTTGCAACGAAGAAAAGGTCGAAGAATAATTCAATGGGAGTGGAATCGGTATGATGGTTAAGACGTGGATGCCCTCCGTCTGTGTTGTCAAGTGGTGATGCAATCCAAGGAACGCAGCGTCGTGGGTTTCTAGTAGACAGATTAACAAGCTGATTCAACAACTCGTCTTGTGCTAGAACATGAAGATTACCTCTTTCTTGAAGTAAGGTGGATAGGTCGAGCGTCCTGCCGGAATGTCAAAAATAGTGGACGACCCATGATGATACGCTCGAATAAAAATGAAGGTCGGACTAAGTCCTCCAAATTAAATAATATAGAATGTAATGCATTATGGCATTCCCGTTGAGGTCTTCTCATTGTTTCGACAGAAAAGTGGCTCACCCAGTTTGAGGGAAGGCGCGAATTTCGTATCGGGCCACCGTGCTATTATTGGATCGCTACAGCAGCAAGAGCAACGAGTTATATCAAGGGTAAGTCGCATTTCATTTAATTGGCATGTTGTTTGCGCTTCAGTCAGCCAGAAACTCCGTCCTCAGATGGTAGTTCGGAGCGTCCTCCTAGGTTTTCCAGTCCACGGTCTCCGTGGACATCAGTCCCTGATGCCAACATCTTGTCACCCGGATTGAGCCCTGCTTCTGCTCTGAGCCTCTTGTAATTTTCCCCAGCTTCCTTCAGCAACGTTTGGATCTCCGACTCTCTCGCCGATATTTCGGCTTTCTCTATTCGAAGCTCCTCCATCCTCAGGACAAGTTGCGCTTTTGAGTTTTCCATTGCATTGAGGGAAGTCCTGAGACGGGCCAAGTTGTCTGCGAGGCGGGGAAGAGGTGTTATTTTAGGTGGCGTTTTCGGTCGGGCAGGAAGGCTTTCGTGAGTGCGTCGCAGACCGTCCATTCCCGCGCGAGTTTGAGAAGCTTCATAGGCTGCTTTGCGTTCTGCTTCAGAGTCGTCCGCCTCGGAAGACTCTTGGGCCTCATCAATCAGCTCCTTCATCTCTGCCCGCTCTCGCCTTTGTTGTTCACGCTCTGCTTTCCTGCCTATAGCAATTTTCCCATCTTCCACATATTCATCAAAACCCTCCGCGAAATCTTCGTCATCCCTAACAAGCCTCGTTTCTACTTTTTCCGCCTTCCGTGACAATGACCAGTCATCGTCACCCGCATCGTCCAAAGAGATGAAATCCTCTTCGTGACCGTGACCCTGTTCCATGGCAAGGCGGGCACGCCTTTCCTTCTTCTCGCGTATCTCAGCATCAGTGGGGATGACGGATGGTTTTGACACCTGCACAGTCTCTCCAAACTTCGCAGATATATCTAACTGTTTTTCTCTTTCGTCCTCACTCGAGGGCATCGACACCGTCTGCTTCGGGGTGGATGGGGTAGAATTACGGAGTTCCCTCAGGTATTCTTTATTGTAAGTCGGGCGATCTTCTTCTTGGCCAACACGAAGAGGTATGTTTTCCGACGACCCTGATGGTGCCCAGGTCCGCTGTAATCCATTTTGCTCCTTTATGTGTTTCCTAGCTCCAAGCCTTTTGGGTGTGATGACTTCGCCTTCAGTTGTCTCCTCAGCATCGGCCATAGAAGTGCCCCCGGGTCCAAATGAGAGGCGCAATTTTGATTTTTGTTTCGGTTTCGTGTTCGGTCTGCGGACGACTTGCTCTAGATTTTCTTAAGGTCAGACTAAATCTTCATAATCTTGTCAAATCGAATGGAGAGTACAAACCTTGTTCACTGCCATTTTGCGCATCATCGTCTTCATCTGTACCAACCTTGCGAGCCTTGCGACGATTAGCAAGAAGAGAGCTCATATTCCTCCCGCCACCAAGGCAAAAATGGAAACAAATATAAAATGGGACGTAGTTGTGCGCACACAAAGCTCTTCTCGTAACTCTACCGCCGCTGGAGCTCTGTAGTGTAATTCTCGGCAAATCATTGTTCCGGCGCTGATCCGCCATTGACATTCTGCAATTGCAATCCGCATCGGTTTGAACAAACATTCCTGGCAACAACCAAGGCTTCTTTCAAAATGCCTCAAGCTCAGCCAGAATTGAAGAAGGTATGTCTAGAATAAGGATTTTATCTCGATGTCCAGCTTCCCATAAGACTCCGACGACTAACCCGCGCGCGTTGACATTTAGTATATGGAAAAGCGGTTGTTCGTTCAACTTAACGGCAATCGCAAAGTCATCGGAATCCTTCGCGGCTACGATGTACGCGCTTCCCCTCATGTCTTACTTTCCCTTAACTACTTTCCTGTTTCCTTATAGGCATTTCATCGTTTCGTTTGCTCTTGCTTCTGTGCTCTTACCCGGATATCTATATGGCTCTTCATTTGAAGCCACCTCCGTTAGCTGGGACATTGTCTAATATTTGAATATAATTCAGGTGTTCATGAATATAGTGATGGACGAAGCCGTCGAAGAGAAAAGTGGAGGAGAGAAAGTGCGCCTAGGCATGGTGGTATGTGTTGATTTTTTTTCCCTTGTGATCTACGCCTTTTGCAATATGAACTACGTTGACCGTGTTGCAATCTTTGTTGCAATCTTCTGTCTGTTAGGTCATTCGCGGAAACTCCGTCGTTATGCTCGAGGTTTGTTCCCGTCTTTCACATTTAGTAGAAATACAGGACAAGCAAATAGCTAATAATACCTTTTCTTCGTCACTGATAGGCACTCGAGAGGATTGGCGATCGATGATACCCAGCAGCTGTACCTCGAAGAGAAATCCTGGCGTGTTAATGAATTCAAGAAACAGGCGGATGGCTCCCTTGCTATCCTCAATTAGTGTCTTATCATATTGCGATAACCAAGAAATGTTTTTGTCTCTGTTCCAACTTTAGTTTAAGGAGTTTAAGGGAAAATGAAAATATATTAAATGAAATATGAATGAAAAAAATACAAAATCCCACTGGAAGTCCGACTCGACGCCCAGGGCTGGTTGTCCAAGAAAATATGGGTTTTTATCGATAGGGTCCTAAGTTGGCGGAGGTAATTGTTGGTAAAATACATCACGTATAATTGTTCTGCATGCTAGTGTTAAATAGCCCTATTTAGGTTCTCCCTTTTGCTTTTCCGTCTTGAGAAATACCACACAATTTGCGCCGCATTGATTCCATCCTCACGCCATGTTCTCTCACGACGGTGGCTTTCCTCTCCTTTAAAAGTTGTGGGGGGGAGAAGAAGAAAGAGATAAAGAAAAAACGAGAGAGAAGAAAAAATGCCCTACAAACGCCTCAACGTAACGAAAATAGCCATTTGATATAGTAGTAAGCCCTGCCGTTTATAGCCCAGATAAAGGATAAAGCAAAGAAGAAACAAGAGGAAAGAAAAGGCCGTAACATTAGGTAGTCAAATGGGCGAACGTTGTTTGAATTTCAATTTCAATTTCGGCATCGTTGTTGACGGAGGGGTTTGTTGCGAGTTGGCGGGGGATGATGTCAAAGAGAGCTTCGGAACTTTCAGGGTGAGTTTATGGCTGAGCGGCGCAGGAGCTCCTTCCTCGCGTTTCCTTTTCAGTGTACCATTGGGAGCGGGCGCCGCGGCACCTCCTTTCGCCGGTAGAGCAGTGCGGAAACGGCTTCCCTTGAAAAATCGGAGTTTGCCCTTTATTTTTGGCCTTGTTAATTCTCATGTGCCAATAATGGCATAATAAAAATGTTGGAGAAGTGGGATGGAAGTATCTTACATGTCCGAGATTTTCTAATTTCCAGTACCGAGGATATTTGAGAACGACCATTATTTTATCAATGGGGTGGTATAAAACGCTGCAAATGTCGACGAAATCACTTAATTCTGCTAAACCCACCATGGGCGAATTGCACGCTGCCCATAGTGCTTCTTTTAATGCCGTGTTACTTTCGACCTCACGCTTCAGTGCCTCTAGAGCACCAGGAACTGTTTGCCTGCGGGCAAGACTAGCCTGGCGCACTTCAGTAGATGACTCCTGCTCGATGATTAGGCCGTTGGTAGGCTCCAGTTGTTTTTCAACATTACGGTCGCCGAAAGCGATGGGAGCAAGCCCTCGACCAAATGAGATATGCAGATTGTGTCGAATCCAGGGTGACGGGTCCGCAGACATCACATAAATGAACCATGTCAGCAGCTCAGAGTTTTGGAAGATGTCGAAGTCGATCAATATATTGAAAGCATCCAGACGAAGCATTTCATAAGTACCAGCTCTTGTGTATGGAAGGAACTGCATAATATCCCGATCGATAACGTTAGCTTGCATGAGCCGCCGCTGGCATTCAATTGCGGTTCTTGAATAGATGTTCTGGAAAGATGTTGTCCATTCGTCCATTCTTCTATAACGATCAATCTCAGCAATGCAATCCCGATCGAGTTGTTGTTCTGCTTGGCGCTCTAATTCCCTTTCCACATCAAAATCAATGCCAACGCCGTCAATTTCGGTTTCTCTTCGCCCAAGCAAAGCTTCACATATGGACTTCATAAGTGCGGTAATATAATAACAATCCGAAAGCTACTCATCGTATCAGTAATCAACTATCACAGCTCAAGGAATGAAAGTGATGCTATACCTCATTGTTGGAATTATCATTAAACTTTAATTTATCATAGAGAAACCGTTTCACTCTCATAGGTGTCTTGCCGGAATTGTCTCGAACTTGTGCAATCGCCTGGGGTATGGTAAGCTGGAGAATATAAGCTGCTCGGTCAGAGAAGTCATTGGAACGAGTCATGGGTGAGCCGGGTAGGCAAAAAAGCTCCTGAAATGCGCTTTCCAAATGGTATAGGCCAATCCAGTCAACTTCATCTTTCGCATGTTTTACAAGTGCTCTAGCAGCAGCCGCTCGAATGCCGTAGAAATACCGTCGATCCATAAGAGTACGCACGAAAATTGTCGATATTAAAGGATGTTCACGCTGGGCAGCCATGTATTGGATTGACTTCAAAGAGTGTTAGTAAGTATCTTGGAACAACGACAACGAACGTAAATACCTCAAGCTGGGCGACGATGTCTCTATCTTGTTGTAGCTGAGATAGATACATATAGCCTGGCATTGTCAGTGACATTTTACATATCCACTCGAAATCAGCATCCATCCGAATCCACTCGTAAGACTCTTGGCCCATTCGGTCCTCATCTTCTTTACTCCATTCAACGAGTTTCCATGTTTGAATCTCCTCCTCCGATTGCAGAACATCCCCCAGGCAATATAATAAAACATCGTCCTGGAGTTCCGCATTAGGATCTATCCCAGACGCGGCAGCTGCACGCTCTTTCTGCCTTTTATTGCGTTTAAGGCGTTTGTATTTGGTATTGTATGGTATGTCAAACTTAGTAACGCCCTCCTTGATCTCAACGATGTGCTCATACGGGGTCCCATCCGCTTCGTGTATTCGAATGGTCATGGAGCCTGTGAACACATGCTGGACTGGGCCAGCGTAAACGTTTCTTATCTCCTCTTTAACATCTCTCATAAATGTTGACATTTCTAAATCTCGAACTGTTGGTTGTTCGGATTGAACTTGCCGAATCATCATTTCTACCACCAGCTTTTTTTTATTGAACCGTTGAGTGGCCAGAAATCGGGGACAGCCAGCACCGTACACCCATTGTTGGAAAAAGGTGTCTAGTTTTGTGTGTCCCAATCTCTCACATGTTTTTTGGAAAAATGACGTTGCCAAAGCACCATTAGGAAGGTCGCCCATTCTGGCATTCAGGAAAATCCGAGAAATGATTCGGGATATCGTCGCCTTTCCGCTAGCTTTAGATAGCCTCCGTTCCAGGATGTAAAGAACAAGCGGCGCTTTCAAAGCTATAAAATCAACTTCTGAGGGGTCTAACCGCAACAGTGCACCCAAGTCGGATATAGACGGCCGTGAAATGTCAAAGTCGCAAACTTGATCTGACATCTGTTTCAGCCGATACCTATATTCGTTATTTCCGCATAACTTTTTCATAAACGTATCCGTGATGTAATAGGATATGCCAAGTATGGCCCATGTATCCGTTGGATCCTTTGGAATAATGCTAACCCCGATCCATTGGGAGGCTAAAGAGTGCACAAGACACCTAGTGGATTCGTAGATTGGGTCGATTATATCCTCCGGAAAGAGAACGCGGTTACTACAAATCGACAGCGCAGCCGTTGCAAATGCAGAAGAAGGGAGGTCATCGACAAAACACATTTTATAGCTGGAGAATGGATAGGACCCATAACTGAGGGAAAGAAAATCGATTGCTTTGGCCATTGGTAAACAAGTATTCCTGACTTCGTCCGCTCGTCCCGGAAGACAAAATGCATGAACAGGAACAGCATTCCGCCCGAGCTGGTCATCTTCGTCGCTCTCGCGGTATTCAGAAAGATTAACGTACTCGAAGGGACCAACAGCAAAACCAATTTGCTGTGCGGATACAGGGCTAGTGCATGAAAATGACACCGTCTTCTTTGTATGGTCCTTTGTATCCATAATCTCATCTGTCAAATCCCCGGAACATGTCACCACCATATCTAGCGATTCGTCGTCAGGAGATATGCCCGGTTTCCTCAGAGACGGAGTCCATGCTTTTGCTGTTCCGTTTACTGCATGGGACTCCCGGCCTTTAGGATAAAGCGCATCCCCCAAGGTCCGGGGACACCTTATTGATATATCCCATGTGCACCGTGACGATATATCCTCAACGCAGGGAAACAAACAGCAGCCGCTGATTGGGTCAAAAGAATTGATCGTGAAAGTGTGTGGATAGCGGCGATCACTGCTGTCAATCCCTACAAATTGTATACCATCCCTCGGGCGATTGATCGTGAATTCCGCATTTACTGTCAACATCGTGTATTTCGGTAATGAGGTCTCTGCGGCTTTTGTGCCAAGTTGGCCATCTGTTGTGTCATCGGCGCTCCCGCTGGCCCGCAGCGCAAGTTGAATTTGGGCTTCTGCAGAAAATGGATCTAACTCTTCGATTCGCACAGATTTCGGGATTGTCACGGCCAATTCGGGCTCTGGTGGGGTTTTGAGGAGCGGCCCCAACTTCTTAGACAGTTTCTGATGTTGATGAACGCCGTACAACCGAAGGGACTCGTAGGGGTCTGCATATTTCGTGGTCGGCGCTTTTCCGCTAACATTCAAACGCTTTAGTTCACCCTGGCGAAAATTCAAGCGGATGATCTTGAGTTCCTTGTAGTGTGGTTGGATAGTTATCTCTGTTTTCCCCTTCAAGCTCTGGTTCACGAAATCTATGTCGAACTCGACCTTTTGGTGAACAACGGAGTAGCCCAATCCAGCACCCGCAGGGCCTGGTGTTTCCACCAGGCCTGGCATAGTAGGCTTCAGTCAAAGGTAGCGCTGGTCGCGCAGTGAGTGTATCGCAACCTCATAGCCAGCTTCAAAAAACTGATATGGCTTTTTTGCAATAGAACGAAGCGCGATATGGGAGATCGTTCCAGCGCGGTATCCTAGTTAGCTGACGCTGGAGTGGCTTTCGTGATTAAAACCGGGAAGGCATCTTTCCGTGACAAAGAACGCGCGATATAACGGCAATTACAGCGAAGCAGGCGAGTGGCGGCTGTTGATTGAGGTCGCGGTGAAGAGGAGCCAGTAAGCGATGAAGCAGTTGTGAGCGTTGAGTTGAACTCTTTTCACACTCACTGCTCGCCCTTGCTGCAACACGACGGGATGTCACGTGGGATTCAACGTCCTCGGCTCTCCCCGTCGCTCCCCAGAGTCGTTGAGCCGCTTTTTCACCTGATTGTCTCCATTCCCTCGTAGCCGAATAATTGTATATCCCGTGTCCGACCTTGTGACACTGCTTCCACTTGACGTCTTGGGCACATTCTTTTTCTTGTTCCGTTTCATGAACATCAGCATGCCCTGAGTGGACTTTCCGAGACACATCTCTACCTAAATACATCCTCGCCGTTCGCGACTGCAATGTACTTCCTCAAAAAAATTGCCGGTATGTATATCAGTTCTTGTGTCATTTTAGACGTGAGCGAGCTAAGCTAACTACCACGCTCCCCTCTTTGTAGATGCCCAAGAGTCGCTGTCAGAAGATGCCTTATCCCATTTGAAAACCTACAAGTACTCGAGCGTCGACAAGTCCTTCATATCCAGATATATCTTGAAACATTACGTGTGCCTACCCCCCCCATACCGCCGTGTTTATTCTGCTGAGCTAGACTGACGAACTACGATAATAGTGGAATGCGTTCGTCGAACTCCTGCCGTTATGGCTCGCCCCAAATATGGTCACGTTAATCGGCTTTATGTTCATCATCGGAAACTTAATCCTTCTCGAGATAGCTGTTCCAGATCTTGTTGGGCCGGTATGCACTTCTTCCTTGATTCTCTGTGAACTATGGCCATTTTCAATGCTCATTTGGTGTGTACAATATAGGCGCCCGCATGGGTCTATTACAGTTTTGCGATGGGTGTTTGGATGTAGGACATTTCCTCTGCGTACCCTTCGGCGATCATAATGCTATACAGGCTCTGACTCTTCCTAGGTACTCAACTATGGATAATGTCGATGGGAAACAAGCAAGGAGAACCGGTACCTCTAGCGGACTGGGAGAATTGTTTGAGTGCGTTTTTCCCAGCCACACATTTGATAGCCATGATGCCCATCTAACTTGAACTGCCAGTCACGGGATTGACTCATTAAACTGTACCCTGGCAAGTCTTCTGCAAGTTGCAGCAATGGGTCAGGGCTCGACCAAAATTGGAGCCTTCACTACCCTTCTACCCTGTCTCCCTATGTTTTTTTCGACCTGGGAGACCTATCATACACACACTTTATACCTTGGATATATCAATGGGCCAACCGAGGGATTGATCATTGGCGTTTTGATGATGATAGCATCTGGCTATTATGGACCTCATATTTATTCAAATCGGGTAGCCGATACTTTGGGTTACCCATCCCTGTTCGGAAATTGGACCTACCAGGAACTCTTCATATTTGTTCTGGGCTTCTCTTTTTTGACTGCACACTTCCCCGCATGCGTTTACAATGTGATACGGGTCCGCAACCGCCAAAACCTTCCTATTCTACCCATATTCTTGGAATGGATACCGGCAATTGTCGCATCTGCCTCCGCTGTTTGCTGGCTGTATTCGCCCTACTCGTCACTCTTGAGTGCAAACAGGCTTGTGCTCTTCGCAATAACAATGTGCTTTGTGATCGGGCGCATGACAACCAAAATCATTCTAGCTCATCTAACCAGGCAACCATTTCCATACTGGACAATTCTCATAAGCCCTCTCATTGGCGGCGCCATACTAGGAAACCTCCCCAGGTTTGGATTCCCTCAGATCAGCCCGTCGCTAGAGCTGCTTTATTTGCGTGCATATCTTGTGTTTGCGTTCGTCACTTATATGCATTGGGCCTACTTTGTCGTCCACCGAATCACCACCTACCTGGGTATAAATTGTTTGACGATCAAGCACGACAAGCTGAAAGCTAGGGAGCAAGATTACCGCCAACTGGGGGAAGGCAGGATCGATGTTGGAAACGCGAGGCCAGATCCATTTGCTGATTCCAGGGTCAAGGCGAACTAACAGAGTCTTGGTCGACGCGAAGTGCTTTATCAACCTGCCCAGCTCTTTCGCCACCACAATGCGGACGAGCTAAACCAAAGCTACCGTGTCGAATTTTCTAACAATGTCGCGCTCAGGAGTTGAAGAACCGAAAGATATATGATTGACGAGATGTGGGCAAGAATCGCAGGTACCCAACATGTGCGCGTCCTAAAAGGTTGCTTGTCAAAAAGTCACCACAATGCGTTCATGACCCTTCCAACCACATACAACTATACTCCACTATTCGCCCGTACCTTGTCACAAAATCCAAAAAACAAGGAGCTCGATATTGACATAGTGATTACAAACAACAAACCCACAACCCAAACGCCGGATCTTTATAGATTTTGTTCGGATCTATTGCATTATTGTCAACGATGAATGTCTTGACTGCTATGGATTTTAGATTATTTAATATCCCTTTGATAACTACCCACATCCGTATTTAGACTTGAAGTTCCCTTGAAGAATATTCGGGAGTCTCGTTGTACTCGATAATTTTCTGAAGACATCCATCCATATTTGAGTCTTTATAGTCAGCTGCTGTAATTATTATTATGAATAAGGAAGTTAATTTTATACCACTCAGTATTCATTTATCGCAAATTACTCGTACTGTACATATATATATATATGTAGCTAGTAATTCATTTAACTTGAATGTTTTTCTCAGATAACTGTGTATGTTTCACGTATTACCCCTGAAACATCATTCTTTCATATGCCATCATGCACATACACTTAATCAAAAAGATAACTAAATTGCCTTTCCCTCCCTCGAGGTTCTGAAGCTGCTTTTATCTCAACTGTTTCAATCAGATTGGCAACTCTACCACTTACCCCTCCCCACAGCGTTGGAATAGCCAATAGTTAAATCATTTCTTCCTTTGCATATTTATAAAATCGATATTGCCACCTATCAACCCAAGTGGGTGTAAAGCCAAACGTGCCTCCTTGTGCAAAACTTGGAAACATGAAAGTTGAGCTGGTTGATTGAGTTATTTACTTCACGTTCATGTACTGGGCGGAGAAGTAGCTCTTAGTATTCCGCTATGAAGTATGTACATTGTTGCTTTTCCTGGGGGCCTGCTGTTTTACAAATTTGATTCATTGCCCGACGCTGTCCCTCAAACCTCCCCCCTGTTTTTTTTGTTTTTGGAAATTTCCTGGAATAAAATATCCACAACGGGCCCCCCGGCAGCACCCCACGGTACCAAGAGAGCTTATTAGATCTAATCCTACAGCAACCGTCTATACCTCTCGATCGAAAATGACGCTGAGGATGTATGTGTGTGGGTTGCGAGCTAATGACATCAACAACCCGCTTATCTTAAGAGGACAAACTTCTTATATCTATTACCATCACACGGTTTTTGTGGGGCCTCCAGATCATACATACATACATAGGGCCCACAACTGAAGGCCACCGATCATTGATCCCTGTTCTCCCCATATCAAAAGGTCCCTATTATTGTGGGTTACTCTAGTGGTTGATTTACTACACATGTTTGTGGATGGTGTGGCTGTCTCGGCAAGCTGCCATTGACGTGAGGTGTGACGTATGTGTAATCACGAAGATCACTGCTTGGTTTATTTATATTGTAGGATTTGAGGTAATGGTTATGTCCCACGTTGTTGATGTCGTTGCTGGTTCCCACTGGAAGAGGCGCCTGTAGTATATATATATATATATCCGAAGCTGGTGGTGCTGTGTGATATTTCTTGATGATCGTTGGTTGATATATACATACATATACGTATAATTTTTCTGTTTAATGACTATTGCATTCGTATCTTTATTTCAAATTCAACCTCTCAACCCTTTACTTCAACATCGTACTTACCCTTAAGCTTATCCCGTTTCCCTATTTTCACATTATCTTGAGCCTCACCGGGCAAAATACCCTTTTTGACATATATATCCGTGTTGACAAATAAAGGCTCAGTCCTTTATTTCGGTCCCTTGTTCCCTTACGCGATTTGACTACTTATCAGACTGCCATTGCCTTTGGCAGCTATTCTCTCAATATGGCAACAATGGCATCACGTCCCACCGTCCCGGCAGGGCCATCTACTCCATCACCGACAAGGACGGACAGATCCGGTGTTTCAAAAAATAAATCCAAGCTAGAGGAAATGCCGGGCCACGCCAAACGTAAGCCGCCATCGATCATGTCTCCAAAATCACCAGGGGAAATGACTACTGCAGCAAAAAAGGGAGCCGGTCATGGTCCTGTTGACTTGCCAAAATTGAAGGGGTTGGAGGTGGGTGATGAAGGCAGAATATACGGGAAGGATGGAAAGGTTTTAGGACGGGTCGTTGAAGGAGACCCCAACGACCTTGTTGGGCAGGTGGTGGGGGGTGCTGGAGAAATTTTCGATGAGCATGGACGCGCAGTTGGCAGGGTGGAGGTTTTGTCTAAGATAACTCAGCAACAAGTGAATGAGCCTGTTAGTAAAACAGCCCCTATCGATTTTGATGCCCTCCAAGGCCTCGAAGTCAGTGAGGGAGGGAAGATCAAAAGCTCCACTGGTGAGGTGATAGCGAAAGTGGTAGAAGGACGCCCAGATGACCTTGTCGGTTTCGCTCTCAATGAACAAGGTGAAGTCATTGATGGAGATGGCGAGGCGATTGGTCGGGTAGAGATTCTTCCCCAAGCAGGGAGGAAGGATGACGGGAATATCAAAGAGAGTGGAACCGAGAAACAAGTAAAGGTCAATGCCGAACAAGCCACTGAGAGCGTGGCTGATGTCTCCGCGAATGATGCTGGCCCCGAAACTAAGTCACCTGGCGCCCCTGATTTGTCCAAATTGGCCGGCCTGATAGTGAACAAGAATGGAGAAGTGGCTGATGGTGCTGGAAATGTTCACGGGAAACTTGAGGAGGGAAGGTTAGAAGACATTGTTGGTAAAACGGTCAACGAACGTGGTTTAGTGTTGGACAATGATGGTAATATTATTGGCAAAGCAGCCGTTGTCGAAGAGACTGTGGATAAAAGAGAGGACGAAGGATCGAATATTCCCCCACTTTCGACACTGGAAGGGCTGAGATGCAATAAACAAGGAACGATCGTGGATAGGGATGGGAACCCAGTGGGAAAATTGGTTGAAGGCAATGCTAGGGCCATTTGGAAATACGGCGCTCAAATTGACGCGCAAGGCCAATTCTCGGATAATAGGGGCCGGGTTATTGGGAAAGCAAAAACAATTGAGCAAAAAGAGGGGGGGGAGGATGTACCATTTGCCGGGTTTGAAAGTTTGTTTGTTAGTAAAGATGGGTGGGTAGAAGACGAAAATGGAAACAAAATCGGCCAGATTGTTCAGGGAGATTCGAAAAAACTTTTGGGAAGGGCTGTCGACCCTGACGGCGATATCCTTGACAAAAGAGGTAATGTCGTTGGGCACGCAGAGAAGTACGAAGAGAAACCAGGGCCAGAAAAGGAAGAGTTGTCAATTCTAAAGGGGTTATCACCAAATAAACACGGAAACATCATGGGACCCGACGGAATACCTATTGGTAGGGTCATCGAGGGAAATCCTGAACAACTAGTTGGTAAAAAGGTTGATGAGAATGGCTGTATATGGAATGATTCTGGACAGCACATTGGCCAATGCGAATTGATACCGGAAGAAGAACGGGACATAAAAGCGGAGTGTCCTTTTGCTGGCATTGATGTGTTGGTTGTTGTCAATGACGGCTTGGTCGAAGATGAAAACGGGAATGTTGTTGGCAAAGTTAGTGAGGGCGACGTCAAAAAATTACGTGGGAGAGCAGTAGACGAAGATGGCGACATCATTGACAAACACGGGAATGTTAAGGGGCATGTCGAGCCTTACGGGGCGCTTGAAGAGGAAGTCGTGGGGGAAGATCTGTCACTATTAGCGGGCAAAGCAATTAACAAAGCTGGTAAAATCGTTGACGAATCCGGAGTCACGATTGGGCACGTTGTCTCAGGTGATCCAAAGAAGCTTTCTGGAAGGACGGTGGATGATAAAGGCCAAATATGGGGTGACAGGGGCGAAGTTATCGGGAAAGCAGAGCTTATGCCGGAAGCAAAAGGGAACAAAGCCGATGGGCCGTTCTCCGGATTCCAGAGTCTTACAGTGGGTAAGGATAATGTCGTTCTAGACAGCTCATGTCAGGTAGTCGGGCGCGTCGTCGAAGGCGACATGGAAAATCTTATGGGTCGACCAGTAGATAAGGATGGTGGCATCACCGATAAAGCCGGACACACCCTCGGAAAAGCCGAACGCTTGGAGCCAAAAGAGAAAAAACTGGAAATCAACCCAATGTCTGGACGCAAGGTCAACAAAGAGGGAGAAGTGTGTGATGCAGATGGCAACCTGATCGGAAAATTGACAGCGGGAAAATTGAACAACCTTGCTGGAAGGTCTATTGACGACAGTGGATATGTGGTCGACAATGACGGGAATAAAATTGGAGAATGCACGCTGCTGGAACACATACACGAAGAGATTGAGGAGCCTGAGATGTCTCCAGAACAGCTCGAAGCTGAGAAACATGCAGAGCAGGAAAGGGGTCTCGCTAAGGAAATGTGCTCCATCGTGCAACAGACACTCGGTAAGGTCGGCGCTGTGTGTGAGATGATCAAGGAGGTTAGTCTTTCTCGCTCTCAAGGATCTACCGGACTGAACATCAGCTTAAGATAAATTCCTTTTTACTGACAAAAAGGATACGGATAGCACACCGAGAGAGCGGACAGAACACCGAAGGCCGAACTTGACGAGGAGGAACTCGTGCGAAACGTCAAGCCACTCATCGAAGAAGGCAGCAATCACCTGCAAGAATGCAACGGGGCTCTGCGGGCACTCGATCCCGACGGGCATATAGCAGCCAAGGCGAAATCGAAGTCCGCGCAGCCCGAAGCATCGCACGAAGAACACCAGCTGGCGGATCTCCTCAAGGAACTCACGTCCACCGTGGCCACGACTATAGACAATGCACGGAAGCGGATTGCTGATATGCCCCACGCGAAGAAAAAGCTCAACCCGCTCTGGGCGCTGCTGAGCGAACCCATGTCCACGGCGAGGGTGGGTTGGTCTCCTCCTCACCGGCGTTCTTGGTTTGGTGGGCAGACTGCTCAATGGGCTGGGTCTGGGTGGCTTGGTAAATGGGCTCCTCGGTGGATTGGGTATCAATAAGCTCCTTGATGAGTTGGGCTTGGGGTCTGTCACAGACGCTCTGAACCTTGGAGGCGATAAAAAGAAACAGCAAACTCCTTGAAAATGGTGACAATGAGCCTGGTTTTGTTTTGATGCCTATTCTGAGCCTTTTTATCATTCTCATTTTCATTTTGTGTGTTCGATTATATTTACTTCATTTGCTGTTGATAAAAAATTGTCAAGCTCGTTTCAATGTCAAAATTTATAAACTGTATTAGTATCAGTTTGATGTCATAGCAAGCATCAAAAATAACTATTGTATTCGATTGTGGCCAATCCATAAAATATTCAGTCTGAACTTCGTTGTCATGAACTGATCCTGTAAATAATGAGATGACAGGCCTAGACAGGCATAGACAGACATAGAAGCGTTGAATCTCCTGAGCTGAAGAAGAATAACTCAGATAGAAGACAAGCCAAAGATTGGTTTAATCTGTGCTAAGAATTCAACAGATTTGAGAAGCCACTTGCACAGGCAATTCTGTTGTCCGACCGTTGAACTCTCGTTTATGAAGTCAGGACTGAAAACATCGTGGTTGAGTCGTTCTGACCTTTGTCGACCGTCGTTAGATGAAGGTTGGCAGGGATAGTTACCAACAAGTCACCTGATGATATACCAAGGGCGGAATGTGTCTCCTTGCTCTGAGAACCTGTATACAGCAAGCCAATGCTGGGCTCTCACACACACACACACTCTCTCTCTCCTCTCTTCCATCTGCATGCTTAAAAATTAAGAATTCTCCACCACCTGCTTTGTAGGTTGGAAGGCTCCATTATGTATGTACCCGTAGAGCAGCAAGCAGGCTCCTCAAAACTTCTATAAAACAAAACAGATGGATAAACAATAAACATGCCACGATAGTTTCACCTTCTACAAACATGTTAGAAAGAAAACGAGTTGCGCCCAACCATAAGGATTTTTTACCAATACCTTTCGCGCAATGGAATCTGATTAATTAGGTATGTAAAAAAACTGCCCTAATTTCAATGGAGACAGCAAATACAATGGATGTAATAGTTATATTTAATTCCATATCCCTTCGAGGGAGAAGTGTAAAAGAGTGGATCAAGAACGCTTGCTGCTTTCTTCTTCCTTCGTTCTTCTGCAACTACATACTTAACGCAACTCAATTACTCAATTAATACAGCTAGATAAATAGAACGAATAAAATGATACAAATTTAAATTAAAAACAAAAAAAGAAACAGAGAAACAGGTGCTCAAAAAAATATAAAATTGAAACGCAAGAGATGCCCCATGATGGCAAGGAAAAATATATGACGGCCACGGCGGGTAGGTGGGAAGGCGGATATGTATAGAAGGTATGTATGTAATGTACTGTACTTCCCGACGCGGCACAAAAAATAAACAGACAAGAAGGGGAAGAAGGGGAAGAAGGGGAAAGAAGAGGCAAAGGGGGAAAAACACAAACGAAGAGGGGTGGGGATGGTATTAATGAGCGTCTTCTCTCCTTTCTTCCTTTCGCTTTTATCCCCGTAGTAAAAGGGGGTCAAAAGAATTTGCATATTCACCCAACAAGAAACAAATCGAGATGAGAAGGGTGGCAGTTGTTAGTAGTTCATCCACGTCCAGAAACAGGGTCAGCCGTGCAGAAAAACGGTCACGTTCTCCAGCTTATCAACTTATTAGTGAGACATCACATATCCCCAATGTTAGGGGTTGGGGAACGAATGCATCTTCCTCCTCCCTCCCCCTCGTCTTGTTTTGTTTTTCTTTTCAATTTTATTATTTTGTCAATTGTTTTCTCAACTACACCAGCATCGAAAACCCTAGAAGGAAAGCAGCCACCAGAACACCAGCCCCATACACCTGGCCGATATGCAACACCATAGCGTGTCCCGCGGTCCCTTTCTTAGGTGCCGAAGTCGCGCCCTCGCCCAGGCCCGTGTAGACGACACCACCCGTATTTGTTCCGGAAGGCGTGCCTGTCTGCGAGGCCGTGGGGGCAGTGGAAGTGGTGTTGACACGTTTGGGGTTCTGGGCACCGCAGGGGTGGTCCACGCGACAGGCAGTTACGCAGGAGGAGTCGTCGCCACAATTTTTTGCGCATTGGTTATTGAATTCTGTGCAGATATAGTAGGGCATTGTGAGGGTATATTCGGACGTGTTGGGGGTGATTCCGTTGCTGCAAACGCAGGAGTATTGGAGGGTGTCCTGTTTGTTGATTGTGGGTTGTTGGTTGGTTAGTCCAATGACGACGATGACGATGACGATGACGATGATGTAGAGTCTTGGGGTCTCCTACCGCGTCACAATCATTTGACTCGGGGTCTTCAGTTGTTCCCGGGAGCTGCAAGCAGATCAAGGGACAGGAGCTCATCTGATTGTTGCACCATGTCTCTATAGACGAATGTTAGAGATGTTTGGTTCGGTTTCGGAAATTGGCGAATAGTTATGAACTCACCTCTGATAGCTTCGGAAATGTTTGAAGGATCGACGGATTGCGAGGTAGCGAACCCAGCAATGGATGAGAGGGCAAGGAGGATGGTGGGGAGCAACATGGCTGCGGGGGGATTTCGCCGTGGTGATATCTGGAATAATTGACGAGATGTTGGACAGCCAGAGAAAAAAAAAGGGGGGGGCGCCAATTGAAACAAGCGTGGGCAAAAATTAATAAAGCTATATACGACTGAACGAGAGAAGGAGAAGGAGAAGTCAAGCGAGTGACAATTGAAGCGGGAAAAGATCAACGACGGCGGGAGAGCGGGGGAACAAAGAAGGCAAAAGTAAGGCGAGGGAGCAAGAGAAAGAAAAGAAAGGAAGAAGAACACAGGAAATCGAAGGATGCGAGACAGCAACCACAACAGAGAGAGTCGGGGGAGGCGTCCCAAACGCGCTAGGCCCGTTGTTGGAGAAGCAGCAGCAGATCCGGCCGATTTAGCTCAGCCATTTACCTAGGCAGGCAGTTAGCTTTGATTCTGCCATTCTCCGGCCCAATGAGGTGGATGGTGGAGATGGTGATGATGGCATCATATTGGATGCGTGATCATCCAGCAAGCAGGACACGGCATATATTTCCTTTCTTCTTGCAGGTGCTCCGGGTCCCAGAGTTGCACCGGCAATACCACCGCGGGGAATATCCAAGACACGCGTGGGTGGTCCGCCAGTCGAAGCAGCCTGCCCGGGCACTTCTGCCAGCGTGTGTGTGTTTGTGGGTGTGTGGATGAAACGCTGTCTCAGCCATGGACGCCCTGGAACTGGCGGCGGGGAGGGGAAGCAAGCTTGGAAGCTTAGCGGAGCTGTTGTCAGGGATCAGCTGCCATGGGCAAACAAGCCCCCTTTCCTCCGCAGGGGTTGGCTGCACCTGGGGCCAGCGCTAGGCCTGGAACGGCCGCTGGATGCCCTAAGCCGAGGTTGACAGGCTCCAGGTCCCCTGCCCCGATCGCCAATTGAGTTTGTTATGGAAACTACCCACTGTAAAGAGTAAAGATAATATGTCATCCTTTCTATGGCCATGTCAAACTTAGACATCTCCCGTTGATAATGATATTGTTTGAAAGGACAGATTCATGGTGTAGATCCGATCTGATTCGATCCCAGATGATGTCAGTAGAAAACCCAAGATCACACGTAGTCTGAAATGATCCTGACCCTTATTTATTCTGCTATGGACCTGAGCACTGGTGGGGGTTATCAGCTTACTGCGTCACCCCGTTCATGGGCAGTTTTCCTCAGCCATTCTCTGCTCCTATCAAGAGAGAATATAAAAATGGATTTTTCGAGGCATACTCTTTGTAGGGCTGGGCTTTGTTACTAGCTCTGAGGTTTACTATTTGTAGATACGGAGAAAACCAAAAACGGTTGCAAAGGCTGACCAGGAGAAGGAGAGCATCTCCATTCTTTTCTACCCCTCCTCCAATGCCCGAAGTTGAAACTACAACACATGTATGTGTATGAAGCATCATCATCATACTTTCGCCGGGGGGGGGGGGGGGGGGGGTGCTCGCACCGAAACTGAACAAATGATCTGTGAAGTGAGAAGGAATGCTTTCAAACTTATAGCAAGGCACTGGGTCTGGGTGTCTATCTCGGTATATATTTATATCTGTATCAGTATCGCGTCACGGCATGGTTGCAATTATTGGAGAGACATTGGAACGGGCAAAGAACCTTGGAACTCAATTCCAGAGCATATCACTCTTGTGATTGGCTGGCAGGACAAGCTCCTCACATGACATCAGCTTCATCTTCAATGAGTTAGTTATTCCTCAACTTGCTACTGCACTGACCCTCTCCGGTTGGGTGATATGGCTGCTGCCAGCGACTTATATACTTCTTTTAATAGTAGCTGTAATTCATCCCGCTTGGTATGTGCAACTACTATATCCCGCGGCGTACAAGCTTCACTGCCTAGTGAGCTAGATTATGCTGATGATCATTTCGCAGGCACACAGTTTTTGAACATATTTCTTTTACTTTACGGAACTTACCAACGCGCCTAACCCTCTCCTTCTACCCACTTCCGAGGAAGCGTAGCTCAGTTGAGCTCATCGGGACCCGCTATTCCTTCGAAAAAGTCGCATCCTTCGACTGCACCACGTCCTAAACACAAGCCAAAAAGCTCTTTCTGCCGTAGTCCTTGCTTGCTCGCCACCTGTCAAATGGATGGAGCCGGCGAATGAGGAGGCACAGCCACCTCACATGCAGCAACCGCAACATAATCAAAAAGAGCGGCAAAAATCTGTCCCCGTCTCTCTTTTCAATAACACCACGATTTCTCCGCGTAATTTCTCTACCAATCTCACAACGGCCGCCTCCACCACCACCTCTGAAAGCAACGATTATAACATCACCTCAGCGGCCGTGGCATCAGGAGCAGCAGTGGAACAATCACCACATTCGGATGAGGAGCCACCGCCATGGATAGCTCCATCAATGTCAACGGCTATATCAGGCGTAACCCCCCCTTATTGGCGGCACCATAGGAGCGTATCCCTGGCATCGCAGACGTCACTAGAAGCCGCCACGGCACAGCGCAGGTCACTTATACGCCTGGAAGACCACACGGAGGACCCAGCCAGCGAGACGAGCCAGGGCCTTTGGGCGCGCAGCGTGTTGATCGAGGATTATATTGTTGTGAAGGGGGGGAGGTCTGGGATTGGAGCATATGTTGTGTGGATTTGTAAGATTCAGACGTTGGAGGTTTGTGTTTTCCTGTCCTCTATTCTTTAATGTTTTTTCGGGTGTCTTTTCATGAGCTAATCTTTCTATGGGGACATAGGGTGGTCTCGTGGTGGTTCGGATGAGGTATGTACTGTACATACTCCCATGTACATACATGTACAGCACATGCATTGCGCATAAAATATGTCCACTCTTATAAGATAGACTAAAAAAATTCCACAGATACTCCCAATTTGACGATCTACGATCCAAACTAGCCATTGCTTTTCCCCATGCCAAATCGGCACTCCCTCAACTCCCGCCCAAGAGCGCCATATGTATGCCACCCCATTCCCCCTTCCCGGAACTCCGATATAAATACCGCCTTCAATCCATTGTTTTGCAAAGTTTTGGCGCATGCTGACAAGTGCCTTAAAATCTCCAACCACAGTCAAATTCAGCCCTAAGTTTCTAGAAAGGAGACGAGTTGGACTTGAATATTTTTTAAAGTGAGTTGAAAAATATGTATTGAAGAAGCTCCCCAGTATCTATATCCGTCTATCTAAAGCTCCCTATTTCAACTAGCTTTTTTAACTAATGGATTCTCCACCAGCTGCGTGCTTCTCAATCCTGAATTTTCCGGATCGCCTATACTGAAGGAAGTTTTGTTTAGCCATGTCGGTTGATAGCGTGTGCTGTTTTGAGGTTGCTCGTCCCTTCGTTTCTGGCCCTTTCTTGTTTCGGCCTTCTTCATTTACTGTTATTTCTTTTAGTTATTTTTAGTTCGTATATTCGTATATACCTTTCCGGTTGCAACCCCTTTCTATGATAATGAAATTGCATCGACATGAATCAAGGAGCTAGCGCTTTTTTCTTTCTCCCCCTAACATCGAGGTTTACTATGTAGATCTCGATCTTTGTTTTTGTTTGTGTTTTACTTGACTTCGACCAGAAGCGCTAGTCTTGGCAGAAGATCCCAATTTTGGGTGATTATCTAATCTGATCGTGAGAGTTAGTTAAACTAGTTCATTACCTGTGACCAGACAATACCTGTATTGCCAACTGTAACTTTCAGATTTCGGAGCACCAAAAAGCCTGACCCCGCCCTTCCATCTGCCACAACAAACCTGCGTATGAGGGCTGGCATGTATGGTTCGATACAGCCCTACCCCACAGCCGAAACGCCGTAATATTTCGCCGTACTGTCACCTCGCCCCTTGGACGGCGAACGGGAACGAAAAACCTGCTCGCGATGAGACGACACGAGACAAGAGCGAGAGTCAAAGAAGCCCGCTCGATATTCTATCCAGGCGAGCCCGGGAAACTATCCTCAGTGCTGCTTTTGTCCTTGCTAGAAGGGCCATGACCTGCCAGCGACCAATCTCCATCCCGCCATGGTTGCTCGCTCAGCACCGACGTTGAGATTTTCCTCCGTGCAACACCAAGATCTCCTTCCAGCCGCATCGCCCGATCCACGAAGCAAGATTTCCCCTTTCGCCCACGACACCACCAAAACAAACCCTAAACCCTCCACCGTCACCACACGTCGAAATGCCATAATCCAGCAACAACAACAACAACAACTGCTGCAGGGCCACCAACTCCGAAATAAACTAAAACCCCTCCGACAATCCAAACTCCCCTTTTCCACCCCTGCCTCCTCTTCCGCCTCCCACCGCCTAGGCCCTGGTTCTGGCCCTCCCCCGCCTCCCCGTCAACGCCAACCCACCAAGACAATTCCGGCCCACGAACGGCCTTTCAAAAAGGCAAAGCTGGATGGTCGCCATCATGACCAGGCATCCATCACCGGGCCTGCAAAGCTTCCCTTGCGCAGCAGGGACTTGCAAGGCGTATTATTGACCCCGGATCCAACCACCACCACTAATACAAGAACCACAACAATATCATCAGCTGCATCTCGGACGCGGTCTGCTACTACTGCTGCTGCTGCTGCTGCTTCTGCTGGCGGTGGTGGAGGTGGTAATGCTACTGCTCCCACTACCCTGGGTCTAGCCGAGGTGGCCCGCTCCCCCGTTTTGACCATTCCTCGAACAACGCGCAGATCTGCACATAGTCACCATCGCCCTCCCGTGGTGGTGAGTGAGGATGTGGAGAAGCCTGATGGGCTAGCGATCGCGGATGATCATGATGATGGTAATCATAATCAGCGTAAAAATGACGGAGGGAATGTTAGTAGCCTCAGGAGAGGCGCGCATGCGTCTGCGTTTGGGGCTGATCGGCGTATTGGTGGTGGAGAGATTGCTACGCGTAATGATAACTTGTTGAAGGGTGGGACTCCTTCGTCGACTACTGTTGTTGGTCGGGAGAGGAGGTCGTTACGGTCTCACGATGGAGGGTCGAGGTCGAAGAGTGAACTGGCGTTGTATTTTCAGAATTATGAGCAGATTCTTAGCTTGGAGCCTGTGAAGCCTGGTGAGTTTTCTTTTGATCTTTTTTTTCTTTTTGATCTACCCTATATTTTTATTTTTATTTTTTCTTTTCTGTGTGATTTGAGTCTGTTATGTTTTTGCTACGCAGTCCTGTAAAACATAACTAGTTTTGCTCTGCCTGCATATCTTATTTGCTGTCTATTTGCTAACTTTCGACAGAGTTTCTATCGGCAGACACCACAGTCTTTCTCATCGATGATCTCACCCAGCCCATCACACTTAATCCTCCGCCGACAAATGCATCAGCGGCCAAACTTAGAGGAAAACAGCAACATAAAAGAAATCTAATAGACGACGAAGTCGTGCAATCAGGAATGGACAACCCACTTCTTGAGTTGCATGATGCCCAAATACTCGACCTACGGCCATCAACAAATAATAGTAGGAAACCACCAAAAGATCCATTGGATGACGATGTCTACTTCAAGGCCCACCGGAGAATTGAACGGCAAGAGAAGCAGCTTCGGAATATTGAAAAAGAGAGGGCTCAGCATGAAAAAGTCCAGCTGGATCGACTACTTGATGAGCTTCAGGGTCATGACTGGCTACGAGTTATGGGTATAAGTGGAATCACAGAGACGGAAAAGAAGCTATACGAACCGAAACGCGCGTATTTCATCAAAGAGGTGTCGGCGTTGATTGAGAAATTCAGATTATGGAAAGAAGAGGAGAGACGAAGAAAGATGGAAAAAGATCAATCCCTCGCTGGCGAAGTCGACGACGGTGAAGATGAAGGAGATGATAACGAAGAAGACGAATCCGAGGCCGAGGATCACGACGACGATGAAGCACAGGAAGTGGTTGACCAATCCAACCCATGGGGAAATGGTAACAGGCCCCAACCCAACGGGGACCTGAACTCTCCTTCTCCAGACTTCCAAACCTACGGTGAGCCCCCAGACATCAATGATGTCGATGCCTGGGCAGCCCACCAGCTCCATCAAGAAGCCATCTCAGCCTCCTCAAACACAGCCCGCCACACCAACCTACGTCCCGAACATGTCTCCATACCACCATCTCCTTCATCTTCATCATCATCTTCTTTTTCCTCCCCTTCGTCCTCATCCTCCTCGCCTACATCCACATCCACATCCTACCCTGCTCCTACTGGCCGCGATTCTGACCCAGCTGCCGCTACCCTTAGCCCCGCCACGACACACATCTCTGCACAGGCACCCACCTCACCAACACCACCGGCACCACCGCCGCCAGCCCAACCAGAACCCCAGCCGTTTACATCATTCTATACGAAACGGCACCTCCGTGACGCCGCCGTCGGGAAAATCCGACGGGGCCGCTCGCGGACCGCGTTCGGGCAGCCGCTGCCAGAAGTAGCGGCGCGGGAGTTCCAACTGCCTAGAGACATCCTTACGGAAGAGGCGATCGATGCCTGTCAGAGGAAGAAGAGGCGGCTGCGGAGGGCGCGGAGGGCTTGATGGGATGGAGTTTGATTATTTTTTTATATTTTTTTTAACTTTATTTACTTATAAGATCCTGTGGAGAAACGTGGGTGGGGGGAGGGGGGCAAAGAAAAGGGAGTGTGCGGTGGTGAAACCGACTTGAAACCAAGTAGAGTGTATATACAACGCATGCATGTCGGGCGCGCGGGTTCTTTTATCGGGATGGGATATTAGAGGATGATGACGCTGTGGATGGGTACAGTACATTTACCGTACATTGATTGAGCTCTGGCGTGTGTGTGGGGAACGGGGGCTTGTTTTTGCTTGGTTTTTCTATATCAACTCCTGTATGATTATTTTACATTTAGCCCTTTTTTATAGGTATCACTATTTAACATTGCGTCATTGCGTCATCCCCCCCCCCACACCCATATACAACGGCTACAATGCTGAGCTACACCGATTGCATTGAAAAATTTTATACATCACGGATTGGGTTGGTCAAACACATTTTCTTTTATTGGGGCGAGTGATGATGGGAAGGTGCTATTATAAAATGCACCAGAGTATCACAAGTTTCTCCTGAGAAAAAGTGGTGATTTGTTTGGTTTAAGCTGTTTCTGTTTTATATTTCTTATCTAAATGCAACAAGCTACATAATTCAATGGATTGATAGATAGTCAAGCAATCGCAAATAAACAAAATAAGTAACTAGTTAGTTAAACAAAGAAGGGTGAATTGCAAAAACCAGTTTAGACTGGAATACAAAGAGTTTATTTTTTATAATTGAGGTGTGTATTTCCTCATTGATTTTTCTATATTGATATATATATATATATCTATCTTCTGCTCAACTGTGTTTTGAAATCCAATTATATGAGTTACGATGGAGGTGGAAGGTTAGTTCGTCGTTCGTAACTATATAGCGGGCGCAGCACTGTTTAAATAGGTGTAGTCACGTGGTATTCTAGCGAGCGATAGGGATGCCAACAGATAACTAAAGAACAAAATGTGATGATTATTGAACAAGGGAAGGTATTTTAAAATCCACCTACAGCAGATACAAGTAGCATCTTTGTTTAATTTTATTTTCACTGGTTTCATAATTCTATAGTGTTGAGCAGAGTAAAGTGCAGGTGCTTCATCTTTAGCCAACTGGGGCAACTTTCACATCACCTGCGTTTCAATGCTGCTATTACCTGAAATTAGACAGTGGTAACTTTATCATGCTATACAAGAAAGAAGTTAAATATGTGTTATAATTTTGCACTTGGCTGGGTATATCACCTATGTCAGAAACACCATAAGCATTTTTACATAGAATGCATTCATTGGCAGAGGACTACTATGTACTGTGTGTGACAAATAGGTCTGCTGCATGTGTGCCATTTAAGAGTTGAAGTGAAGTTAAATGGCATGACTGTTCCTGATTTCAATCTCTGTCTAAAGTAAATTTCAACCAAGCTGAATTGAAATCATATTCTCAAATCCTCTAACTCATAAAAAACATTTCTTGACTGTTTCAAGTGGCAATATCTCTTATCCACCGCCACCCACTCATCCCATGTTTATGTTCACACTCAGGCTTATGCTCATGTCCATGTTAATGCAAGTCTTTGAGAGGCTAGGCCAAAGGTCAAAATGTCGTATTCTTTAGAAAGGGAGAAGTGTTGCTAGGTGTAGAAAAGTGAGTCGGAGCAGTGAGGCCGTAGGGTTATTCCGCCATCTGTTAATAAACAACTATCTCCTTCCGCAACAAGCAAGCCAGCTCTTTTATGGCTCCGCAAATTTTGAAGCGTGAGGTTGGTCCGTTCTGCTAGCAGCTTCGGCGATTTTTGTTTTGTTTTGTTTTGTTTTTCTTTTTTTCTTCCCCCATTAATAATAAACGCGGTATAGTTATAGGGCTGATACACGGAGCGAGTTAGTTAAGCTCCTAGCTACCACGCCAAATACCAAGGCCCACAGTCAAATTGGCAACCGGGTGGATCTCTCGTCGGCTTCTCGTTAGTGAAAAGGTAATTTGGACATCAACCGCCGGTTTAACTTGAATAATCACAACACGTGGTTGCATATGGTATACCGTCTCTCAGCCATGGTTGGTGGAAAAAACATTCACTGAATGCAAATGTCGAACGTATTAGAGATGAGAGATGGAAGTTAACAAATTTTGATTATTGTGGCACCCCCTGTGACAACTTTTCATCCAGTTAGCCGTGCCATCTGACCAGGCAAATTTCATCACCGTCCGTAGCTCGATCCACGTTGTTGCTCTTACGAGCGTAGGGAGTTATAGGATATATCTGCAGCGCCATTTCGTTCATTAGACTCTTGGGTTTCGAATGCAATGGAAGAAAGGTTGACGTACCTGCAGAATGTTCGTCGAGAGATTTTGAAAAGGTACATACTAGTACTCTTGCAGATTCTCGAGTATTTTGTACCAGGCTTGCAGCCCGGGAGATGGTGAGGATCACCAAAACTGACTCTGGAGCAGTGAAAGTACGCTTTCCCTTTTGTTCTGGTTGTGGCGGATATGGGAGTCGTCTGGAAAGAAAAAGAATCTGTGAGAACATTGTCAAATGATTGTTAACGCACGGGGGCGCTGTGAAAGGATGCTGGTAAGAAGGCTGCCATGTCTCCAAAAGAGGCGGGCAGCACGAGCAACCACTGCAGTCAGCATGGGGCTCCATGTCAAAATGATAAGTCAATTACGAGTAATTTACCAGAGATAATCAAGCAAAAGAATCTAACTGGAGAATACAAAGGTGACTTTTGAAATGAAAGATGGCACTATAGATTTTGTGCAGCCGCCCAACGCTGGCTCCTTTAGCGCCCGGCCAGACGAGCAAGTTTGCTGTGCGTCAAAGCAAATTTGAAAACTCTGCAACATCTACCTACGAAGTGCTGGGAAACACCAATCATCCATGTCCTCCAGTATTAATTTCCTCAAGTTCAGAGACCGGGAGAAGCCACCCCGTCATGTTGCAGAAACGCCATGGATCAAAGCGAACAAAAGAGCGAAAAGGAGAAATGAAAATACAAGAAAAGTGAGGAATACAGGAGAAACATGTAGAATGGCATTGTCTGGAATTGGCATAATTTTAACTTGCGTCGATACGACAAGGTGATAGACCATAGAAAAATTAAGATCCACTCGGCGCCGATGGCACAACCGTATTTATGGAGGCGGAATTCGCACGTCGCCGGATTTTTGCAGAACGAGCTTTCCTTCTAATTGAAATCTGACGAACCGATATTGTTTCATATCTGCCACATGGTATGGTCATCACAGGTGTCAAGTCACCTTCTGAGAAAATTGAGTGTTTCCCTTAACGCGCGCCAACACATCTCCGGATATGTAACGATTCCCTGATGTGGGATACAGTCTGGTTTCCCATGCCCGCTGCGGCTTGGAGATGTACAGTACAATCATGATATGTGAAGCGCTTTTTATCACTATGTTGTTGGTTAAGTATCGACGGAAATTACCTTTAGTGAAGATCCGATAGAATCACAACTGCTGGTCGATAGTTTCATAAGCCACCCAACAATGAAAGCAATGATGATGCTCAGTACACCGTTTCTTCAAAAACATCTACACCATTTTGCTGAATGCCAACTAGAACCGAGAAAGCCCGATGAGCCCCTAGCACTCGGATGTTTTTTTTTTTTTTTTTTTTTTTTTAACTTGTACTAGGGCGCATGTTGTAGGGCGCATGTCGCTGAGTGTCAACTGTTGAGCATTCGCTGTGGCCATATGAAAACTGAGAAATTTGCTTTTATTGACTTGTCACACATAGCACGCCCCTATTTGGGTCCAAAGTCAACAAGCCCGTCAGTCTGACTGGCTGGTTTGTCCAGTGCTTGAGGGAGGAGCAGACGTCTCGGATCCTATCTTCAGATATTTGTAAATTCACGTTAGCAGAGCAGAAGTCTTAAAATACCACACAGTCTGTGGTGTTAGTAGAACAGGCAGACCCTGTCACTTTCCAGCCTCGAACTAACATGACGACCTTGGCGGGGCTCCATAAAGATTCAAGGGCCCTGTTAGCGTGTTTATCACACTTGTTCCCTCCTCGATGGCGCCTGGCGTTATTTTCCCACTTTTGTCTTCAGTTCCTGAACCAAGATAACCCCGACGCATGCTACTCAAAGTGGATGCCTTCCAACTCATCCTTTTGATTTAGCCAATAGCTGCTCTAGAGTGACTTTCGGCTTATCGTCAGAAACACAGCTGCGTAAAAAATGCGCTAGATGTGGGCCCTTAAATGAGGAGCAGAGGGTTTCCTCCGCGTTAAGTGATGGTATTGCTCACATCAAGACTTTGTTTTTAAAAACTCATAGAGATCCCATGAATTTGACGAGTGCGACCGTCGATCTGAGACATAATGGAGGGAGGAAAAAAAGGAAAAAATCCTACCTTGACTTCGACCTGAAGGAACGAGGCCTGAAATGGAAACTTGACCGAAAAAAATTAGTAACCATATGCTGTTTCAAACGTTTCAACAGGTATTGTATTTTAAAAAAGCATGAGGAAAGAAATGAAAAAGAATGAAAAAATTAAAATAATATATTAAACAGCCAGCCTAACAAAGCCACGACGAAGCTGCAGACGCCATAACGGGCGTTGCAAACCTTTTCCCTGGTCGGATATGTTCGAAGGCGCCTGGGATATTGAAGGGTAAAGTAGAGAGCGTCTTTGTTATCCAAAAAGTCAACGGCCACGTAGGTGAGGGGGGAGACGTCAATCTCCTGAGAGAATTTTCCGGCTACTGTAAGCACTCATCGGGGTGGAGCGATGGAGCCATGAAAGAGAACGGAAGGGAAATGGGGGAAATGCAAGAAGGCAAAGTAGAAAAGAGGCACAAGTGTGGAAAGACCAGCTATGCTTAGGAAAATAAAGACACTCGCGCGCTGAAACGAATTTTCCTTGAAATTTCTTTAATTAGACAGTTCTAGGAGGGTGAGAAAGCCATCATTGGGGTATCCGTCACGGTTGTCTTAATTAGGACAGAAGTAACTGTGTAAGCTCAATTCCCTAGCACTCTTCGGCTACTCCTAAATTTCCCTGGCCATTTGTTTGCAGGTCCCAACTCCGGAGAGGATAGAATGACACTACCAAAAAAAAGCCTGAACGCTGCGCGAAACCTTCGTGGTATGGACGACAGCCCAATGTCAACAATAAATGCGACCTGTTCTGGAACCGATTTCTCGCACCAATTATATCATTAGCAGAAATTGCAAACCCAAAAAATCCCGCATGTGTCAGGCGTCCATTTGTGATAGTTGCCTCATTTCTGCGCCGATATCCAACTTGTGTCTCAAATGGCTAACTTGAGGCAACATTTTAAAGTCTAAATCACATTAGTATCCGATAGTTGCGTCCTTTGTAACATATAAAATAGTTGGGAGGTTGTATGCTCGAATAGTTGACCTGTAGTAGAGCTTCCTCGATAAACTGTAGCTGTTTCGATTTATTCTCGCTCGTCTCTCCAATCACAGAAAATTTCTTAGAACAAAAGCGGATATGCCACAGCTTATAGGTAGTCCGGACGGTGTTCCCAGTAGTTTCTCGAGTGTTCGGGCCGAGTGTGGTATTGCGGACGGGTCCGACGCTCAAAAGTGAACTGAGGGACGTCAGGTTTAGGCCGAGAGATGGCTGTCATCCTCTCGCAACATAAGTAGCCCGGAGCATGATTACCTTAGGTCGCTCGCAAGTCCACCCGAAACTGATCTCCAGTTGGCCGGGGTGGAGAGATTCACAGACGCGAGGGAATTCATTGGTGGTATGTACTGTACATTCGTGCAATTAGCATGACCGGTATCGCTTCTAGGATCCTCAAGGCAATTTTTCATGAAGATCCTATGTTTCCACAAGATGTCCACAAACTCGCCCGGGCAGGGGACCCCTTGGAACCGGGATTCCATGCCGCCGCAGGACGCAGAAAAGCGAGGCTAACGGCGAGGCAGCCGGGCTTGGCCACCCAATTCCATGGAACTCATTCAGCAATGGCTGGTTGGATGCTGTAAAACGAATCACGGTTTGGTGGGCTTCGGGATGGGCGACGGTCCGGAACTCGACAGCCACCACCAAGGGGCACACGATCTAACCCAGTAAACGAAGACTAAGATTCGACTAGGTTTGTCTTTGGATGGGGCCTTACATGACAGCGGGCGAAGCACGCTTCGACGTGAGCGACCGGGGCAATGGTGTGGGAATACCACAAATAGCCAGGCTAACGGATGTGGCAGCTAGGAGCAACTTTCACTTCTCAACAGTTTACAGCCCAATGGTATTCATACATCTCAGTGGGAGAGGCAGGGGTGCTAGGCAGAATATCGAATAATCAGGTCAACGGCAAAGGAAGTTTACTCAATCACTGTTATTTCAGTGTTAAGTAACAAGGACCCCGGTGATGATGATGGGGATTGGGGTTGATGTAGACCCGCTTAAGTTCCCTGCTAGGAGCGGGAGGCCCAAGGTCGTTGTACCACAGCATGCTCAACAAGCTTTCCCAGCCGAAAATTTGAACCAAATGCTCAGCTTCTTCAACCACGTTCAGCTCTACGGCCCAAAAATGGTACTTTAATTTAAAGCATGTTTAAGGGGAAGAACATGGGATTGCATACATATCCTCAAATTCAATTTCATTACCACTTCAAGGCTTATTTAGCCGGCGATAAATTTGGAGCGGTAGTTGTATGCGGACTAGTCAATCCCTGACACTTCTCAGCTGGGAAGCGCGATAGGCTCTTTGGCACCAGGAGAATATTCCACGATCCAAGCCGGCGAGGTGAAGAAATCGACGTATAGTTCCAGCCGTGGGTAATTTTTCTCAACAACACTGGTGTGCCATGCTGCTTGCCCAAAAGGGTGGGAATCTTGTCGTGGCCCATGGGAATTTAGCGCCCATGACTGGGGTCGCACGCGATGAAAAGGAGGTCCCTGTGCTGTTATGGTGGGTCCAAGGAGGATAGCCCTTCAATAGCGTGTTTTTCGAATAATAATTTACTCCTGCAGAAAATGGACGCATGTCGGTGTAGGGGAAGCGACGATAAATAAATAAAAAATCATGATGAAAGACGACAGACAACCGTCCAAAGCAAAAGCAAAGCAATCAGTAAGATGAAACGTAGGGCCGTAGTGGCGGGCGGCTAGGTATGCAAGGGTTACCGTCCTGGTTTTCCGCCGTACTTTTGCTTGAAAATTAAATGCCAGATGAGTTGCAAAAAGTATCGAGATGTGTATTTCATAAATAACAGTACTCCAGCCGCCTTGCGTACGCCTACCATGGCCCCACCAAAGCTCTAGATACAGCTAAGGGGATATCTCAACGATTCCCCGAAGGCCAGAGGGCCCTCATAGTGAAGAAGTACGCGCGGAGCCAATAGGAATGCAAATATAGTCACCTTGACGAATCGGAGTCCAGGATGAACGGTACGAATTGAGAGGAAGGTCGATGTGGACGGTGTTGATGTCTTTTCAGGAGGAAAGCTGACCTATCTGGCCCAACAACGGGTCTCCAATCACGAATGTCGCGGCTGACGGTGGCTAGAATGGAGAGGTTTAACTTCGTCCAGGACATTGGCTAAGGCGGGCATGTGTCGAGTCAGAGGGGAAGTAGTTTGAAGCTGAACAGGCGGTGACCGACTCGAGCTATTCCCAGCTGCCTTCAGGCGTGTACGATTGTTGTTACAGGTCATTTAACGACCCATCGTATCCAGTCCTGGGATACCAACAGGACAGAGAGTTACCCCTTTTTTGGACGCGAGTATCGAACAAAAAGCAAGCCCACCGACATCACTGGTCAGTCAACAATCCTCGACACATCTCAAACTCCCAGGAGATAAAATATTTTCCTCGTCGTTCGAAGGCTCTGCTGTCCAAGCATCTGTCGTCCTTCAATAAAGAAAATAAAAGCCACGAGAACATTTGGCGTGATACCAACCCAAGTGAGTCCCACTAAAATTCAACGAAAGGCAATAGCACCTGCTGACGAGCCATAGCATGGAAAACAAAGAGCAGTCTCCAACGAGCTTCCAAGAGGGCCTTGAGCAGAGACACGCCGAGTTTGTCAACAAGGACAAAAGCGACTGTATAATTCGATGGCGGGAAAAAGTCAAACAGCAGTGCGGGTCGGAAGCTGCTTTCCATCACACGGATGTCGCGAGCATGGGAGATCCAGAGTTGATTGGCCCTAATGGGACGCACCCGCAAACCAGCAAAGTGGACGTCAAAGGGGATTCGACTTAGATAGTTCACAAGCATTCAACCATCACCGTATACGATTGATCATCAAAGCACACGAATACAGCGAACGATCTTCGCCGTAACCAATAGCTGTCGAATTGAAGTTTTGTGGATGCAGAGGCACGACGGATAATATATCTGTATCCGTATGTCATGTCAACATATCCGAACGAGCCGATAAACTGCGAGATAGTTAGCAAGAACGAGGGCTTTACGTCAAGCGGCAAATCAAGTCACCGCCCATATGATCATTGAAGGCGCTTGGTTGAATATGTACCTGAATTAGACCTCCGCAAGCCAGATAGCAACAATTGAAATTTTTATTTTGGGTTCAAACGCCCTCCCCTTCCCAAATGGCATACCTTTGCACGTTTGGATAAGGACAAGAAAGCTCCATCCAAGCACGGCGGACAAGTATCCATGGGTCCTGTTAGTTCCATTTTCTTCATTAGGAGTTTTCATACTGCCGGAGATGAGAACATCTTGCGATCAAACCATCATGCCATCACAGATGGAGACTTTGGATATGTATATGTCGCTCATCATCAAAGGCATCTTCTGCTCATTGCTATCTCATTGCGGCACATATCAAAAACTGCAGTTGTCTGAGCGAGCGGATCGGTTGGCTTGCGCCTCTGACACCCTTGCCAAGGGTGACCCCAGACTTACCAGTTGTCCAACACAACCTTAGTACAGCTGATAGAATCTGAGCAAAATATGGTTAGCACACTTGTACGAAAAACATAGTGACGCAGCCTCAGGATAATTCACGTTCATCAATATCAGAGAGAAGATTATGTATTCGTCCTGGCCAGAAACCAAACTGTCTTTTTTGAACTTCGTTCCTGGGAGAGGAAAGAAGGCGAAGACAGGATGGATCCGACATACGATTAAGGATGACGATACGAATATTTTCATCATTGCGTTCGCTATCCGTCAGGGAAGGGTATGCACGTACATTGGACATGCTGCTGCGGCAGGTAACAGTGAGCATCCAAGTCGCAAAGTTCGGTTGGCTTGCAATGGTGAAACATCCCCGTTGAGACAGCGTTTTGCAGGATTTCCACGGCTTGCTATCTGTTGCCGCCGTTGACAGTAAGTCACAGTCGTTGTGGGATACTGGGCTATAGTTATGCCTAATCGTCGTAGCTGACCAAGCGTCGGCCAAAGGGATTCGTGCCGGTTGACAATTGTTTCTGAGAATTTCCTAAGGCCTTTCTTTGGTCCACATTCTTCAGCGAGTTTCTGGCAATTTTATCCGAATCTTGGATTGTGGCTTCTTCCGTTTCTTCCGTTGACCGCTTGTCCAGCTCGTGACATGATTTCCCGGTGCTTTCGAAGCTTTCCTGTTCATGTTCCTGTGAAGCTTGGCTATATTCATTGGCCGCCAACTGGCCTGCAACAGTTAAAGAGCTCCTGGTTGTGTCAGCTGAGGGTTCGCCTTCAGCTGGTTCTCTGCCAGCTATCCCTTTCCGTCTCCTCTCGCGCTGCAACTTTTGTATCTCGCTGTGCCTAAAGATTTCGATCTGCTGGTCTGTAAGGGTTCGTTTGGTGCCATCCGGGTAGTATCCCAGATCATCATCATCCAGGTGTTCGGAATCCGTTACCGGTATCAGGGAGTGCAGTGTGTTATTGTTGTTGCATTGCAGGAAATGGCGGACATTGAATTCATGGAGATCATGCTTTTTTTAACATCCCCTATGGTTAGCTTGGGAAGTTCAATTAAGGGTACAAGGCGCATACGAGTGTGACCGTAACCTGCGGTTGATATGACATTGGGATAAGGCCCTAAGGTTGGCAACCGTTCCGTATTCTTTCCAAGATCAATACACAGGCCTGGCAGATACCTTTCAAAGATAATTGATTTCACTGACAGGAGTTTGGTCAAAACAAAGAGTGAGATATGAAGGTTTCACAAAGGCGGTCGCCATGGGCCGGGGCCTCTCTTTTTCCGACTGTTAGTTAGAAACCCTAACCAAACGGCTTTTAACGCCGTTCAAAGTCAATATTCCCTTTGAACAACTCCATTTCCGAATTCTCGAATAATGCTGATGCTGCTTATCATAATTGATGATGTCTGGCAATAGGGGTTGGGCCCGAACGGGAAGCTCAAGGAACCAGTCAGTTGGTATTCGACATGGACGCTACCCGTTGTCGCGAGCGCTGAAGGGTCCCTTTATAATATCACTTCCTACATCCAGCACTCCATGGCAATGATTCCTGCAAGCCACTGGGTAAACGATGTCGCCGGCTGGTCAGGCTAATAACAATGCATTTCAACAAAACGGAAGTCAAAGCGGCCCCGAGGTCAGGGTGATGAGGCACGCTATTAGGCCGCGTGGGGGCCCGCCCAAGCCGCTGTCTAGAAATCACAGACAATTCGAAGCACTATGTAATTCCCAGAATATTTTGCCTCAAACCAAACCATTATTATTGGATGGATTAACTATTTGCAATGCCAATAGGCACTTGCTGCGTTTCCGACGACCCGCACTCAATGCGCGAATCAACTAACGAACCTAACTCGCCTCGTGAATTTTGGGACATATCATAAACATATCAACGCTCAACAACAGGGTATCCAAGCATGGCCGAGAATTCAATAGCCTTGAATGATCAAATAAATAAAAGCTACCCTTTAAATCTACAGTCCACAGAACCCACCTTCATCGAGAACCAGAGTTGGAAGCTCGAGATTGTGGATGATATTACCAATTTTGAGCTTCACACTGCTAAAGAGGATTTCGATTTCCTTAACTTTGTGCAGCTCCACCGACGCAACCCGCTCCTTATCTTCCAGTGACGGTTCTGCAAGGCTCCATGCGATAGATACATGGAAGTAATCAGAATAATCTGCTACGGCTAGAGAAGATGTTGACCTCGGCCCCGTGGACTTTTCAGTATCGTGTTTCTTCGTCTGCGTGTTTACTAGGGCTTCGTCATGATAAAGCGGTGGTTGCTGGAAGGCAGCCAAAGATTTGTTCGAGATGGCCAACAGGCGATTCAGCTCGTTATTTGTCGGTTTTGTAACCCGCAACACAAGAAACCACCGCGTCTCCTCAAAGTTTGACACCCAGTCTAACCCAACCGGTTTCACATGAAACCTTAACATTCATCAGATCATTCATAGCCAAGAAGGACTATTTCAAAATGTGATGGTTTCATATATACACAGAGCGCACACGAAGACTTACGGACGAATATCAGATTCACGCAGTGCATCGGTGAGCAAGTCTCTAAAAGGTTGTCTGTCTTCCGTGAGAAGCATAACGGGACGTGACAGGCTAATATGCAGCTGTACTTGGGCACCAAGATCGGTGTGTAGCAAGCCATGGATTGTCGACGGGAGTTTCTGATCACACCGAGCTATCGCCTCTTCAAGAATGGCTAGCTCTGTTGGTGCAGGGAACCCTCCAACAACGCAGCAAATCAGTTTAGCGAACAGGGCCGAGGGAACCATCAAAAGAAGACAAAGAAAAAAAGAAACTATGAACTTAATGCAACTGGTTGGAGTAGCGACAAAGGGGAAAAGTGGGAAGTGATAAGATAATAAAATATAACACACATTCGAGATAAATATGGGTAGGCCAGTTTCCAGCAACATGCGGCATCATTCTCTTGCGTCCGTGATGGAGACTGGGGTCGTCCTGGACACTAAGTCGCGAATTGGTTGCATAGAGATCTAAAAATTCGGAGGGCAATGGGGGTAAAGTGGTATTCCCGCTGTTTCCATCACCGTTGCTACTCCTGTCGTTGTTCCTATCAGTGTGCTGTAGTTTGCGGGGCCGCTTTGAGAGTTTTGTCACTGTTGGATGGGTATCTCTTCGAGGGCTGTTGTCGTCCTGTTCGGATTCCGAATCGGAGTATTGCACGAGTGACATGGTCGGTCGTTGGATATGGAGGCAGTATGTATTTTGCCTCCACTATCGGACTTTCTGAAGGTGTCAAAGTATTCAAACGACTAATAGTTATAGGGGGTTCCTTTGTGGTGTTGATAACTATTCGGAGCTTTGGAACATCAATGCTGCATCCCTCTGTATCACATGACATGGAAGTTATCAGATCAGACTCTTCTAGACTGGGCCACGGGTCAACCCCGGAAATCAAAATTTCTAACCATAGTAAATGCTGACCATCGATATGGCTAGAACTTTGATAGAGTTCAGCCGCTATTCTATCTTCTTGAAGATACATGTCATTGCAATAGTATTTTTCTTATATAGCTGTGAACATGTGCTGATCATTGTCAGTCATTTAGACGCCTATCTCGTTGACATAGGCAACGCCGTTGAACATAGTTTAAATTTGTAAGGTGATTCTAACCATGATGAGAAAGAGCTAGTTTTCTGTGGCTCATGCGTGGGAAAGCTAGCATTTTTGAATACGATCACGTGATATATACACTATATACTTCGTGGATCGAAGTAGGACTTCAACAACAGTCCTCTTCGCACGATGTTGTTGCAGTTCTTATGTTATCAATTGCCATCTTCGTTGACCGACTTGCCCTGATTCAAAATAGCGGAGTGCATCAGGCTTCAACATGAAGTTCGTTTATGAATAAACTACATTACGGAATTTGGCTTTCGTTATCAAAGGTGGCACCAAGAACTTCCATGGAAGCAAGGAAGCTTGTTGCACAGCCTTCGTGGCTCTTCTCACAGTGGCTCTATGAGTGTGAGGAATCTCGATCCTGAACTAAGGGAAATGAATTCCCATGTTGATAGAGGCTTTGGGGATTTATCTGCAGGTTCATTTCAATCTCACGACAGCACGGCATGTAGCTCTAAACTTATATCGAAGTGGGGTCGATTTCTTCCAAGATAGCTAGACGGAAATATACCCGTAATAATAATAATGTCTGCAGACCGGCCGTTGGTTTGAACCAGTCTGTGCCACCCCTGCTATATTCTAAAAATGGTATGTGGCTTGAGGTCATCACCGAGCTACTTTCACCCTGGCCCACCAATGAGTTTACCAGAATAGATGTCGGTTGATTCCTCAAGCGGGAGACGCCCCGTGGTTCCTCCTGGCATGGCGGTGTTCGCGGCAATCAAGCCCCACCCCGCTGTCTCCAAGCTGAACAGAAGTATCTATATATATGCGTCATAGACCCCTGCTTATCTATTTCAATCGCTTATTTGAAATAAAGATAATATATCGACAGAAAACCCTTGTACCTTTATATCATTCTCTTTCTCTTCAACAATCATCAAAAGTACTAGTATATATAATACCCCCCATCGCTGGCACATTCCAGCTCGCCACTTCAAACCCAATTACTCCAGGAGATTAAACCATCTACAACAAATAAGAAATCTCTTAAAAAAGCAAGTGAACTTTTCTCCCTGCTCCTACAGAAGAATATCCACCCACCGTCACCCACGAAAAAACACCATGGTCTCTTCACCCGCTTCAACAAGGCCTTCGCCACCACCATACTCTCCCACCAACCATCCCCACTCGCATTCCCGCTCCAGCTCCAACTCCTCCACACACAGCCGGACAAGGATACGGCCCAGCAGCACCTACCTCCCACCCGATGTCATCGACTTTCTGGATGACATCACCCCTTTCCACTACCACCACGAAGGGCCCTATGACGCTGCCAGTCACCACAGGAACAGATCCTGCCACAACAGAAATCCCATTGACGCTCTCAAGTCATCCAACGAGGAAGCGCTAAAGGCGACACCGCCAGGCAAAATCGCGGATTGCATCTGGAATTCCCGCCCGCTGGACGGGGTGGCTTATTACCCTCCAGGCTCGACGGATCCGGAGGGGAACACGTATGATTATGAGGAAGGGTCGAACATGATGACGGAAGATCGCGGGGATTTTAGGAGGTGGCCAGGCATGGTACGTGATATCTTTTATTATATATATATATATATATACATCTCTCTTTCGGTTGGTTCTCTTGTACTAACTGCGTCTTTTTGCTTATATAGAAATTCCGCGATGAGGATTTCAAGAATGATTTTGATTCCTCTATACGGGGTTCAGTTACATCGAGCTGGAAATTCCCCCGATTCCGCTGTCGTCGTCGTCGTTAGAAACAACCTCCTTAAAAGCGTCTTCGGGTCAGGCTATTTTCGTTATAATTTTCCTACTATCTCTTCCAGATTATCTAGATCCCATTGTATATAAAGCGAGCTTTTTATTTTTTATATATATATCAGAAATGGAGGGTGTGAGATTTGCCTTCAAATTGGCATGGTTATGAATTGAATAGAGGAATATGGAAAAATGTTTGGGATGCATATTTCTCGGAGCTTCTTCTGGTTTGGGCTTTGATCATTATTGACATATGCAGAATTAAATAAATCTCTTTTGTCTTTAAAAATTAAATTCGACCTTCTTATCACAGAAATTTTTCAATATCCTGCAGAGTTGAAGATAATTGATAAATCAAGCCATCAATTTAATTATGAAGATAACTGAAAATTATCACGTATGGTAACCGTTGCTCACTGATAAGCCCATGCAATATTAGATAATTTATAGATGTGATCTTGTTAACTATCACCTACTAGATAATATCGCCTGGTGCTCTGAACATTCCTTCTGTACATCCCTTGTCAGTTACCTGGTGCTCAAATCTCATTCATACAACTTATTTCCATGCAGCATGTCGTTCAGCGCAGACGCCCACAACCAGACTGGAAAAAGGCCGGGAACGAATAGAATCCTTGTAACAGCTAGCCTTACCATTGCTTCTGTGGTGCTGCAAGTCTCCATACAAGGCTATGCAGGTAGCGGGGAACAACCAGCGAGTAATGTGCCAGGAGCTGTCATTTGAGCAGCGTATGAGCCATGTGTAGGGGAAGGCACTTGGTGAAAGATATTTCATGTGCTGGGTGCATTTGCTGTCCAAAATGAAGTGGCATTGCACTTCGTCTCTTTCCAGATCCCACCCGATGCTCACCAATAAAATCATGCTGAAGACTTTCCAGGAGCTGTTTGGTACTAGTATGCTGCACACTGGTACCCAATGGCACTATACCTCATCAAATCTCTTCCCTATTCACGGCGGCTTCAAACTGCCCTATGTCATGTATTGAACATGAGCTTGACTGCTTGATTGTCGGCTTAGGCGTGTTGAGGATTTTATTGATTTCCCCTCCCCCTCTGGGCGCCCAACGACCTGGCCGAAATGTTTCTTTCTCAACCGCAGAGTAAGCAAGCCTCGGACAGGCGAAAGGAGGTGTTGAAGGGTCTACGGGCTCGTCCTACAGCTGTATTCGGCCGCCTGTGATGTCCAGAGCTCTTGATAGGAGTGTTGTGCTGGATTAAATTAAACATACTGCGTAGTACTGGTGTATTGTCTGCATCACTTACAAATCCTGTTTATACCTCGCTTTTGACTCACACATTCCCTTTCATATAAATACTGCTAATTTTATATATAATCACTAGCGTAGTTAATTATTAGAGAATATGTATAATTTATATTCGGTAACTTTGTGGCAATGTTCGGACATCCTGAATGCCATTAAACTTCCCATGTTTAGTGCAATTTTGCGTCAAGCAACAGAGTAATTGGGATCCGGGGATTGTTTGGCTGTAGTAAGGGGAGAAATTGCAGCCTTGTGGGAATGAGGATATGGGAGTCTGATTTCATTCCCTGTCAACACGTCTTTCAAAATCTCAAGAGCAAAACTTGACCAAGGACCGTCTAGGCAGTTATTGGCTCTTAATAGAAAACACCGCATTCAAAATGGGAGCCACGAGGTACCTACGAAGTAGAATACAATGCTTGCTGAATTTTGAGGTGATGCAAGACAGAAGTTAGCTGAACTATATCAGCCACCTGATTACGGTGACACTTGTTTGGGAGCGGATTTTCTAGATGAAAGGTTGCTGTCAGATGATAGAATGTCGTACGTCTGCAAGCACCTGAAACGAAGTTATAGCCTTCGCAATTCCCAATTCGGAACCCTAGTTGCTGCTCAATACTTTTTTCGGTGGAGCAGCAAAACCACGATGGTGTAGTTGATTCAATTGACACAAGAACGAGAACTTGAAAGAAGAGAGTGAGAAAATGGGGAAACTGCGAGGAAAGTAGAATGAAAAATCAAGAATAATGGAAGAAATATATTTGAGGGGCAGGAGGAAGATTTACATATTTACATGGTTGAGATTTAATCAATCAGTGATAGTACGCTAAATATCATTGAGAAGGATCTAGACTGTACAAGTCAAACTCCCATCATGCGGTACTCTTAGGTAGCCCCTCCGACCCATGATCTTTTTTCCAATTAATGAAACCCTCTTTTACTTGCATTGTTCTTGACAAGGTGGCGCTGGCCACAACCACGAGAAGACAAGTCAATTCATCCTATCTCGTCCCGTTCATAATGTTCAAGCTGTTGTCATAACACTGGCATTTTTATACCAATTCAATAACGGGTTCTCGCCGCTGCGCGTTTCCGTGTCTTCGACATATGCCCAGCGTTCGAGAAAATCAGCGTGGCTGGAAACCCGCGTCAGCTTGCCGGTGATGGCGCGGTATACGTCTTCCATCAGGTCGAAGTCTGTTGGGAAGAATATGTCGAAGTAGCCTTGGTGGACCTGTGAGGAGGGTAGGCGCGGGGTCAGTAATCTTATCTTCAAAGGGAAGAGGGGGTTTTGAAATTATAGGGGTTCAATTTGAAATGGAGCGAGCCCTACAAATGGAGTTGAGACTGGGACGGTTGTGCGTTGATATCGTGTTTGAACGACTGGGGCGTTGTAACCAGGCGCTGCGTCTGGAAGGCTGTTAAAGTCGCTTGTAACAAGCCGATGGGCTGGGAAGTAGTCATGCAGGATATCGAAAACCTGCATCAGGCGGGTGGGTATATATTCCGGTAATGTCATGTTCGGCGCAAACGGAAGGGCGGCTTGTATTTTCCTTGCAAGAGGAGAGCGGAGTGGTGTAGCGAACGGTCGTCGCGCAGCAGCCTTACGAACTCGAAGATATCTCGAGGCCACACTGTCTAGGTTCGGGACGTAATATTCATAAAATTCACCATCAGTGTCGATCAGGACGCACCCTTGCCTGGGATCTCCGGTTTCTAGATCGTAACGGATTGCATCATGGCTGAAATTATCAAAGACCTCGAGCGCAAGGAAGAAACAAGGAGAATGCACGTAGGTATTCCAGTCGAATATGGAGCGATTTATGATCTCCGCATGGCCCCTATGTCCGCTGGAGTGAATGGACTTATTCAGGTTCTGCTGTTGTAGATCGGCAAGAGAAGGCGAAATCTCAATGATTTTGAATTTTGTGCGCTGATAGACCTCAGGATCCACATCTCGTATGTAATCCAATACATTAAGCATCAGAGTCCCATTTCCGGCTCCCATTTCGTATATGGTTAAGTCGTGGTATGGAAATAGCGTAAGTTTGTAGTTCGCAACAAGATACCGAGCAATTGCTTCGCCATAGTATGGGCGGAAGAGCTCTGTTGGTGTGTGCCATAATTGGCGACTCTCATCGTATTCCACGGCATCCAATTTGTCCTCAAATTCCTGATATCGCTGGCCTAGTACCCGATCAAATTCGGGTCCGTCGGCCATATTGTTGAAATCGAAAGGCTCCCCAGGACCGAAGATGGTCGCGTGCTTGGAGAAGTAGCCGTAATGAGGATTATACAAGCTGTCTGGAGAAGAGGAACAAGGAGATTAACCCATCGAAAACATAATAACAACGGGATACAAGCAACGCAATCAGTCGCGGCATGTGTAAAATACCTTCAATAAAATCCCTCGCCAGCATCTTCACACGTCTTGGTCGATGGGGGCGTGATCGTAAATCTGTAGATGTCACCATCGGATACTCCCGCAGTTCCTTGGACATGTCTCTCGGAAAGTCATCTGTTCTGTGTTTCCAGAAGGTAGGGTCTTCCAGTGTTCGCCGTCTGAGCGTCGGCTTGCTGGCATAGGTACGAGACTGACGGTGGCTTCTGGGCCGGGGCGCAAAGGGGTTATGGAGAAGGGCGCAAGGATGAGGATGGGAAATCTGACACCCTCTATGGCGAAATAACTGCCGAAATATGTGTGTCACAACGGGTGAATCCATTGCGTCGGCAGGATGAGAGCTGGAAGAACCGGAGCGGAGACGCGGAGAGGGGTGCTGTGTCCCCGGTCCCAATGGGAGAAAAAGTTGACTTCGGAGCGGAGGTGGTCCAAGCTTCACCACGGAACAAAACCCATAAAAAATGGCTTGGCAGAGCTTATTCCAACTTGCAATTGCCAATACGGAACATATATATATATCTTCATTTTCTCCCAACATGAATACATGAATGACATCTTCTTGTGCATTTTTATATCATGACAGACAATCCGCGCCTCTACATCCCTGCTGCTTTCCTCGCAGGTGTTCTTGTCGCTTTTGGAATCAGAGATACTATATGTCTCTATTTTGAGCGCCACTACCGCCAGCGGCGACGAGAAGGTAGCAAAGATGCACAGAATGAACGACATGCGTTTGGGGGGATAGAAGCTAAAAATGGTGACATGATTGGCGACATGAAATACTGCCTACCGTGCAATCCTGGCCCACCCCCCATTGTTGACGGGATAGAAGGGTGCATCGGAAACACTCCCCTATTTAGGATAAAGTCCCTCTCTGAAGCTACGGGGTGTGAGATTCTCGCAAAGGCCGAGGTATGCATATGACGGGATCATCAATGTATTTATCGCTGCTTTGTGCACAACCAGGATTCTGATATGAATCCATTGCAGTTTCTCAATGGCGCTGGAGGAAGCCCTAAAGATCGTGTGGCACTGAATATTATCCAGGTGGTCAGTCCTGAAGGCTACCCATGTATAACATTATTTAAGACGCTGACCCATTCATTCAGGCGGAAGAAAAAGGTCTTCTCCACCCTTACTCTGGAGACGCCATTTACGAGGGCACCGTGGGATCTACGGGAATTTCACTCGCGACGTTGGCCAGAGCCAGGGGTTACTTAGCGCATATGTATGGTTTACTATATCACCTTTTCATCAATTGTGTATTCCCTCTATCTATATATATAGGCCATGTTCATTTATTAATGCGGTAAACTCAATAGATGCATGCCATCCGACCAATCCACAGAGAAGTCGAATCTCCTTCTCAAACTGGGCGCCATAGTCGACCGCGTACCGCCAGCCCCTATTGTAGAAACAGGACATTTTGTAAATAGAGCACGTGCTCTCGCGAAATCACACTCTTCGTCTCCAGAGTCGTCTCCAGCTCACGCTTCTTCAAGAACCAGCCATAACCCTCATGCCACACACGAAATAACTGAAACGCCAGATGAGGATCTGCTGGTTTCGCGAGCGGCTGGTAAACAAAGTCGAGGCTTCTTCGCCGACCAATTTGAAAATCCAGCTAATTGGCAGGCCCACTTTCGAACAACTGGCCCCGAGATCTTCGCCCAGTGCGAGAGCAAGCTAGATGCATTTGTTGCTGGTGCGGGCACTGGCGGCACGATATCAGGTGTCGCACGTTTCCTTAAGCCTCGGCTCCCCAATATGTCTGTTGTACTGGCCGATCCGCAAGGCAGTGGGCTTTTTAATCGCGTCCGTTATGGAGTTATGTTTGACATGAAAGAGCGTGAGGGAACGCGGAGGAGGAGACAGGTGGATACTATTGTCGAGGGTATCGGGATTAACCGTGTTACCTTAAACTTTGAGGCTGGGAGGGAGTTGATCGATGATGTTGTTAGGGTCAACGATGCCCAAGCGATTGCGATGGCGAGGTGGTTGGTGGAGAAGGACGGTATATTTATTGGGAGTAGCAGCGCGGTCAATTGTAAGTTTTGTCCCAATCACTCTTTTTTGCATCCTTTTCATTTTGTCCAGGAAAGTGATTAACCTAGATAATCAAGGCTTCGCAGCAGTTAAAACAGCCTTGAAACTCGGACCGGGACATAGGATCGTGACCATACTTTGTGATTCAGGGACGCGACATTTATCGAAGTTCTGGGAAAAAGCTGGCAATGTTGCGGGTGCAGTTGATACGAAACTTGAAGATGTCCTCAATGCAAAGGGGAGCGAGGAGTAGACGCTGTATGCCTAATAATAATGCAACTTAGTTCCATGGGATATATATATTGTCAAAATCCGCTATGGGCATCAAATTGAGCCGGATCGATTTGCCCGAGGTGACGCCTTAACCTTCAGCAAGCTCCGATTCCTCTGCGGATTACGAAGCTTAGGAGGCGTATCAATTTGAAACGTCGACAAGCCCGATCCACTCCAAGCAGAACCAAAAGCCTCTGAGAGAGGATCATCACTTTCGGAACTTTCATCAGCTGGTCTTAGTAGTGCACTACGAACAGAGGACGGGCTACGTGACATCGGTGAAGGCGAGGCTGTGTGAACGGTCTTCGAACGCTTCGTTGGCGAGGGAGATTTTGGCGCTAACAGTCGTTTTGGCAGTTTGGGTGGTGCCTTGAAATCTCCGTCCTGACTCTGTGGAGGTAAGCAACGGGTGCTTCTCCAGGCCTCCCACATTTTCCCGAGGCATATCTCAGCCCATTTGCATTGTAACTCATTTCTCGTTTGGTTTTCGAATGCAACTTCTAAGTCTTCCCATGACACATCAGGTTTTGATTTGAAGGTTTCTAGTATATTCTTTTCTTTGGCTGTTAAAGGTGTTCGTGTTGGCGGGCCATTTTTGATGTCGGCGGATCGAACATAGTACCAATACCTCAGCTGGCCTGAGGTTCTGTTGGGTACCGATCGGGACACCTCTTTCCATGGGAGCTTCTGTACTGCCCGTTTAGTTAAGATTATTTTTATTTCATTAGGAGTGAAAGGGTTGATTGCAGTGCTCTGCTTTGCTGGTTGTGGCGCCGTGGGTATATGCGTAATTGATTTAGGGTCTGCTAAGGGTCTACCGGCTTCTGAGATAGTTGTTACCTCATTTTCAATGGTACCATTCGCTCGCAATAACGGTGATTCCACATATCTTTCCTTGTTACGTTTCGCGGAGGACCAAGGCGATGTTTCCATAATCCCATTCTCTGGTCGTCGCGGATTATTTTCCTCCTCCGTGCTTATGCCATGGTCTGGCAATGGAGAGGAAGTGCCAAGGACTCCCCCAGGCTTTTCCGTGGTTGAAGCTGGGTCGTCAATGGCATTCTTAATTCTAGCAGGGATATTAATTTTGGATGGTGTTTGAAGTGGAGGAAGGCTCCCATGCAGAGGGTCATCAGAATCCGAATCCGAAATAGGTCCAGAGCTTCTGGGCTTTGGAATTGATTGCAACTTTTGCATTCCACTGGATCGGCCACAACTTGTCCGTGGTGCTTTTTTTCGACGAGATTGTGGGACTGCCCATAGAGATCCGGAATTTGGCGGCGACGCTGTTCGGTTCCTGCGAAAAATTGGGAGAGGAGTGTGGAGTGGAGAAGACTTGAAAAGGCGTTCATCAATTTCTGGAGTTTGCCACAGAGCAGCTACAGAGTGAGAGCTTGCCCTTGGGCGTCTTTGGTCAAAGTCGGCTGGGTTTCTAAGCAGGGAAATATTGTTAAGGGGCAGACTTTTCTCAGCTGGAGTATGGTTTCCGTTGTGAGGTTCAGTATTGTCGCTATAGCTTCCAGAAGGAAATTCAAGGTTCATATTATTTCTTAAGCTTCTTTCTTCCGCCGATGCAAATTTTTCATTTTGGTTCATGCATTTTAAATTCGAAGCGTTCTGCGCTTCAGTGACATTTTCCGTAATGAATTCAGGTTCACCAAGAGGATCAGAGTCGTATTTCCAAGGCTGAGAACCAAGGTCTTGCTCATTTTTCATCCTTTCAATATGTCCATTGTCAATGACGATGTTGCCTGTCGCCAAATCAATCTCGTCTCCGACAGAACTGAAGTCCTTTCCATATTTTTCGAATATGTCTTCAAAGCGAGATTTCAATCGCAAATCATTCGCTTGACGGGCCGCGCTAACATCTATTTCAGATGCCACATCACCCACATCCGAGTCCCAGAGCCCCAATATACGCGCCCGCTTTCTTGGCCTCTCCGCATTCAACATCGTGACGATGTGTGGGGTTAAGAAACGCGGAATGCATTAGCAGAGGGCAAAGTTTATCGATACGTTGAAAAGAAATAGCGATGTCTAGGGTTGGACGGCGAACATGGTGGCGATTTCTCGCGGTGGAGGCTGTCTTCCGTATGATTCTTGTACGGTAGGGTCGCTATGGCATGTCGGGTTGAATTTGGCAGTTTATGAGGAGCTCGGAAGAAGCACGGCTCGCCGCGAGCTGTCCAGATTCACTTGGAAGATGCAATATTTTTTGTAAATGTCAGTGGAGTTTCGATAGCCACGGAGATTTCACTTATTTTAAAAGATCAATTTGGCTTGACGTAGGTTGGCAATTGAAAGCATTACTTGAAGGACTCGTTCTGTTTGTTGACGTTGAATCGGATCAAGCTTCGTTTGAGCCCCAAAACCTTATCTAATCAATCACGCAGCTCTCTCGGCCCCAGGCCCATCAACCACTTGACCGCCAGCATCATCCGTCTCTTCCATGTCAGTCATAACAGATAACTCGAAAATAGAGCATGAGCTCAGCCTTTAAATGCTTGCACAACCCATGTTGATTCCTGACTACCCTCCATGATCGAGAGCTCTCGATCCCGCAACCATGTATTGCCAGAAATGCCGTATTCCTCTGAAGGTTGATGGTTCTCTCGAGGATTTGAACCCAGCGGCCTTCGACCTACTCATAGGTCAGTATTTAGATTCCAAAATGATGTATTCTAACTCTGACGTCTATCAGGCTCGACCGGAAAGTCATTATCTGACCCATCCAGCAAATCTACGTCACGCGCTGCGTTCCCTCCAGATCGACAGCAACGTTACGACCAAGTGTCACGGCGAGCTACATCCCCTGTTTATAAAAGAACCGTGCCCGCACCCCGATATAGTACAGGAAACCCACTTGGGCAGTCTCGAACAGGGCCGAAAGATGGACCTGGCATGTCGTTTGTCATGCTAAGTGAGTCTCAAGTGGTGCCTGCGCATGCCGCTCCAACAGTGAACGGTGATGTTCGGCGACCATCAAAAGGAAGTCTACGGAACCTGTCCGAAGCACAAACAACGGAGCATGGGACCCAAACATATTCTGATCAAATTGAAAAAACCACCCGTCTATTCGAGATCATATCTGCGCGTTCTGATATCGATCACCCGATCTGTACCGAATGCACCGAGATGCTCATCGAAGGGCTTCAGAAAAGGCTACAGACCGCAACAAAGGAACGGGACGCATATGTCTCATTTTTGAAAAATTTAAATAACTCCATTCCATCTCCAGAGGAAGTACAGGCTGCAGAAGATGATCTCAAAGCAACACTACAGGCCGAGGAAGATGCCTTTCAGGAGCTTCTTGCCCTTGAGAAAGAAAAGACTGCCGTTGACTTAGAGATTGCTGAGTTAGAGGAGGAGTCTCGCAAGCTTGACCTAGAAGAAGAGCAATTCTGGAGTGATCGCAATGCATTTGCATTGAAACTATCCGACTTCCAAAATGAACGCGATGCTTTGAATATGAAGTACGATCATGATTCTCGGCAACTTGAGCGCCTTCAGCGGACGAACGTTTATAATGACACTTTCTGCATAGGCCATGATGGGTATTTTGGCACCATTAATGGACTGCGTCTTGGTCGTCTCGCAAACCCGTCCGTTGAGTGGTCCGAAATAAATGCTGCCTGGGGTCAAACTCTTCTCCTGCTTGCTACTGTTGCCGACAAACTAGGCTTCCAATTCCAAGGATACAAATTAAAACCTTTGGGCTCGACGTCAAGGATCGAAAAGATAGAATATCCCCAGCAGTCCCCGAATGCTACCACGTCTCACCGAGGCCCTTCAAGTAATCGTCCCGACACAACCCTCACACCAAAGATTACATCACTAGATCTATATTCCTCGGGTGATCTTCCCTTGCACCTCCCGTGGCTCCACCGTCGTTTCGATGCCGGTATGGTTGCATTTCTTGAGTGCCTTCGCCAATTAGGTGAGCACGTGGAGCACACACCCGTATCGTTACCTTCCCGTTCCCCACCTCCTAGACTCTCCAGATATCAATCCCCAGGAATTTCTTCGCCAGCGACTCGTGCTCTTCAAGCACAGATTTCGGGCCTCAAACTGCCGTATGAGATCAAACGGGACAAAATCGGAGATGCGAGCATCAAGCTTGGCTTCAACCAAAGTGACGAAACTTGGACCCGAGCTTGCAAGTATACACTAACGTGCTGCAAGTTCTTGCTGGCACACGCGAGCAATGTTACAAGCGCGGGATCTGGTCCTCCTGTACCAGCTACAACCGCGATTGTGCCGAACCGTTGAGAGCCAAAGTGTACAATGTTCCGTTGGCAAGGCATGCGAAATCTCAATGTATGAGATTATGTCTATTTTTGGGTAAAATGAATAAGAACGGGAGCCTTTTACGCCCATATCTATACATAAAATAGATCAAGGCTGGTTTATTCAACCCCGAAAAGGAATATTTGCTGGGAAATCAGTCTACGCCGTTCTGCTCAGCCCAGCTTCCTTGTACGATACCCCAACCGATTTTCAAAAAGGCCACCCTTTGCGCCATTGGCCAGATTATATCCGTCTCTTATCCGGAACCCTACTCCATCTCGCAACATTCTCTATTGGCTCCTCCACTCAACCCGTTGCTGCCTACAAGAAAAGACTTTACCAACACTCTTCAAGTAGGATAGCCATGTGGGAAATCGGCGGAGAAAGAAGGAGAAAGTTGTGGGTATGTATATATAACGTGGAATAAGCCATCTTGGTCCGTTCAGGTGTCTCGCCTCCATCCCCTCCACTAAATCAACATATTCCGAACAAAATGCCTCCGTTCCTGTTAGAAACCAAAGCTTTGTAATATGGTATCATTGGGGTCGTTTTTGTTAATATCTGAAAATGAAGAAAGAGAGACCTTAGGGCGCAGAAAGGATTTTGACCACCCGGAGTTTTTCTTCTCGTGATCTAAGCATACATATATGTTCAAGCTCACATTGCAGCGATTTTACCGAGCGTAAAGCCAAAAGCGGTTACCTAGATGGAGCTTATGCAATAGTTTATCAATACCGTCCTATTCTCTGTTCTGTTATTGTCGCCAAGGATGAGGAAATTTCGGTTCACTCTGGTTGTTTGAGAGAATGTATATTAGAGAGCAGAAGTCTGCTACCTCAGTCAACATACTTACTTGACTTGAGAGTCGCCGAGGATCCTTCATTATGTGATCTTGCAAAATTGATTAACTATTGAAAAAATTATTGTAAGGCTCCACTCAAAGTTAGAGAGAACAACTCTGGTGACAGTAGACGTCAGTTTCCAGTTCTCAGTTTTATCTCTCCAATTGCCATCTCCAACTCCGCAGGAGCTGCCGCTCGTTCAATCAGATTTCAAAACCAGCCAACTTTTGGTCAATCCGACCCAATTTTTGAACATGTTAACCTTCTCGCCAAACTTGGCTGCAACCCTCATGGACAGGTTTGTTGACGAGCTCTGAGATATACACTCACAAACTGAATAGCTCAGCAGATACATCTCCTGCCTTCTTAAGAATTGAATCATGTTGAACTTTACAAACAACCCGAATTTTTTTTAATTAATCTGCGGACACTTTGTCGTCAATTAGAAAACAACAAATTATTTACCCTATAATGTGGTAACATGTTACGGAAGGAAAAGGGAAAAAATATACACGAAATAGGAGACTACTAATAGTCTCCCCTGAATGACTTCCGGCCGTTTCCTCTTCGACCTTGCCTGCCATGTTCTCTGTGACGGGCTCCTAACATACAATGCCTAGTTATCTAGGCACTTAGTAACACATGTACTTCAGGGGTAAAATAAATAAACTTTGAAGAATGAATGACAGACGCGTAAGTGAGACATGACGGATATAAGAGGAATAACGACAATCTTGGGTGTGGCGCGAGGATAGGGAATCGGGTACTGTAAGAAGAAATGCCCAGAACAGCGAAAATATGTTTAGAGGAGAAGAAAGACAGTCCCTGCGCACCTACCAACTACACCAAAAAAAAAAAAAAAAAGACTTAGCTTAAACCGTTGGAAACCCTTCATCAAACCCCGTTTGAACAAAGAAACAAAAAATCGGTAATTAACTATATATTCTTTTTTCAAGCAATTTTTCAGGAATAGAAGGTGCTCTTCTGGAAACTCTCAGGAGAAATATCTCCCATCTTGCCCTTAAGGGCGGGCTTAGTGTAGGTAGCTTTCAAACTGTTTGCCCTCTGCTTCAGCTGCTCGTCAGCAGCAGAACCCGTGGCGCCTAGCACAGTATTATTCCTCGACGAAGCTAGAGGCAATGGAGCAGACACAGACTCAGACGCATCAGCACCCGCCATGATAGCTTGCTGCTGCAGTTTTCGCTGGATAGTTTCCAAATAAGGGCCTGGGAGGTAACCGACGGCGCCATCACGGGCCCTGCATCGCCACCACTCCGATGGGTTCCCCATGGGATCCGATCTGCTGAGGACAGCGACAAGATCCCCCTTTTTCACGGCAAGGTCGACCCCGGCGGTGTTTGGGGATTCGGGTGTGTAGTCGTACATGACCCGGCAGAAGTCGAGCTTCGAAGGATCGATGACGTTTTGTTGTTGATTGCCTGGGAGCGGTTCGCGTTCGGGCCGATCATCATGCGTTTGGCTTCGAGTTCTTGCGTGCGGGCGAGTGTGCGGATGAGCTTGCCCATAAGGTAAGGGAGGCCGAAGACAGCGACAAGGAAAAAGAAGAAGGGCTTTTTGGACGGACGGGGTGGGGCTGGGGAACCGTCAGGAAGAGTTGCTGGCATTTGGCCTTTTCCCGTGAAAACGGCAAATGCAGACGGGGTGAGTGATGTGGCGTCCGCAGGAGGTGGGCGACCAGTGAATTTTGCGATGAGGGTTCTGAACCATCTGAGGACGGTAAAGATGCCCAGAACGGAGCCTAGAGTGTTTCGAAGGTTGCCAAATTGCTCCGCAACGGACACCATAGCTAGGAAATTTTTCTGTCAGCACGAGAGATAATTTATTACCCACAGATCAGAGGGAGCCGAGGAGATATACCGAAAAAAGAGCTATGAGTTGCCATGTAGGTGCTCTCCAGCATCTGCGCAAAACCTCCAAATGCACCGACAATACTCTCGATGAGTTGGAATGTGGCTTGCGTACTCTGGTTGAAAGAGTTTGTCAAGCTGTTTGGGTCTCCACCTGGCGGTATGCCGCCATACATGCCACCGTATCCACCCATACCGCCCATGCCACCATACATACCACCATATCCCGCACCATATCCGCCATACATCGACCCCATACCCCCAAGTCGCGAGTATGGTGACGTGTAACTATTGTAGCCACCGTATGCACCCCCATACGGACTTTGGCCCAGACGTGACGTGCCGTATGGGGAATAATTTGAGGCTGTCTGGCTAACGACAGAATTGAGAGAGCTAGGTCGTGAGGGGAGATCTGGAGCGGAGGTGGTCGTTGCGGGAGAGGTAGAGGTGGTCGCAGCAGAAGTGTTGGGAAGAGGGCCTGAAACCGCGGCAGCTGTCAATCCCCGCAAGAAAAGGTGAATTGTTAGCTACGTATTGTTTCAAAATGGGCACAGGATAGAAATGCATTCCATTCTTATTTTATTTCGAAGGCAAGGGATGGAAGAGGGCATTATCTCACCCGCTGCACCAGCACTAGCACCGGCTCTCTCCCATGGCTTAGGCGGCGAAGCCGATGCCATTCGTGCTCAGTCTACACACACGCACCACTCGTGGAAGCTCTTTTGTTACCACTCAGTAGCAGTAGATGGTAAAGAACCCTTAGTATTTTAGGAGGCTAGGTGGTGGGCTAATCGCGAGGAGCCCCAAACGCAATAGATAGCTCTAATCAGCGGGAAAAAGCTCGAGATTGGTTTGTGAGGTGTGGGTATTCTTCTCCCTTTTCTGACCCGAGCTTTCGGAAATGATGTTGTTTACCTGTCGCTGGGAAGCAGTTGATGTGATGCGTCGAGGATGGTGTTTTCATGCAGGACAACTTTGGGCCGAGGATGGGGAGGCAGGATGACTCAGCAAGCCCGGGGGCGGGGGACAAATTTTCAGTTGCTGCAGAGCCGAGGATGCCAACAGCCGACGCACGATCAATCGCAGTGGTGGAAATCTACTGGGATCATGAAGACGAGCATTGTTGAGGCAAAGGACGGATGACGGAGAGGGATACACCAAGTCAAATTAATCAACGCTGCACATACTGCGTTTATATATGCCTCCCAATCCACACCACCGCCAGATGCAATTCTCTCACCTTGCATTGAAGGTCGCAGCCTTGGATCACATGCGGCGCCACCACCACCACCACCACCCGAATTCCAACCATAGAGGCCAATCTACGGGAGGGTGTTCTAACGAAGAAACGATGTGTTGTCTTATCAAGATGCAATAAATCCAGTAAGAAAACCAACGCCAATGTAGAAACCTGTACCCCCTAATCAATACTTCAAGACTTTTCACAAAGTCGCAACTTTGTTCCCATGATATCTCGCTTCCGTGACCACCTTCCGTACGTCCTCTATCCAATTGGCATTTGTGATGCCTATCTCGAGTTACAGATTATAGGCGAATTCGATCCCCTTTTTGTGCAATGCAACGCTTTTCGCCTTCTATCATGATGTCAGGTCAGGCCCATTCGCGACAACTGACGACAGCAGAGTAATCCTTACTCATCGAGGTAAGATGGATCCAAGCATGTCCTGGGAGCAAGCGTTCGTTCCCGGTTTCCACATATGCCTACTTGCAATCTTCCCATATTTTCGGTCTGGGGATGGATGGCTAAAACATTCGTGCATATACCGCCTTGCGGAGTCTCCGGACTGGGCCATGGTTTTGTCTATTGATGGAATCGTTGCATAGTTTGTTCTTTACCAATGTGTCCGTAGTTAAATGAGTAAGGTGAGAACGAGTATATAACCATAATTGGGGGGGCTGGAAGAGGAAAATTAAAGTAAATAAATAATATCGCTCAGCTGGTATTAAAATTTTTAGCCCGAAAGAGAAAAAAAAAATAAAAAATAATAAAACTAAAAATGTTCCGAACAATTTGGGGATGAAGAGGGGGTTGCAGAGTTGCAGAGTGCAAAACGTACGTAAAATGAAAAGGATTCGTTCAAAATGCTCCAACGCCTGATATACCGTATGCAGTGTATTCGAACAGGGGCATACGCACTGTGGGAAGTTGTATATACGTATATAGATGCATGAACAACAGATACAACAAAAACAACACTTGGATAAATAGGTGTCCTTGGCTTCCCTCCGTCTAATGTTGCCTTGTCTAAGGTAACATGGAGGAAAGGTATGAAGGGATATGCGGTAACGGTAATAAAATGGAACATTTTATTTCCCAAATCAGACGAACCTCTATTTTTGTACCTATCGTATCGTCCAGAAGCCTTTTATAAATTTAAAGTTCGTCGCGATTGGGAATGCGAATTTCCCAAGACCGCGGCGGGACCGCGACTCCAAGCCAGAAATTCCACAGCCGGCTAAGCTCCAGAAGGAGGATTCTCCATCTGTGTCTCACGTTAGAAATGTCACGTTGGTTGGTGGGGATGAAGTAAATATTGCTAACGTACGCTATAACGGGAAACTTAATCCAACGATTAAGCACATACAAATACGCCCGCCATACCACATCGAATTCTTCCCAGAAAACATCCATGATTCCCTGTTCCTGCTTTTCGATTGTGGGGCCGGGTTTAGAAGCTGTCGTTTGTGTCCACTCGACATCATCGTCTTCTAGATCTTCTACCGAAAGAGTCTTGCGCTCCTCGTTCTGATCTTTTCGCGAGGGGTTCACCTTCTCTTTATCCTGGCCTCTACCTTTAGTAGAAGATTCAGGCTTAACAGGGGAGAGTGGAGAAGCTATCGGAAGAGTTGTATGGACGGGCAGACTATCCTCCGTTCCAGACAATATCGCTTGCTCAAAGTTCTGCACGGCAGTGATACTATGCGATACCCGTCCGAGGGTATTGATGAGAGCCACCAACTCCGTCCGCCGTAGTGGGGGGTTTTCGCCGTTCTTCGTCTCGTCGAATTCGAATAAGATCTTGAGGGCCGCGCCATACCCGGCTGTCTGCAGCTTACCCCATAACCGACATTTGTCACACCCAATACAGTCCATGAGCCGACTGACGTTGCGAAAGCGGTTGCGGAAATCCTCCTTGAGGCCGTTAGCAGCTTCATCGCGGAACATGATGGTCTCGTCGAAGATTTTCGGCTGTGATGAAATAGTGTCGACAAGTGAGAGGACTTTCTGCCTCGTATCGATATCCTGTGGCGGATCGCTGGTACAGAAGGAGTACGATTGGAGGTGCTTTTGGATCTTGGACACAGCGCGAACAAGGACTGCGAAGTTGAAGTAAAGATTTGAGAGGCGTTCTGGGTGGTCGTGGAGACGCTCTTTGTAGCATTGTACATTGGGGAGCCACTGCCCAGTCTTTTGGTTGAAGTAGTCCCAGCATAAATGAGTGGAGATGGAGGCATGCATGCCGCTGATGATTCTGTGGAAGACACGCTTCTCTACGCATTCATCATCCAACGGGTAGCCCTCATTCCGCGATGCAGCCATGACTACTTGGTCTCGTTCATGCTTGTCCACAACCTTTTTGAAATCCTTCGCAGCCTGAAGATTACCAAGCGGGAACTTGAGGGGTGATTTTTGTTGAGAAGTGGGAAGTGGTTTCAGGAAGCAATTCTCCCGATAGATCGCATCCCAGACATGCCTGGCCCCTTCTCCCCCGTAACCCGTAAATCTCTCTGGATTATCTAGTAAACTAACATAATCCCCTTTCGCCGTCGCGCCCTCGTCTTCAGGGACACAGTAGTCTCGTTCATCACACTCGTCATCATACTCGAAAACACAGGACTCCCCCACGTCCTCACCTAGCATACCCTGGAGTGGCTTCTCCTTTGGCCGTTCCTGCCGGAGCTCCTTCGCCGGATGTCCCGCCTTGGGGCCTTCCAGTTTGCTCAGCTCTTCCACCCGCCAGATCGGGGGAATATCGTCTTCTGAATCCAAAGTATTAACGGAGCAAGCAATATTGCCGCACATCCCAGCATCATCAGACCAGAATGGGCATTGCTTGTTAAACAGATTCAAGCGGTAATAAGAAAAGAAGTCTGTGTCATGGGTGACAGATCGGATAGGGGAGGAGATTTTGTCGTTGAAGGCGTCGAGAGCGGCGAAAGAAGCACAAGCATCTGTCACGGTTGCTTTCGGATCGATCTGATCGATAAACGGCCTGTTACACACTGATCATCTTTTATTAAAAGGGAGATTGTTGAAGTTAAAAATGTGAACATACTGCGCAGGCAGTCGGGGGGTGAGCTCTCGCTTTAGACACATGGCTGTCACCTTTAGCTGGGCTCAACCAGGTAAAGACTGCTAAGTAGAAAAGCTGAGAAGCGGAGCGCATTGCTAATCACTCCTGAAAAAAATGCACTTCTAAGTATTGGTTATTTCATAGAGGATATGGCGAAGTGTGCGGTATGTATATTCGTCTGAACTCAGGAGTTGCGAAAGGCAGCCAATTGCTGATCCAGAAAGAGTGGGCTCGTGAGGTATAGCATGAAAATGTGTGCGGAATGTCTATAGTTTGAAACGAAAGAATATACGACAAATACTAGTAACTACAAAAAATATCGAGCAAAAGCTGCGCAGACAAAGGGAGGCCTGGTTAAATCAAGATCAAGCTTCAGGGGTATTCCTAATCGCGAGGTCCGGGAAGTAAATCGAAAGAGGGTAATCGCCACCTGGCCAAAGCTCCACACCGCACGATGGCTCCAATTGCTCCCTGCGTCGTCGTCGGGACTTCAAGATGCAAGGTGGCCACAGGCCATAGATCATCCATTTAAACCTTGGAGCTACCAACCCGCGGCCTGGCTTAGCCTCTTCCAGGGTTAGTCATGTGACGAATTTACTGTGGGACGTCTAAGTCGTTGTATTAGCATGCAGGCAGCTGAGGCATATATGTGCGGTGCGCTAGTCCGTGATAGGCAGCCTAGGGCCAACACCTCCCCTCGGACTAGTAGCCGTACAGATATCTATCTATCTATCTAGAAATCCTATTATACATGAAATTGCAAAATCAAATCAAATCAAATCAAATCAATCAAATCAAGCTATTCTTTATATCCTTTCATTCTTCTATCCTTCACCCTTTCGGCATCTGTGAGGCTTCAGTTCGTGGTAGTAGTATCGATGTTTGAAAAGTTCTTTGATGGCAGTGGTGGTGGTGGTGGTGGTGGTGGTATTCTTAATGATGGATCTCATCATGGTCATCTTTGTGGTGGCTCTGGTGGTGATTCTTATGATGATAGAGATGGTTCTCACAGAGGATCCTTTGGTGGTTCTTGCAGAGGGTTCTTCAGTAGATGGAGGAGTAGTGACAGTGGCTTGTATAGCCAGTTCCATTTCATCCTTCCCTTGTTTCATATCTTCTTGATCTCTCCTTGACAGAGAATCAGAGTTTTCAGCTGGTTTTTGTAAGGAATTTCTCATCCTTCTGTTCAAATATTCATTCATTCTCTTGAGACATTCATCTTGCTTTTTCAAATATTCATCTTGCTTTTTCAAATATCCCATCATCATCTGTATCAAGGTATCGGTAGTAGGTGTTGGGCCCGGTGGCCCAGGGGTAGTGGTAGGTTCGTATTCAATATCATCATTGCTAGCTGGGGTATCCATCCCCATGGTAGCTTGAGTTCTAGGAGGCATTCAACCCCCTATATCAATCAGATTTTAATCATTTCCCGCGATCAAAGCTCTTCTAGCCTTCGTCAGGATCCCTTCTGCTGATCAGCGTAGCAGTTCGCGAGACGTTAGATGGGCAGTGGAAGGTTTAATAAAAAAACAAGCAATCCGGGCTATAACCTGTGGGACGTCTAAGTCGTTGTATTAGCATGCAGGCAGCTGAGGCATATATGTGCGGTGCGCTAGTCCGTGATAGGCAGCCTAGGGCCAACATTTACTGCCCGATTTGTCATAGTTGGCAGAATGGAGAGATCTCAGACATAGACGGGAATAGTAGCAGGAGAGGGTTGAAATTGTTCGAATGTATCCGCGATGCCTCCAGAATAAATCGTACTTAATAAATCGTAATTATGTACACTCGTATTCGTTAACCAATAAGCAAAATGACACGTGCTACCTATATCTACTCCCTCGGTAGTATCCCTTACAATTTTGCTTCAGTGGTTTTGTCCTTTGCCGCCTGCCACCCAAATTGTATGGACTGCCCAATTCCCGGCTCCACAATCACATTGACAATCGTAACCTTCTCATCCTCCAAGAATCCTTCCCTTGTCGCCCTTTCCAGCTCCTCCTCCGTCCGTACAAAGTATCCCCTCCCCCCACACATCGCGGCAAGATATTCATAGCGTGTCTCGTAGAGTAAACTCGTCGATCGCAGGCCGTTCTTCGCATTGGCCTCGTTGACGGTCTCATTCTGTAGATTCTTCCACTCACCCTCTGTCTTCGTGTCGCCATGGTAAATGCCTGAATTGTTCATTACGAAGATCAACGCTGGAATGCGGTGGCGAGCAAGAGTTTCAACTTCCATCGCACTGAACCCGAACGCGCTATCACCTTCCAGTGCCACGATCTTCTTCGGTGTGTGTACGTGAGTGCTGCCCGGCGATGATGGGATGTTGTACGCAGCGTGTGCGGCGACAATGTAGCCTAATCCGACCCCCATAGTGGCATTTGTTCCAGCATCAAGGCGTTGGCGCGGGTGTTCCAGTGTGAAAGCGGAACGGGAGATGTCCATTGTATTAGCTCCTTCTGAGACATATACGATGTTACCTTCTTGCGGCGGCGAGAGGGAATTTAGAGTGGTCTTGATAATGTGGTAGGCACGTTGGAATGTCAGGAATTCTTTGGGTTGGGTGGGAAGAAGAGCCTTCTTCTGTGAAATATTTTCGTTTTTCGTGGCAGAAGCTGCGAGGAGGGATGGATATGAATCCGGTGATGTAGTGGACGCGGGCTTATACTGCCAGCCAGCTAGAGAGGAGAGAAGCTGCTGAGCTACCAAATTTATGTCACCCACTATTCCTAGCTCCGCAACTCCAGCATTGTGCCCAATTTCCTGCGCGTTTATATCTACTTGAATAAGCTTGACAGAGCCGGACCAGCGAGGTGTTTCGCCAAAGTGGAGAATCCAATTCAACCGGGCTCCAAAAAGAAGGACAACATCTGCATGTTTCAAAGCCGTGCTTCGTGCGCTGGATGTATTGAGGGGGTGGGAATCGGGTATCACGCCCTTACCCATCGGTGTTGGTAGGAAAGGTATCCCTGTCTTCTCCACGAACTCGCGGATGGATGACTCTGCTCGTGCGTACGCTGAACCCTTTCCAACAACGACGAGCGGTGCGCGTGCTGATTTCAATAACTGTGCCACTTTCGATACAACCGCTGGATCGCCGCTAGATCTAGGAGGAGACGGGACAAACGTATGCTTAGGAGGTGGTAATGTAAATCCCGCCGCCGTTTTCCCTTGAATTAAATCTGCAGGGAGATCGATGAAAGTGGGGCCTGGCCTTCCATACCAACATGTTCTATACGCATTCCGAATGGCATCGTTCACTGATTCCAGCGACGACGGCCGTATAGCAAGTTTTGTGTGTGGCGTGAGGAGAGAGATTGCGTCCATCTCTTGAAAACCCCCCTTAGTTATCGTATGCGATTCCGCTGATCCAGCCAGGACTAGTAGTGGGAATGCGTTCACAGTGGCATTTCCAATCTAGAACGCATATATTTTAAAATAACAAGCATCTACTTGTTAGCATTAAAACTTTCCTAATCATCGCAATATTATATGTCATAAGAATCAACTCAAGCAGGAAACGAGGAAGAATCCATCGACTCACCCCAGCTATGCCGTGTAGAACCCCCGGCCCACCCACAACCAAGCAAACCCCAGGTTTTCCCGACATGTACCCGTACACGCTCGCCGCATAGCTGCATGCTTGTTCGTTCCTAAACGCAATAAACCGGATGCCCAGATTGATAGCTTCCTCCGCGACTTCCACCACCGGGATACCGACGATGCCGAAGATGACGTTCACTCCTAAGCCGTGAAGGGAGCGAGCGACAATTTGAGCGCCAGTTAGAGATGGCATTTCTGGTTCCTGGCCCTTCTTGAAGCCGTTATTCTCCTCCTTGCACACTTATTTCTTGCTCCAATTTTGTTGGGGCTGGATTTTCGTTTGAGCCAGGATGCCAGGTGTTCCTGGGATTTGAATCGAGTCAGCGCGAGTTCGGCGTGCAGATTGATTTTGTGGATGAATGTGGAACAGACCCCTTGTCCTTCGATGAAAGCCAGCAATTGGCAAGGGAGTAGCTTAGCCTAATATATCCGTACCGGCCGAGATGTTGCTGGGTATTTACTTTAGTAGATATGGCGGAGAAAGTTGTTCCGCCTGCTATTTCTGTGACGCAACACCGGCGCCGGCTAAAGTGGCTACAACTTGCCATTTCATGTAAAGAAATACAGAAATTCCACCGAACAAGTTTTCCATATTCGGATAACTTTGTACATTTTTTGTTTTATTAAAAAATTATTTGTACATATTTCTCCGCCACAGGACTGATAACCTACGCTGTACACAAGCCAAGCAACGGTTGAGCTGTGTCATAGACAACTGAGTGGATTTCCATGCATGCTTATTCGTAGGTAGCACATTTCTAATATGAAAATGGAGGCGCCATAAATGCATTGCGTGAGTAAAAGAAAACAACACATGGTCATTGGGGAACGATATATCAATGATCGGAAAACAGTTATTGGTATTTGAGCACACTTCATACGTGCTGAAAGACATGACTCTTCATCTAAATGCTCCAGAACATCATATCTCGTGTCGAATATAGCCAATCAACCAACTCAAAATACCCCTTTCTCTCCATCACTCAATATCTAAAACTCAAACTCAGATCTGAACACGGAAACATCCATCCCACTTACAACCAAATCACTTAGATCTCGCCGACCCATCTGGCTAAACACACGTCGAAGTGTATCATACAAATTCGTACTCTGGTTCTGCGAAATGTGTATCATATGCTCTAGCTGAGCCTCGTCAACGCCATCGCCCACAATATCTCTGGCACGTTCTCGCCCTTCATCCTCCACGACTTTGTGCATCGACAGCGCCCCGAGCAGATGTTGTGCTGCTTCCGGGTAGCAGCCAATATTAATACATGAGACGCCAAGATTGTATCTAGCGCGAACAAAATTGGGGTTTATAGTGAGGGCCTTCTCGTAGGCTTCGATTGCCTCCTCAGACCGGCCGGAGTTGGCGAGGGTAGCCCCGAGGCGGTTCCAAAGCAGGTGTACCTGGTCTTTCTGGTTGGAAATTCCAGATTCAGTGGACGCAAGCGCGGCAGTGAAGCAGTCAACGGCTTTGTTGTATTCCTCAGCGCCATAGAAGAGGACTCCTAGACCGACCTGGACATCAGGGTCCATCTGGTCGCCCTGAGGAGAGAGTTGTGCGGCCTGAATGAAGAGGTCGGTGACTCGTTCGTGTAAAATATGTCGATCTGTGAAGCTCAAGTCGGTATCACCTGAGAGAGTGCTCGGGTCGACGAGTTGGGGATATTTAACTGACAGCCAGCGCTCGAGGGTTCGGTACGCGGTGGGGTCATAGCCTTCGTTCGTATACGATACGGCAAGGCCCATGAGGGCATCGAGGTTATTAGGATCAAGTTTCAGGGCTTGTTCTAATGCGCGGATGGCTGGACTTTCCTTTTCATTCTGGGCCTGCGCAGATCCTAGCATCGTCCACGCTTCGATATGCTTAGGATCTTTCTGCACCGCAGCTTCGAATGCAAGCGCCGCGAGAGACAAGTTGCCGCCTCCTCTCATGATTCGTACGCCTTCTTCGAATGGGTTATTGACTGATTTGAAAGCATTCTCCTCTTCGAAAAGGTAGTCGCCCATCATAGGGTCTCTGGGATGAGTGTTAAGAGCACCATCAAAATGATCCCAGTCACCGAAATCGCCCAAATTCATATCGTCGAAATTTAGGTCTTCGTTGACCAGTTGTCTGCGAGCTGCAGTCTCAGTCTGTATGCCTTTCCATATATCTTCAAAGTGCCCGAACTCATCAGTCTCGGTGTGAACTGACCTATCGACTTCATTTAGCTCTGCCTCTATCGCCGCATTTGCTTCCGCGTCCTCATCCTTCTGTCCCGACGCCGCAATCTCTGCAAACTGTGCTTCCCAGTTTTGATCGTCTAATTCTATCATCCTTCCTTTCCCTTTATCTTCCTGCATTGATTTCTGTGGGGGGTGGTGGTGTTGAAAACTCATGCCGTATGGTTGACTCATCATGCCCATGTATCCCGAGTTCATACCGCCATATCTCATCATTTGTGGTTGGTATGCGTTCACCATCGGTGCGGAGGAAGTCGCTGGGCTTGACGTTCCCTGCATACCATTCCGGTTATGTTGGCGGAAAAGAGCAAACTCTGCGGAATTGAACTCGGGAACCCCGGGAAACGCTCTTCCCATCCCGGGCTTAAAAGCAGCTTCCGTCCTTGCCTGTTCGCCATGATCGAACTCCGCAGCCCAGCCAGGCGAGCCCGTTCTCGGTGGCGCGGTTTGGAAATTTTCTAGTTCACGTCGCATCTGTTCCATGGCGAACGGTTGTGCCGGGCCTTGTGGCATTTGGTCCCGTTGTTGGAGGAAATCATCCATCATCTATCATGTGTACAAGGTAACAAATCAAATCAGTAAAGGATAATATTTTATTTTATTTTCTTTTTTATTTATCAAAAAAAAAGAAAAAAAAAAAGAAGTATTACCTTGTCCTGGGACCCCATCCCCCTTGATCGCATCCCCTCCTGCATGCCACCGGGACCCCGGCCAACAAGTCTGTCTCGTTGCAACGACTTATCATCCTGAACATGCTTCGTAAACTGCGTCAAGGGATTTCCTGCTGTCGAGCACTCAGGCCCGCCGAGGAAAGACATGTTGGAGAAGTAGTTGCACAGCGAATAATTGCGGGTAGAATCAGGCAGTGTAAATGAATGCTAACAATTATTACCAAGCCGAATAGAAGTACGCGGGGACAACGCGGAGAAGGCTGCGTTAAATATAAATAGCTTAAAAAACAAAAATGAGAGATAAAGAACGGGAGTTTTTGAGAGAATAACAGGATATATCGCTGTGGTTATATTGAGTGGAAGGAAGGCAAAAGGCAAAAGTCCCAATCAACAACATCCTCGGGTGTTTCGCGCGATACAAAATTACCGGCAAGCTCATGTCGGTATCAGCGGAATCGCATATGATTGCCAGTGGTTCATGTACTGTACCAAGGTTTGGGTTATGCCATCCTATCGTATAATACCATACTTACAATACTTGTATTAATAGCGGGATATTAGTCAGCTATCTGCTCTTTCATGAGGAATTATCAAAAATTGTCCAGGCTTTTCTTGCCTCCGTGTTAGCAAGAATATGTAGGATCAATTATTGTTATTATTCAAAAAGAGGAGATTCGGACAATATCCCTAAAGTCACGTTATTTTACAAAACGCACAAAATAGCAGTCCTCGTGTAATAGTCAAACAATTGAGGAACCAGAAAAGAATTAGTGGGTTTCACAAAATTCAGAATAAACATCCGTACATGCAAGTATAATTTACAATTTTAAAGAAAAGGAATACCGCGGAGAAATAGATGAAGGGGCGTTGGGGAACGAAAATCTGTGAACAGGAATGACGGCGAGAAGACGCAGCTAAGCAGAATACAACGGTATATAGGGAGACGAAGGGAGGATGAGCAAGGAAGCAAAGGAGGACATGAAACAATGGGAGGACCCATCCTACTCCTTTCCGCTCCCCAACAACCCCATAATCAAAATTGATGCAACAGATAGAACGCCCATAGTACGTAAAACATTACAGCAGACACCCATGCAGGCCCATTCCCAGTTTGTGGTAGTGTATTTATCCAGAAGCTCCATTCAGTTTGGTTGCGCGTCACTGACTCTACCGTGCGGGTTCAGAAGTGACGTTTTCAGTTTCGGTGGTCTCCGCCTGGAATGGCTCGTCGGGGTTAGAGCTTGGGGATCGCGAGCCTCTATTTTGACTAGCCAACATATCCTTAGTGTTGAGGCTGTAGTCAAGTCGAAGGGGACGTCCATAAGGCGCCTTCTCCTTGAGAATTTCCATTGCAGCCTTGGCGCTCTCAACGTCCAAAAAGTCAGCATGCGCGAATCCACGGGGTCTACCGGTTCTCTTGTCGACTGAGACGCGAACATCGTCAACATTAGGAATATCTCTGAAGAGATCATTTAATTCGCGATCAGTCATTTCGAAGGACAGGTTTCCAATGAAAAGGGTTTTGGTCGGTTCGCTAGCGCGTGTTCTAGGCGCCGCGCTATTGCGGGTCGAATAGTTGACAACAATTCTGCGTCCTTCATAGATGGACATATTCATCTCGGAAATTGCTGCCTCAGCAGCTTCAACGGAGTCGAACTGGACATATGCGAACCTAGGGGACGGAGCATTAGATTGACCATGTACAATGTAAGAGTACAGAAAAGAGAGTACAGTGGAGGTCAAAAGAAGGGGATTAGACGAAAAAGGGGGAAAAGGTACCCTCTGCTCATTCCACGGCTGTCATAAACAATGCGAACGGAGTAGATAGTTCCGAATTTTGCCATATCACGTTTCAAATCCTCGGCGGTAACTTCGAAAAAGAGGTTGCCAACGTAGATCGTCTCGTTTGGTTTGATTGGCAGCGGCTCTCTCTCTCTCTGACTCTCATTTCGACGATCGGTCTGTTGGAAGCTCCTCCGGCCGTATGGTTCGCTACCATTTGAAGAAGAATTCCAATTCCATCGCTGCTGGAAAGCTACTTTGGTAGACTGGCCGCTCAATCTCAGGAGCGAAGGGCCAAGGGCAGCCAAAGTTCCGGGCTTAACAGCAAACGCGGCAGGGGATGCGGTTATTGCGCGGAATGCTGCGTGTCTGAGAGAAATCCTGCTCCGTGAAATATTTCAAATTAGCTTTCCCTGTATTCGCATAAAGCGAAGAGGAGAAAATTAAAGGGAACGAACATTCTGAATGGAGTGTAAAAATAAGAATTATTACAATACAAAATTTATATTACACGAAAGGGATAAACTCAAAAGAACAGAATAGAATTTTCAAAGATGGTCAAGAAGAGTTCACGAGCGTGAGGATGAGGATGTGAAAAGCGCCGCCAGGAGCAAGAAAAAAAAAGTCGATGAAATGGCCCGGGATTTAAGTTCCGGTTCCATTGGGTTAGACCGGCTGACTACTCCAACGACCCACCATGAATATGTCACGTGAAATTAAGATAAGGTTCGTTCCAGGGTCATCTATAAGAAGTATATAAATCCATGTTCAGCAGTGTATGTCTATCTTAAATCTTTTCTTAAATTACTCAAAATTGCTATTTTCTGAATCCCCGGTTATTCCGTTATCTTTTCTCCTATGTGTTACAATAGGAATAGTCAAACAATGGTATAGCGTTGTTCAATCCCAGAACTTTCTTAGTTCTCATCCTTTATCGAGTCTAGGTCAACGGTTTTGTTCCTTTTTGCCATCGTTTGTCGTTGTAGGAAGCAAACCGTTCATGGCTTCTATAGCCGGCTTGGGTTTGAGGAGAAGCTCCACCTCGATGCCACAGTCAAAAATGGTAAGATTGTCCGACGACATCTTCAGATAACTCCCGAAACTAACGTGTCTCCCAGTGATCTGAAATACGGGTGGCTAAGCCAAAAGTAAAGATGGAAGCAGCCAACGCCGCAGCAATGAAAATATACATATATAATAAAATAAAATAAAATAAAAATAAATTCAGAGAAGGAATGGCCCTCAAGGAAAAGATTATCGAAGAACGATGCAAGATGGGCGCGGTAGCCCCAGCAAGGCATGGCAAGAAGCATCTAGAGGCCTGCAGCGGCAGCCAGATATATGCTGTCCAGCAACTAGTTATTTCAAACTCCGGTCCAGTTGCGTCTGCCAAAAAGATCCAGGAGATGGTCTGGATGAGGTCCCGGAGATTCACTCCTCGACCACGACGACGGTGCGGGTCGAAGATGAGAGCAAGGAGGGGATAAAAGTGACGTATTGCTATCTCGTGGGTGATCATTCTCGGAAAATCTACGAATTGACGGAGGGTGAAGAGATTGCCAATTGGGTCCAAGGGCAGAAGAGATATGTTTGGGTTGCACATTCGATGAAGGGCGCAGCGGATGGCAAGATTGCGAAGGTAATACGACGAACCCGGTCGGAGGAAGCGGTGCTAAGAGCTAAAGAAGATCGCCGGTACTTATCGATGTATATCTAGGAAAGGGAGGGAGTCGTCAAAGAGGGAGGAATTGAAGGCTGGATGTGGGACACAACACAGCTTTCTGTTTTGTTTACGGTTCTGGGACTTCTACAATTTCCGCGAAGGATTATGATGTTTACAACAGATAGCGATCAGTTTCTTGTTCCCTTTTTTCGAGTCTTTGTTCTGCGGTGGGTGTATTCTGTCGGTTGGCAGGTACATATCTTAATTTTCATGGGCGTCGGGCGGGAAATCTGGGGGCTCTCTAATTTGGCTCACGCTGCTATACAGGAACGGCACAATAAACCATCAGGCATATATGCCTAGGACACATCAAAACTCACGTTTTTTCCGTTCTTGCAAAGGGTCCATGCCTAGGAGTCAGGAGAAAGGGCATGAATGAGTCTGCGTTTCTGTGAAGTCGGTAGAATAAGCCAAGCCGGCGTGGAAACCTCCAACCAGGATAATACAGTCTATATTGACCTATCTCGTATGGAGAAGTGACACACTGGCAGAACAATGTGGAAACAGAGAAGGCATATAATATAACAATATCTAGTTATAATGCAGGGTATCATAAGAAGCCGTATTTTTCTCTCACGCTTCCAGCCGCCCATATCCAGGTTTCTCAAACCATCCTCCATTCAATAATAGGACCTCATTGTCCTATCACGCGATACTGTGTAGCTACATGGTAAGACATTCAAGCCAAGGCGGCAACCCTGACAATGAAGGCCCACGAATTCCAGTTAGAAGTTCACAGTTGACACTCTGGAAAAATAGGTATGTATTGCGGGTAACAGGTAGCATTTCCATATCAATTTCCGTTTCAAACCCGCACCGCCACAAGCAAACATAATATACAAAATCCAATGCAGAACAAAATCAGAATAAAGCAGAATGAATTGGTATAAATGGTAATTAAGTAAGCCAATATCGCCCATCGCACCAACACACCTATACTCACATATTCAAGCCGAGAAAAGCAAGATCCGAAATGAAAGTGACAAACCCTGCTCACGATAATTCCCTTTTTTTTCTTGTTCTGATAGAAAGGGGCAAATTCCTCCCAAATACATCTCTTTGTCATACATTACCCTCGTTGGTTTTATTCCCACGATTGATAGATATGGTTTTATTACTCCAATTAGTCTGATTCATGGGTCCCTTAAACAATAATAACAGACTAGCCACCACCTGCGGAATCGAAAACGTTCTGTTGCATGGAATATACTCTTTTGCCACCTGTTGTTTCGGAGCAAGTCTGTTGTTCCTGTGTCTGTTGCTGCGACGAATGTGGCTGATTTTGATGGGCTCGTTGTTGACTTTGTTGTGAGAGTGTTGGTGGAGGTGGTGGAGTCGGGGATGGCTGTAAAGGCCCAGTGGAGAAGCCTTGAATATCAAACATAGGCCAATTCTGGTTGTTCGGGTCTGTTGCGGTCGTTTGAATGTAGTTATCCCATGCATCCTGCAAAAGTACAAAAGTGGTTAGCAGGATAAGTGCCATGTCCAAATTTCCTGGTTCACGTACTACAACATAAGCGAAGGGAGAAATTGAAGTAGCCCAAAAAAGGGATATCAAAAATTCGAAACGTTTTTTGGAAAAAAAAAAACTTTAAACAAAAAACCTACCCAATCCAAATTGAATGGCTGCATTGTCGGCATTTGTCCAAATGTTCCCGTTCCTAGGCCAATCCCGCCGGGCGTTGGTAATTGCATCGAGTCAATAATTCCTCCTTGATTGATACCACGGCCATACCCAGAAGACTCCAACTTCATATGATCGGTGTCACCAAACTGCGGAGGAACCGTCGAGCCCATTTGGTTCAACCCAGTGCTCAGCAGGCCCAGCGTCATGGCCGCATTTTGCTTTTCATCCTGCGGTTCGAAAGGCTCTTCTGGTGTTGGCGCCGCAGGCGGCTCTGCAGGAGCGGCCTCGTCGCTGCCATCCTGATCCTGCTGTGACTGGTCCGGAAATAACTTCCCCAGCAGCACATCAATGATAGCAATAGCTCTCCACGCGTCCGCAGATTGATCTTTGAGTTCATTCCACATATCCCTGGACCTGCGCAACATCGCAAGCTCTTCTTGATATCGATCTACTCCTAGCACAAAGGTGTCGGTGGGGCTGCGGCCGGAGGAGTTTTCTTGCATGAGTTGGTATATATCGAGTGCTAATATTGTAGAAGACATCAGAAAATCTTGGGTGCTGGAGGCGGCCATGTAGCCCATGTTGGCCTTGATGCTAGGGTTGGTTTTAAATGCTGCTTGGAGAATGTTTTGGAATCGGAGCAGTTCCATCGCGCTCTCGATGCAGGTGCGACGGGAGTACGTATAGCGCGGGTTTTCGCGGCCGCGGTGGAGGAATCTTCGATGGAGCACGCATTGCGCTCTATGGTAAATACTTACAATCTGTAGATTCCATATATGGTTTTCTCTTTTAGCCAAAATTATAGGGTGATGGATTTCACAAATGCTGCCCGAGATTTTATCATGAAATTGGAAAAATGAAGGGAAGGAAAGGGGACGGGAGGGGAGGGGAGGACGTAAAAGTGAGAAATATTTACCATAAATCTTGACCTGACAACATTTAAGGACTCATTACACTCCACGATGGGTTTAAAACTCATCCGTTCGGGAATCGAATCCCGCGTCTGGCGAAGTTGATGATCCACGTCCATGACCACTTCATACGACGATCCAGTAACCTTCTGTGTGGTTTCCAATACCCGTCCAAACGCAAGCGCAAGCTTCGCCTTGATGATGAGAAACGAGATCTGCGTAGCTTCATCTATGGGTCTTTCGGGCATAAGCTTGACCGTATCTTCGTCGAAATCGGTATCATACAAATTTCGTGGAAGCTCTGTATCACAATCTCCTGTACGTATCATGGACGGTAGGCCGACTTGAAACGATAGCAGCAGATCAGCCTGTCGGATAAACGCCCACACCCGCCTTCGCATCTCACCCTGAAAAGGAGAAATATTTGGAAACATTTTTGGATCGCGGTGATAACCCATCTGCATCGCCAGGCGAGCAATGACCCCTATCAAAACCCATACCGACATTTCTGATTCTACCTGCGCATAATCAGCGTGTAAGTAGAGAACCAGCGTTTCGATCAAGTAGCGATGCGGTTTTGTATAGTCGGCGAGGGTGAGGCACTGAGCCATGGATTCCCGGTACGTCGAGGCCATTTGCAGGGTCTTCCCTCGGAATTCTGGCGGCACCTCTGATTCGTCATGATATGTTAGACATGCAAGCCGTAACATCGCATAGACCATGGCAATCCAAACAATGCTGCTTTTCGACGGATCTTCCCAATGACGTTTGTACTTTTAAACATCGTCAGCAAAATTTAAGACGCCAGGGTTTGAATGCAAGACCTCACCTCTCTATCGAAACTTGGAAAATGATGAATATCTGGAGAAGTTAAGCGAGTTCATCGGAAGAAGTTAATTTAGCTGGGATAAAAGACTTACGAGTAAATGGTTCATGGTGATTGAAGTAGCGATCCAGTATTATATCAGTAGTATATTTCGAAGGGAAGTTGGACAAAACTTCTTTCTCAGAAGGGGTCTTCATGGCCCCAAAAAGCAAAGGGGTGAAGGCGAAATGTTGTTGTTCGTTATTCGTTGCCTGAATTTTCTCCACGTGCTCCTCATATTGCTGCTTATGTGTTATGAAATACTGTTTGACTTCCGATATCTAAAATACGCAAAGTCAGATATCCTAGGTCCAATAACTCTAGTAAGACAGAGCATGAGCTAAGATTCACTCACATCGTTGAGAACCATCGTCCAATGCGCCTCGCTGACATAGTACGACTTTTGCGTTTTGGAATCGATCTTCATCACCCCAAATGATTTAGTAACTTGTTCCGTATCGCTCTCTTCTTCATCATACATTTCGTCTCTAAGAGCTAGTTCCTGTGTATCCTGCCGCGATGCAGAGCTGGTACTTGCCCCTGAAAACGCTGCTTGTGTTTGTGCCACAGCTTGTCCGACAGATTGAACGCCATTGGACATGAGCGTCAACACAAGCGACTCCAGTCGATCGATGCGACTCTGCATGCCATCCGGAGTCGCGGGTAACTCCTGGATGCCGGCAGTCTTCTTCCGGAACTTCGGTTGGGCGTACGTACACGAGGAAGCATCGTTGCGCTTCACGCAGTTCTCGCATGGCATTCCGCGGTTGCACTTCAGCCTGGGAGAAATCGGACATCAGACGAATGATCTTCCAGGATACATGTACATATGTTCGCAGCCAAATTATGAAGCTTACTTCCGACTTCTGCATGGTGCGCATGAGACCGGTACACGGTTCCGTTTCCTGACTACTCGGAATGGTCCTTCGGGGGAATGCGCGCTCAAGCTCGACGAGGTGGTGGATGGTGTTGGAGTCATTTTTCTTTCGTGGTCGTTCAGACGGTGTGCTTCTCACAGGCCCTTCAAGATGTGAAAAGGATATTTAGATCTGGAGGTAAAAAAAAAGCGGCGAGGGCTGAGAACCAATTCGAGTACTTTCAACCCGTCACGACGTTGGATAAAGTCACTAAATTTAAATAACACAAACGAGCATGAGTTGTCATATACCATGGTTTTGACTTGGTGGATAGATGGCTTACCCTCCCCCAGTATATTCAGATTTGATAGCAGAAGGTATCAAACATCACCCCGCGTATATCCGTTTCCCGTCTTCACCCAAGAGATGCCTAGCGATCCGGTCTTCCAAAGGCAAGAGCGGAAGTCTCCCCAGTGCAGTCCGGGTTGTGATAAGGTACTAGTAGGGAAGGGCGTTGTAACGCGATATCTTCCGAGTTCCCTCGCACCTAGATGAGTTCTAGATTTCCGTGAGAAGAAGAATATATTCTTGGATAAAGAATGGCGCAGAGCATGGACAGAGAATCAACGCAAGTCCAAGGAAAGTGACAGATAGGAGTGATATCATATAGCATGGAGTTATAGCTTAAGTGTAACAAGGGCCTTCAGTGCTCAGAACCGCGATCAACCAGTGAGCTATCCTCAGAAGAAGAAAAAAGGGGGGGTCAACGAAATGGTGATAAAAATGCAGTCGAGAAGGAAAAAGTTGAGGTCTGAAGGAGGCTAAGAATATCAGCGAAAACTTGGGTTTCAAAGCGGGGAGTTTCTTCATTTTACGGGGGCCAAGGGAGAGGGCCGCAAAGCCCAGAAGTATTTACCTCCTCCCCGCGAACAAGCACCACCCAAAAACAGCCCGACCAATTGCTGAGTATGATTCCTGGCTAGAATAACTCAGTCGCAAGCCTCCGATAAACGGTTGCACGTCTTCGAACGAGGGAGACGGGGTCGAAAAGAACATGCACATTAGCTGATTATGGGAGGAGGCGGAAGTCTAACATCGATAGTCAGAAGGATGAATGTTATCACTGGCTGCTACTGAGCAACGCCATTAGTGCCGGAAAATGTCCACCAAAGCACACTCTGGCCAGCCCATCCCGGCACGGGGTTGGGGCCTCGATGATTTTAAGCTTCCACCAGGAGAACAAAATGGGGCCATTCTGTCTCCAGAACTTTGGGCTGCACGACGAGCATGATACCCACATACGGGGTCACAGCGGCAGCGAAAACCCACTTCAACGACCTCCCTGCCGTTTGATTTGTGCGGGTCGTCGGTGAAAAGGCCCCATTGTGCCCTTGGCCTATTTACTCTATACATAGGGCTAACATAGATGTAGTTCCCTTGGGTATGAAGGTGCTGGAGGGCTCCAGCAACTTGGCGTGATTGTCCTCAAGCCTTGAGTTGAAATCTTGAAAATGCTCTGTAAGCGGCATTCGCCCACCATAGTTACACCTAAACGCCCCTTCTCTCCAACCAAGCCAAAATATGCCGTGATGTGGCTTGTTTTAAAAAGCTCGTTTTTGTCAATCGTTTCCCGTTAGACCAACGGCAGAGCAATGGTCAGAACTCCTTCCATTATCCTAATATGTGGGGAGGATCGGGCCCCCTCAAAAAAACAAACCAAAAAAAAAAAAACAAAACCAAAAAAAAGGGACTTCAAGAGCGAACTGCCAAGGTTGGAGTATGGGGTTACATCATTTGGTCAGCATCGAAGAAAGAATGAGGTTTCTGGAAGAACTGGGCATACAGTTGAACATTAATGAAAAGTTGAACATGGTTGATTTTGGGCTGGAATAACCTTCGGCGTGGTTTTGGCCATAAACCATGTCAACCCTTTCATTAAAACTACATGCACTAGCCATATCTCCCACACATCTCTCACACATCTTCAACACAGTGATTTTATCTTATTTCTCAAAGCTCTGCCTCTTAACTAATCTGGATTCTAACTCTTAGTTAGTTAGTCACTAATTCTAGCCCATAACTGATGTTGAAGAGCTTCAGATGTTGAAGTAGAAGGACTAAATGAGAGCTGATTAGTAATATGCAGTGAGGATGTGTAAAATATGTTTAGTGTGTAAATGTTAGTGAGGGTGTGAAGGGCTGAGCGAGCATGGTTTATTTTTCAGACCCCCTTTTTTAAACCATGTTCGACTTTTAATGATAAACTGTAACCCGGGAAGAATTCTATATTGAGCACCTATGCAGGGAGATGTAAGAAATATTCGTAGTAACTTAAATATGCATGCCCCGTCAACGTTTCCGTTGAAGGCTGACGCCCAAAAGATTTTGGCTGTGGATTATTTGAGCTTCGACACGGAGTATTTCTAACATTTGCAAGGATTGATGTTTCATGCCTCTGAGAAAGTAAAGGACGTTCAGTAGAATCGATTTAAAAAATAAAAATGAAAATAAAACTGAAAATGAAATAAAAATGAAAATGAAATAAAAAAGTAAGGTAAAGTAAAGAACATGAAGAAAAGAAAGGGGGGAGGGGGCAGAACTCCAGCTCCCACATCATATTAAGCCTTGAACTCATTCATCCATGTAACAGAAAGAGAAGATAACATTGATAGATGGAGTAAGTTGTGGTTTCTCTTTTCATCATCACCATTTCATACTTTCTCATTCTTCGATATACACATATGCATATTCATGATTACATGCACACTATTCACAGCCACACTGTGCTTTGAATCTCAAAGGAGGAAAGGGAATATAAGAACAGATAATGGCAAGAATGGAAGAAGAAAACAAAGTTAAAACAGCACATGAAGCAATTTAAAAAAGAAAAAAAAAAGGAGAAGAAAAGCGAAAAAGAAGAATCACAGTGTCGAAAGTCAACTCGGTGGAGGGAAAGGGGGCTGCGATAGATATGCTGCTCAATCAATCAAATAACCACAATTCCTCCCCCTGGCTTGGCCGGTAAAGCAACCGGTTCTCCTCCCCCCTATCAAAAATTCCCCATTTATCAAAACCCATCATCCCCAAAGCCCCAGCTCCTCTTATTAACATCCCGACTCATCCTCTTCCCACTAACACCCACAGACGGAGCTAGCTTCTCCTTCTCCTTCTCCTTCTCCGCCTCCTCTTCCACAAACGTATCCCAACTCGAATCCATCATCTTCACAGCCTTCTTGCGATCAAACCCCAAAGGGGCCCCATGACTCTGTTGGGAATTCCCATTGGCATTCCCATTCCCATTCGCATTACGACCATGATTATTATTGCTATTATTCATTTTCTCCCCTTCCTTCTTCACGGAATTCGAATTCGTAAAATCATCCGCGTCAGCATCCACCATCGTCCAATGGCTATCGAAGTCCTTGCGGCGATTAACAGTATTAGCAGGAATATTAGACACGGGTCGCTGTGGTGCTTCACTAATCCTCGCAGCAGCAGTGCCAGCAGCTTTGACGGGCGTGCCTGAGTCGTCATAGACGTTGTTTTCATACAGGCCGAGGCCCTTGTTATGTGCAGCGCCGGGAACCTTGAAGGGCGCCTTGTGCTCCTGATCCTGCTCTTGCTGCTGTTGTCCTTGTTGCTTGTTGGCGATAGGTGTACCAGATTCATCGAAGAGATTATTGTCATAGAGACCCAGGCCCTTATTATGTGCGTCGCCCCTGGGATGCATTTGCTGGTTCTGTTGGCGTGCGATAGGTGTTCCATCGTCACGGAGCTCAAAGTGAGTTTCCGCATCGCGGCGCGGTTGCGGAGCTCGACGTTGCTTGGGAGGACTATCTGCAGTATCCCCCTCATCGTCACTCCAGCTGAAATGTCGCACGTTCTGCGCTTGGAGCTTCTGCCGCGGTTTTTCCGGAGTGACAAAGTCCTCAAAATCCCATTGGGACAGGTGTTTCTTTGCGTGGGGGCGGAGAGGGAGGTTGCTCTGTATGCTTCCCGGGTCCGCCTCTCCAAACTCGAAATGATTTTCTTGTTTTGTCTTTTCTTGATCAGATCTACTCACAGGAGGTTCAGCCTCGCCGAATTCAAAATGGCCTGGAGCCTGTGGTTTCATAGTGGATCCAGGATGAGGCGTCTCTCCAAACTCGAAATGATCGTATTTCTTTGCATTAGTCTTGACCGATGTTATTGTATTCACTTGCTCTGATCGTTGCTCCTCCTCATCGTCCGCAAACAAACGCGAGGGTTTATACGTAGGCCCCGCCCCTCCTTTAGGGGGTACAACTTCATCTTTCCTCGCAGGGTGAGAAGATTTCTTCGTAGGCGTCGACTCAGCATCATCCCCCACAAACAAATCACCGTAATTGCGCGGAGGAGGTTTGGCAGATCCGCGAGAGGCAGCTGACACGGGTCTTTCTTCAGGTGGGGGGGAATAGGGCTGGAAGAGAGACAATGACGCGTGCGGATCTTTAGTAAATCTCTTGCTGGGGGATGTGATTGACCCGAATGACGCGTTTGATGCGGCGGTAGTAATAGACCGCTTATCAGCCAGCGATGCCGGTGACGAGATGGAAGTGGAACTTCTCGCAGCTGCGGAGACGGAGGAACTGATAAGACGGGACTGTTCAGTTGTGTATCGAATTGGCCAATTACGGCTGCTCGCGCCGATGACATCAAGCTGCTTGAGAAGCGCTCCTTGGTCCCAGTACAGTCGAATTTGGGTAATCCTATCGTTGCTATCAAAATGGACGATGTGGACCTGTAACAGAGCTCAAACCTTGTCAGTTTTACATATTGTATTACATTGTCCAATTTTTATTTTTATTTTTATTTTTTTTTTATTTTAATTTTAATTTTTTGGGGGGGTTTGATTTCTTGTTTTGTTATCTTTTCGTGGGGCAACATTGTAAAAATAAAAATAAACAAAGACCAAAACATAGATATATGTATTTGGGGGACTGACTATTGGCACCGTGGCGACGCGATCGACAAGGAAATTGTCATCAAGGTCCAGCAAATAGGCCCCTCCCCCAGTTGTAAACTCCAGCAAGGTCTCGACGTCTAAGCAAAGTGAACGGGCACCCTCGATTGCGTGGACGATCTTCTCCGACTTCTTCTTGAGAACGCGGGACTGTGTGGTGAGATGCTTGATGATGGGTTCAGGGTGCGAGAAAGTGGTTGTGGTGGGTATGTAGTTCAGCGCCGCGTCGGCGGAGAGAGACGCAGCCGCTGGATCAGCCAGGAACCGCTCATAGACTGCTCTGAGCGACATGGAGGGCGGGAGATACGGCAGCGCGGGATTAGAGTGGGTAGTATAGGATGAGGAGGATGGAGGGTAGATGGAGAGAGGAGGAAGAGAGAGAAGAGGAGGGCAGAGATGAGGTGAGGAATTCGCGGAAATAGCCAGGGACGGGGATTGTTGATGAGGGAGGGTGCTGGCCACGGGAGTTGCTATGGACGTCTGCAGTAATCTGGATTCCGGGGTTGTTATGCTGCACCAACGTGGGACATCCAGGGCAGGGATGCCGGGAGACGTTGGGCTTGGTACTTGGTATTTAGGGATCATGAGAGACAGCGGCGATTAAATCCATGTATGCTGTATCCGTGAGATAGTTATATGCGGCCCTGAGACAATGAAACACCAATTGACAGAAGCTGTATGGTCTTTTTTTTACCCGCGTGGGATATGGAGTGCAGAAGCAGTCAGTTAGATCAATGCAAATAACCAGTTAAACAGAGTTGTTTACATGATAAAAGTTACCCAGGGGTTGTCTGCGGAAACAGACAGGTTGGTTTCGTAGTTACAAGGAAAACCTGGACAAGGTCTGTCACCGCAACAGCAACAGTTGGATACTACGCAGTACATACAGATCTGTAGCACGAAGCAGGTTTGTCATCCGGCTTGTGCATATTCAAATATCCAGTTCCTGTCCTGAGGAATGGAACATTCCGTTCTGTTATTTTCTTCTTTCTCTACCCTTTGTTGAATCGAGGGGTTCAACCCCAGAAGTCCACACTAACAGCCCCAAATGCAAGGCCCATAAGCAAACGCCACTGTTTCATCTTCTCTCGCAAGACGTCGTGACTGGCTACGCAGTGATCTCGGGCCCAGCGCGGGCTTCTGGAAGCCTGTGGAGGTAGTTAACCCTGTGGAGAAGCATAGGTGGTGATCATGTCAGGAGAGTTCCCTAGCTGGGGAGTAATCTGTGAGTTACTCATTCATTATTACCTTGAAGTAACCAACTGCTGTTATCTCTCGACCTATGGATTTCAAGACCCGTTGTCATTTTCATTCCGTCCTTTTCATTTCTCTCTTCGCAATCCCATCTTCAATTCCCCCAAGTCCGATTCCATTCAATATTTCAAAATCCTGTGCTTCCTTTCCTCTCGATAGGTGATCGAAGCAGCAAAGGAAAAAAGGCTCCAAACAACAACGAGAGTATGGGACTCGGTGGACAATAGATGCATTTACTAATAAAGGTCGATGGCCCTCCTGCTGCTAGGTTCATTGTTTGTGCGCGCTGTGTTCGCGGAAACCATTTTTAGTTTTATTGGATAATCTACTTTGTATTCGAGAAATAGATGGAACAAACGAGTTCTTGTCCAATAAATTCCCGTATAGTAACTAGTAAAGTAGCTGGACGGACTAAGAGTAAAATAGCGGCGGAGAAAATCTAGAAAGTTTCATACTCATGCTACTTGTTTCTATACTACTATTTTTTACAAAAGCAGAATATCGGGAGGAGAAAGAAGTAATTTTTGTGCTTTGTTTTCATCTTTGTGCTGCTGCTTCTTCCCTTGCCATATATCCCGTTATTGTCGCCTTTTATGTTCACTTTTTCCCCTTTCTTTCTTCTCCCTTTTTCATGGTATACATACGTAGTTTTTGGAATGAAAAAGATAACTGACATATGGCATAATAACATTATTATTATTATCACAACGTCCTATTTTGTTTTCAAATAATAACAGTCAGTTCAGATCATTTTATTCTCTCCAACTTCCCTTTTCTCATTCGAATTATACGGCTTTAATGCCTGCAGGGCTAGTTGGGGGTAGAAAAAGGGACAGGGGACAGGGTTAGACAGACCCTAGATAATCCTCCTTGATGCTTCCAATCGCAAACATATTGCGCACATCATTTCGCAACCCAATCAGTTTGATGCGCAGATTGGTCCCCTTCTCAATAACCTGTTCTCCATTATCAGTATATTGCGGTGGAGTCGCGTCAGGGTCCCATTTGATTTCGGGGGGAATCAACTGTTACTCGGGACAAGAAAATGGAATTTGTCAGTCAGTCAAATGAACCCAAAGCGTATACAATTCAACCAGCCCGCCAAATCTACGGGAACAAAAAGCCACGAATACTCAGCGACAACAGGTAAGTATGAGAAAGAACATACATGTTTCGACACGAAGACCGTCAGCGGGCCAACCTCCGCAAATATCCCTTGATTCTTAACAGATGTCACGATAGCATCGACCTTTACATATCGCCACGATCACAGGTTGGTGCCAGGTTAGCATGCCCGTACGTAAACGGCCCATCCACGACGAACAAAACAAACACACGCGGAAAAATTAATACATACCGTCTCCCCCTTAAAGGGCTTCCACACAATAGCCCTGTACATGATAGTATACTCCGCCAATCCGCTACCAGGCAGTACTCTCCCCTCCGAAATATCATACGTATCCATCACACAGACGATGTAATAGTCACCCGTGCACACGCCCTCCACGTCATCTAGCAGCTTCTGCGTCAGATATTCCTTCACGTGTGAGCCGAAGAAGGTTGGGTGGAGGGTGAGGACGTGTTCGAGGAAGTGGATAAAAAACATCGTGAGTGAAAAAGTCCGGCCGGTGGAAGAAACGACAGAAAGATGAAAAGTAAACCGTGCGCCGTGCTTTCGCGCTCCCTTTCCCGGTCCCTATATATAGAGATTGGAAATGAGAAAAAATCCGAACGCGATCCTTTGCAGGCAATGGATTGCCCGGTCTTTGAGACGGGAAGATGCGCTGATTCGATGCTTTGTCCGTTAATGATCCCCCGCAGCCCCACGTCGTGCGTGCGCAAAAATCCAATCCCCGCCCCCTCCAAAAGCTACAGGAATGGCCCTCCGAGCGAAGGGGCTTTGCGCGCAAACAAGCCCCGGCGACGTCGTGTGCGATCCTCAGCGTACCATGACCGACGGAACTGTTGCGGTTGCTTGCCTACTCTTCTTATCCTTTCTTATTTTCCGCCAGGCGGGTGGGTCGCGCGAGCCAGCAGCAAATTTGCTTTATAAGAAGAAAAACGAAAACCTCACTATTTCTAGTAACTGAGTAAACGAGAGACGAGAAGGAAAAGCTGTATATTGGTAAAATTGGAGGAGCAAACTAAGCAGGACCTCTGCCAAATAGTCCACGGGCGCGTTGTGGGAGGGAAGTGATCCGTAAGAGATCGCGAAGGGATAAGGCCGAAAAGGGAGAGGGAAGGGAAGAGTGGGAGAGACGGGGAGGAGAGATTGAGAGATTGATTGCTGGCTCCTGGCTGCTGAAGCTTGATATTGCTGGCAGACGAGGCGGTTAGGTAGGCACTGAATTATATCACGTGATAATAAATTGGTCACCTGATAAATAACTAGACAGGATTTTTATGAACTACAATGTCCAGAGTATGCAAAATCAATAGTTTGAACTTCATTCTAAAAACACTTGCAAGACGTACAAATACCAAGTGAATGTGCATCTGATCAAGGCCCACATATGTGAACATGAAAAATCCCTAGGCAAACGGAGATGATTCCTGTTTATTTTGTCGACCTGCTCAAATGTGCACTCGCTTTCTCAATATGAACCCAGTAAATTTGAATTCCTTATCTTTATCGCTTTCCTTTGATATTCCCGCTCAAATCTCTGCAATAATAAATGAGGATACGAAAAATTTAAAATGAGTAATTTTGAAATATCTGAACAAAGACTATATGGACAAAGACACTAGAATGAAATATGGAAATTATCCTCCTACCTGGCCTGCCGCCTAACTGGCTACGAGGTTGATTGATAGAAATTTGTACATCTTTCATATGGAATATACATACAGCTCTTAGTTATATGAATAACTATACTACTATAATGGATCTGTGGTGCCCAGAAAGCTCAGATAGCAAAGCAGGTTTGAGTGATGACCCAATGATGATCACATGAAATTGGGGCGATTGGATTGCCGAAAATATCTCAACCACCGCTCCGTCTCCCGCATGGGACAACATCTGGGGAATGACAACATCCAGCCAGACTGACAGCCATCAGAGGGGCGGAATAAAGCTCAGGTCAGAGCTGAAGACAGCGCATAGGTATTGATTGATCCTTATGCTCTGTGCTGAAACTGGTGTCGATATACCCAATATACCCACCCCATTCCCTCCATCGAATTGTCGATCAACCGCCTATTTGCCGCCCAATCCCCCGTATACCAGGTACATGTACGTGCACCGCAATTACATGCGTGACCACTCCCCCAGCTCTGTATAGACGCGCAACTCGGATAGCAGCAGCCATGGCGCTCAACCTCGAAAAGCAGTTTACCTTTGTACGTTGTTGTAACCGTATATCTAGTTAAATTCTCTTTGACCTATGGCGACGAAACTGACCGTTCTGAATAGTATGGTGCCTACCACCATAATCCAGTAAGGGATCTCCGGCAAAACCGACCCTCTGTCTAGATCCTATATACTAAATCTAATCATACCCTCTCTATCCGTCCTAACACATCTCGATTAATTATGCAGGTGAACGTAGCAATCCATATCGTATTTGTCCCGGTGATAATGCTCTGCATGTTCCAGCTGGTACCTCTCCATTCTCCCATTCTCCCATTCCCCAATTCGCTTCCTATCAGCAGGATAGATGCAAGCCTAACAGGAAAACACCAGGCCACAAACACAGGGCCCCTCATCTCTCTCCCGGACTCCTTATCCATCAAAACCTTCCCCCCAAACCTCGGAACCATGGCCTGTCTCCTCTACACAACCCTCTACATCCTCATGGAGCCCGTAGCCGGCACCCTCCTTGCCCCGCTACTGGTCGGTGGCACCGTTTTCGTCAACCACCTCACAATCACCTACGGTTCCATAGCGACATATTGGGGTCTAGGCATCCAGGCAGTCGCGTGGGTAGCGCAGTTTGTCGGGCATGGCGCGTTCGAAAGGAGAGCGCCCGCGTTGCTGGATAATTTGATGCAAGCGTTTTTCCTCGCGCCGTTTTTTGTGTGGCTTGAAGTGCTGTTTTCGCTTGGGTACCGGCCGCAGCTAAAGGCGAGGATTAATCATGCGGTTCTGAAGGAGATTGCGAAGTTTAAGGAGGTGAAAGGGAAGAATTAGGTAGGTATTGGGATTTCCTCGGTTCCCACGCCCTAAATACCCTCCTCCATGCCTCTCTTTCTCTCTCTGTTTTTTCTTTGGTTTTAAGCGACTGGCTCGAGCCGTGTGTGCTCTTTTTATGGCTGGGCTTCCGTCATCTGCATATACAGGGTCAAGCGGGGGGGTTTATGGGAAGCAAAGTGTGGTACGGTATTGTGATGATTGATGCGGTGTGAGGACGATTGGAAAGAAGCGGGTCACATTGAGTCAACGCTTTCGTATCCATATTCTTCGGAAGGGTATTGTTTCTTCCTTCTGCAACTCCCGAACATTGCTTGTTCTCCTCTCCATGATAATACTTTCATCATTATGATTATTCATCTGCATTGGACGATTTACACGACGGATCATGTGTCAAATGGGCGTTAATTAATATCTCTTTTATAGCCTAGTATATGTTATTGCCATTGATGCTTGCAGTTGCAAAATGTAATTATTGTCCGAATATGAATTCCAATATCCTCTTCTTTCCTTGGTCCGTTGAATCCTGTGGGTCTGTGGATTACTCCTCAGCTCTGCAAAAATCGTAGACTTACACCCTTTAACCGGGCCACTACTTTTCTCATCCCGCAAGGTGTGGTCTTGAGTCAAGAAATTAAGATCATCGATTCAGCTTCTTGTTCTTCCACATATTTCCTGGCCTGATATCCTGTTCACCAAGTATGTTCATGCCCCTTTTTTGATCAAAAATACAAACATAGATTTATTAAATAATGAATCTAAGAAGAGTTACTATTGGATGCTTGAGCAAGCACAGGCTGCGCAGTGATTACAGTTGAGTGCCCAGGTGTGATTTTGTATATAAAAATTGACATTAATCTAGTGCTACATGGACAGGCTCGCTGTCTGATGAGGCTTGGCAAGATATTGGCTAGTCCCTTTTCGTCCAACCTTCTCGCAACCTGAAAGCTCGCTCTTTTCCCCCATCCACATTATCCGCTCTTTTCCTCTCCCACTCCACAACCCCCAATTGATCTCCCTCCCCATCTGTTTCCATCTCTTCCCTCTCCAGACTCCTTCCCTCACAATGTTCAGAAACGCCCTGCGGCAGTCCAGCCGCTCTGTCGCGGCTGTCTCTGCCTCTGGCAGGATTGTTGGTGTAAGCCATCCCTCCCGCTTCCATTTTCCCAAATCTCCCCATCCAACCCCAGCCCCTTCCGCAGCCTTTATCGCATCCATCCACCAGATTCCATCTACTTCGCCCTCGATATTGATGTCGATGGCCTCTGTGAACTCAATTGACCCAATTACATCTCCTTTGAGTCGCGTCTGCTTTGTTTACCACCCCGCTGACAAAATTTTCTCACTTTCAAAATCAGGCTCGAGCTGCTGCACCAGGACCACTTTCGGCCGCTTCGCAGGTCCGGACATACGCTGCTGAGGCCAAGGCTTCCCCTACCGAAATATCCTCTGCCCTCGAACGGAAAATTCGTGGTATTCAAGAAGAAGCCGGCTTTGCTGAAACTGGTCGTGTCCTCTCTGTTGGGTACGCCATAATCTCTCACCAACCAAACCAACATGATGGTCAAAAAATCATACATTGCAGCCATATAAATACGGTATATAATGAATTCTAACTAGCTGGACAATAGTGACGGTATTGCTCGTGTCCATGGCATGACCAATGTCCAGGCTGAGGAACTCGTTGAGTATGTTCCGTCTAACCATACATACCCATATAATGCGAATAAATATACTTAAGACAAAAATTTTTAGGTTTGCCTCTGGCGTCAAGGGCATGTGCATGAACTTGGAAGCCGGCCAAGTCGGTGTTGTGCTTTTCGGCTCTGATCGTCTTGTCAAAGAAGGCGAAACTGTCAAGCGAACTGGCGAGATTGTGTGTACAGAAAATTCCTCGTCATCAACTTGGTGATTTTATATTTCTAACCCTTCCTTCTCAGGTTGATGTCCCCGTTGGCCCCGAGCTTTTGGGTCGTGTCATTGATGCTCTGGGTAACCCCATTGACGGGAAAGGCCCAATTAAGGCCAAGGAGAAGCGCCGTGCCCAGCTCAAAGCTCCTGGCATTCTGCCTCGTCGCTCTGTCAACCAGCCTGTCCAGACCGGTCTCAAGTGTGTCGACTCTATGGTCCCCATTGGCCGTGGTCAACGTGAGCTGATCATTGGAGATCGTCAAACCGGAAAAACTGCCGTCGCTCTTGATGCCATGTTGAACCAGAAGAGATGGAATGACACGAATGATGAGAGCAAGAAGCTGTACTGTGTTTACGTTGCTGTTGGACAGAAGCGTTCCACTGTCGCCCAGCTCGTCAAGACCCTTGAGGAGAACGATGCCATGAAGTACTCCATCGTCGTTGCCGCCACTGCCTCTGAGGCCGCTCCTCTTCAATATATCGCTCCATTCACTGGTAAGTCTTAATCCCCCACCCTGTTTTCCCCTTGTTTTTCCCCTTATTCTCTCTCTCTTTTGGTTCTTGTTCTAATTACTGTTTCTGTTTCAAAAGGCTGTGCTGTAGGAGAATGGTTTCGTGATAATGGACGCCACGCTCTCATCACTTATGACGATCTGTCTAAGCAGGCCGTTGCCTACCGTCAAATGTCCCTTCTTCTCCGTCGTCCTCCAGGGCGTGAGGCTTACCCCGGAGAGTATGTATCAAACAACCCTTTGTAGGATTCACACACATGTCTGACTGGTCTGTTTCTAGTGTCTTCTACCTCCACTCTCGACTTCTCGAGCGTGCTGCCAAGTTGAATGACAACCACAAGGGTGGCTCCCTCACTGCCCTCCCCATCATTGAAACCCAGGGCGGTGATGTTTCTGCCTATATTCCCACTAACGTCATTTCCATTACCGACGGCCAGATCTTCTTGGAGGCTGAATTGTTCTACAAGGGTATCCGACCAGCCATTAACGTCGGTTTGTCTGTGTCTCGTGTCGGCTCTGCCGCCCAGCTCAAGGCCATGAAACAAGTCGCCGGTTCGCTCAAACTGTTCTTGGCTCAGTATCGTGAGGTTGCAGCCTTCGCCCAGTTCGGTTCCGACTTGGACGCTTCCACCAAGCAGACTCTCAACCGTGGTGAGCGCCTGACCGAGCTGCTTAAACAGAAGCAATATAGCCCCATGGCTGTCAACGAAATGGTTCCACTCATTTTCGCTGGTGTCAACGGCCACCTCGACTCCATCCCCGTCAGCAAGATTCAGCAATGGGAGACTGATTTCCTTGCTCACCTCAAAGCCAACGAGTCTGAGCTTCTTCAAACGATTGAGAAGGAGGGTCAATTGAGCAAGGAGCTAGAGGCTCAGTTGAAGGATGTCACAGTTGCCTTCAACAAGTCTTTCTCATAAGCTCTGTGTGACCGACTGCAATATATTCGAAGATGAAAGGAGAGGAGAGGAAAAGGAAGCAAAAAAAAAGTATACTTGACAAATTAAATCTTGCCTCTTAGTTTCTATTTTAATCCCTTACCCCACTCTATGCAGCGAAAGGTTATTTTTGTCTTCGCTTTTTACTTCCTTCTCCTTTGCTTTTTTCCCTTAATAAAACACTGTCACCACTATTATGTATAGACAAGAAATAGCTCGTGTACAATTTTGAATTCAATTTTGTTTTTCCCTTTCTTTTTCTTTTCTTTTTTTCTTTTCTTTTCTTTTTTTTCAAATCCGCGGCTTCTTTTTTTTTTTAAAAAAAAAAAAAAAATCTTATTAAAGAGAAAACTGATCCCCAAAAAGGATAAATAAATAAACAAATAAACACAAATCTCCCTTGTTTGGATATCGCCTGGGTTTGATTTTTTTCTCCTTCGCCTTCCTACTAATGTTGGTTCTTATGTCCAAAAATTCCATCTTTCCTGATCTCTTTTGTTTCCGCTAATTTGTCTTTTGAAATTTGATATCTCTTGTTTGATTTTCAATGCCTGTATTTACCCATCTCTTGATCTCCTTTTTCAAGCTTTTCTTTTCTTTCTGTATGATGGATGTGGTCGGTACTGTTATCCTTCTATCATAACGATCATGAGGAATAGCCTGCACCTTCTCATGGGGCTTCTGAGTTCCACAGCTGAGTTAGAATTGAAGAGAGAGAGAGAGAGAGAGAGATGCGTGAAATCTTTTATTTTTTTCAAAGAAGTGAAAAAGCCAGTGAGGAAGTGGATATTTGCTTGAGTTGTATGTAATGTGTAGATTTATGGCTAAGCCAAGCTCCGTTGAATTGAATTGTATTATGGCTATATACAAAAATCAGAAATCAGTGTGCAAAAAATAGAACCCGGAATTTGGGAATCTCTTGGTGGCTTCTCATGTTTAGAGAAAAAGGGAATTTGGCGAGTTCTTCTGCATTTATGCTGTTCGGTCTCTTAATGAAAGGATAGGGAGTCCCAGGGGGTTTATAGAGGCCAACGCCCCTAGCTTGCCCACTAGCTCATGCCTAAATCCCAGGTGGTCCCGGAGATTCAATACACTAGTAGGTAAATCCTTTAGTGTGAGACAAAACTTTTCGTAGCGGCCTCCGGAGTCTGTGCGAAGTACAAGTTATTCAAATAACATCTATAATCAGATTCCTAACATATTGCTTCCTCAATAAGGTCCCTACGCGTTGCATTCGACCTACTGAATCAACTGTCTGTTTTATGATGAGCATGGATTTATTGACTCACCGAGCCTCGTCCCATCCGTGCCACCCAGACCCCTGTTATCGATAAGCACGACCATAAAAAAAGTTCAAAAACTCCCCTCTCCTCCACCAGCAGCCCAAGAATTGTTTCCGCCGACCTTCATTCTTCTTATCTTAACGCCCCCTGCCTTGCCACAATAAATTCGCGCCCATGGCACCAGAACTAGAAACATCGGCCTCAGCTTCCTGCAAAGTCGTGCTTGCGGCGAACGTTGCGCGGGGCCTTTTGGCGGAGGTCAATGAGGGGCGCCAGACTCTGAGTACGGCGCCGCACCTTGTGGGGTTTTTGGCCAATTCAGACCCGGCTGCGAAGATGTATGCGGATTGGACCGAGAAAACTTGTAAAGACAAGTGAGCGGAGCCTTTGTTTTTTTTATCCCGTTTCTCTTTTGTGGAGTGGTATATTGTATGCGTGCGCGAGATGCGCTTGACTTTGCGATTGTGGTAGCTTCAATTCAGATACCATTGGGAGTTTTGAAGAATCGCGTTATGAAAAATTACTCTTAATTGAAGTTATAATAAATAAATGTAAGAGTGAAAATCCGCTAACCACCCGGTATTCTTAAATCTCCCCGCCAACAGCAACTTCCGCTACACCCTCCGCGCCGTCTCGCGCGATGATATCGAAGATGCCATCCTCGCTGCCAACTCAGACCCAGACGTCGACGGCATAATTGTTTACTATCCCATTTTCAACAACAGACAAGACCAGTATCTCCAGCAAATCGTCGATATCTCCAAGGACGTCGAGGGCCTCAGCCACCGCTACATCTTCAACATGTACCAAAACATCCGCTTCCTCGACCCCCCGGAGAACAAGCAGAAATCCATCTTGCCCTGCACGCCGCTCGCCGTCATCAAGATCCTCGAGTACCTACAAATCTACAACACTATCCTTCCCTACGGGAACAGGCTGTTTGGACATACAATATGTGTGGTCAATCGGTCTGAGGTTGTAGGAAGGCCGCTGGCGGCGTTGCTGGCTAATGACGGCGCATGTGTGTATAGTGTGGATGTCACGGGTGTGCAACAGTTTACGCGTGGGGAGGGAATTCGGAAGAGACATCATGAGGTTATGGATATGGAGGGGTGGGGGTTGGAAGATGCAGTGCCGCATTGTGATGTGGTCATTAGTGGAGTACCAGGGGATAAGTTTAAGTTTAATACGAAGTTGTTGAGACAAGGGGCTGTGTGTATTAATTTCTCGAGTGAGAAGGTGAGCAGTAAATTTGTTTTGGGGAGGGAGGGGGATGGTTGCTCGCGTGTCATTTTTAAGCCATTATGAGAACGCTGACGAAGGTGTTTTTTTGTGCAGAATTTCGGACCGGAGGTGAAAGAGAAAGCATCCATATATGTCCCGGCCATTGGCAAGGTTACAATCGTTGTGTTGCTAAGAAACTTACTGGTAAGTTTTCCCCTATTTCCGCTTTTAGCGATAATGGACCTTCGTGAAATTTTCACTATATGTGTGTTGACTGCTTCAATCTTGTTGTATAGAGGATTGTCCAGAACCGCAGCCGTAATCGGGTCCAACCTGCAGATGCAGTTGAGAAGCCTGGCACTCTGGAGAGTGTCGTCACTCAGGCAGAGTAATGAAATGTTATCTCGTCAATCAGCATTTATATTTATATGTATACATATATTCGCATCTATGGAACTTCCATGTTGTACCATCTGGGATAAGATGGTGGGTACCTGGATGAGGGCGAAAGCGAGTGAGGCTGTTGTATATATCATAAAAACAACGACAAAGGTGAAAACCAAACGAAAATAGCAAAGGAAGATGGCTTCATGGTATCCCTGGATTTGACTTTTGCAAGTTGGAGTCGGTACTGTTATATTTTATAGGTTTGGTTGGGTTAATCGGAGCTTTTGGATTTTGATTTCAATATCAGATCAGGGGATGTTGGATGGAATAGGAGCAAACCTTGGAACATTATCATCATAACTAGCACAATTATACTCATACGATGAATGAACCAAATGTTCATTAGGAATTGCCATGATCTGATGGGTCTTGGATAAAAAGGAGACTACAGGTTAAAATTACGCTGCTTGGAATATGTGCACTTATTCATTGTTTAGATTGAAGGCAACAAATGAAATGCCGTTGGCAAGGTAGGAATTATATATATATTTCCATAACGCACAATATCCCAGTAATAAACACCGTGGAGAGTATTTTTGCCAACCTCTTTATGCTCCAGCTACGAGCAGAATAAGAATCAGAACCGAAAAAAAAAAAAGAATGCACAAGGGAGCAACAAAAGCCATAGGCTATCAATTTATGCTCAAGTTTTTATTGCCCTTCCTGTTTCAGTTTCCTCAACAAGGTAATTAGCCCAGAAATCTCATCATCTTACGACTTCGTAGCTGACTCTACCCCCTTCAATGCCTTGACCTCGCTACTAAGCCAATGTTTAAAGGGTTCGGGATGAAACGTGCCATCCGCAGAAAACCATCTAGAAAAGGGCGCAGAGATTGTTGCATCTTGGAGAATAGCACCAGAGCTGGACGTATGTCTAATACGCAGTGTATATAACGGCGAATGCTTTTTGGTTGACGAGCAGATGCGGAGCTGTTTGGGTACATTCATTAGTCACGCTATGCTAGGGCTCTTGACAAACACATATGTATATATATTGAATATATATATAAGCATAAACACAATAGAAGCTCACCTTCTCACCCCCATCCGTACCCCCTTCAAATACTTGGCCAGCTTCCACCAGCCATAACCAGATTGTAAATGCTATGTTGAGAATGAAGTACGAAATTACAGAGGCCATAGTCCACGACGTCGAAACCTCCCATTTCAGTCGACGATCGACGTAAAATAAGGCTCCTGCAATTGCTACGGCGACATAGCCTAAAGTTAGGCGGACGTTGGATTTGAAGTTGTCTGCAGTGAAACGGTGGGGTTTTGGGAGAGATATTAAGTATGGAGTTATAGCATCGTCGGTGGTATTTTTGAGATCTGGAGCAAGTAGTATAGTATGTTAGGTTTGCTTTCATTATTTGCCTCTTGCGCTACGGTTATATATGTTGAGTCTTTGGAGTGCATTGGAGGAAGGGGAGAGGATTGGTGTAATTCTTACCAGATAATGAGTAGACGGGAACCTTGGAGGAAGCCATTGGCGGGAATGGGCAGTGTGGGTGGTTGCGCTTAGATTTAGGGTGACAGATGCCAGTTCATAGAGTCATATCAGAAGTAATATCCTTATTTTATCCTTATTTAAGGGTTTGTGATATATGGGGAAGAGAGCAAGCTGTCCTTGGGTTGGATTGTCACTTGGCTGCACTAAGCCTAAAATAACACAGTAGTCCCAAGTGGGACTAGAGAGTGCCAAGGACTCCGCTCCACCCTTTCCTTTTCTCCCAGACATCCCCTCCTCTCAACTATGGGATGGCAGGAAGTTTTCCGGTCTGCTGCCGCACCTTCACCCGTGCCCCTTGCAATGCAACATGATTACGGGTTTGCGAATTACAGGATCGTGGTCTACGCTGTCGGCCACCTTGCATGAGATGGTATGTAACATAGCAGGGTAGTTACAAGTGCTGGAGAATCTGCTTGCCTAATTTCAAAGAACCCGTCGATATCCCAACCACTCCTATGTATTTGGACTCTTCGACTTCACTCAGACATCATGCACAACCTTGGCCTTCCACATTGAAAAGTCATCCAGAGCTCGTTTTGGCAGTCAAAATTGTTTTCAATTCAATTGACGATTATATGTGGTACAACTCCCTGGCTGCCAGTCATTGCTTCCATCCAGTGTGCATCTGTCACTCTATGCTCTGCGACTAAGCCTCCCGGCGCAAGGAGATTTCCACCCAGCCTACATGAATTGACAGCAAATGTCAAAAAAGGCGAAGGGAGCCGCATGCGATCTACCCAAACCGTCATGTTCAAGGCATAAAGGACCCTGCTCTTGGTTTGATATACGCCATGAATGTGTTTCCCCAAACCCTTCTCAAGCTGCTCCCTACCATCCGTAACCCTCACACATAGCCAACACAAAGGCATTCCGGGACTTAATGGTATAAACGACAGGAAAATGAAACACTACCTCCAACTTAAGCAGAGCCAACAGACTCCATGAACACGTCGGATCCGATTATCTTGAAGGGGGTCGCTTTTGTTCTTGGAACTTCTACGCAGGCCGCTCTCGGCGAAAAGAAATGCGCGGTAAACTCTGCTGAATCATTCTATGTAGATAGAGATTATCATCTCCCAAAACTACAGAAGGCAGTTTGTTGCCATTGAACTTTACATATAGATTACCCATTCCATCAAGCCACTTTAGCGGCAAGAAAATCTTTGCATCCTATATGTTCCTACGTTTAGATGAAAACCTGAACTACTGAGCTATTCCAGGACCAGAATTGAACCACAACTTGGTACCCTCTTTGCTAAATATTTGATTTTATGTTTTTTAAAAGGGTCAATGAAAGGGAAGTTAGCTATCGGGACCACTTTTATCCGATGCGGCTCCTCACTTCATCTGGATCCAACTCCTAATACTTCCATCCCAACACCGAAGCATTTAATATCTCTTTGCAATGGCGGTCCAAGGGGTGGAACAGACCATCCTTAGGGATCCAGCTCTGTTGTATGTGTTCATCCATATCTTTCCTCAATTGCTATCTTGAACGCTAATCTGGCTCCAAACGATGAAGTTACTGGATCCTCTTCCCTATCACAGTGGTAATGGTAAGGAATGTCCCAGGGGATTGTGGCGTGTCAGAAGCTGTCGCCTTACTCATGCAGCCATCTAATAATTACTCATTGTATTGCTTTATTCTTCTATTCTAATATGTACGTGAAACTCCTTGTTTAGGTGTTGACTGGAATTTTGCGCCACTACGCAACTGTCTTCCTCGCAACTCCGGCCAAAAATGCGTTGACGCCCGCTGAGTCCCGAGAACGCCTGTCGCTCTTGCGCGGTGTCAATCTACGAAATAATGCCTCTGCTGTTCTCACGCCACAATCGCTTGCGTCTCGCAAAAATTTTCTTATTACCTGCTACAAGGAGGGCTTGTTCCTGAAAGACCCAGAGGCACGTGGTGGAGGACCCGTGAACCCCATGACAGATCCTGCAGGCATGGATGCGATGATGGGCATGATGAAGGGTAATATGGCAATGATGATTCCGCAGACGCTCATTATGGGGTGGATTAATGCATTTTTTTCTGGATTCGTTATCTGTATGTTTTGCACTTCTCTCCCTACTTATCCAGGAATGTTGCTAGTTGCCTGCAGAATGGAATATGGAGGGACGCGGGGACTTACGCTAACTATTCATACAGTGAAACTGCCTTTCCCTTTGACTATTCGATTCAAGTCCATGTTACAATCCGGGGTTATGACTCGTGATCTTGACGTGAGATGGGTTTCAAGTTTGTCATGGTATTTCCTGAATTTGTTCGGCCTGCAACCTGTTTTTGGGTTTATCCTGGGCGGCGATAACTGTGAGTGCTATATCTTGTTATATTTTTCTTCCTTGTTTTTTTCTTCATTCTACTATTCTCCTCAAGCTCAGCTATTTATTAGCGAGCGCTCTTGCTAATTGCACATACGTACTAGCTGCGAACCACATGACCGAACAGATGTCCCAGATGAATCCCAATGCGACTGCGAATCCCTTCGGACCTGGCCAGGACCCCGATAAACTGTTCTTGGCAGAGGCGGAAAACCTCGAAGTCATGGAACATTACTGTATTCTTGATGGCATTGAAGAGAGATTGTTACAGAGAGTTGGATAGAAATGATGATACGATGATGTATTATATTATTGAAATTTATCAGAGCCGAGAGACAGTTTATTGTCTAATCTTGATATATTTATTATGTCTTAGGAGCGTTTCTTGAGATGAAATAAAGATATGTACAGAAAGTCCTATAAAATTAGGAATGTCCATCCGTAATAATAACCGTGTCCCATCCCTTGCATCCGTTTACTCAGTAGCCATGTCATATTAAGTCCCTAGCAAATGTGAAATTGAGAAAACCAGTCTCAGGTATCAAAACAGAATGAGGAAAGAATCCCACTGCGCCGATCCCAGTAACATCGTTAATTCGGCCGAGACTCAGAGATAATTTATGACTCGATTGAGAATCCATACTTCCCCGTTAGACGCCTGAGTCATAATCTTCATAACCTCGATTTTATCAGGATAAATCTATCCAGCCATTAGTAAACTGTCAACTCAATGAAAAGAACTGAAACGAAGATCGGAACACGCACATAAACTTTCCCATCATCTTCCTTTTTCCAATAAATCGCGCAACCACCGACAGTCTGAACTGTCTCCTGGGACGGCCACGGGCACATTGGTACAATGTGTGCTTCAACGAAATGCTTTAGATTCTTTTCCGCTCTCGCTTCCCCTTCCTTTGACGTATACGCTGCTTCGCCAAAGTCTCGATAATCTGCTGGATCCTCCCAAGGTTTGCGGGGCAATCCATGGATTGCAGAATTCAACGGAGCTAGCACAATACTATTCTCCGTCCCATTATTGAAACGAGTGGAGACGGCCTCGATATCCCTGGTGAGAGAGGAGAAGATGTTGACTTCTCGAGTCTTCGAGAGGATGTCGGAGATGTATAAGTGTGATTGCACTTTTTCATCAGGATCTTTGCCTTTGCCCTGTGGGCGCTCGTTGTTGTCCTCCATTACCATTTGGTCTTGAGGCGGGAGGAGGAGTGTGAACGAGTTTGGGATTGCTTCAAGGCAAGTGGGGATTTGCAAGTTTCGCGGTAGGAGACGGCGGCGACTGACGAAATTCTCGAGATGGACGCGGACAGCGGATACACTGAAGGAAATTGATAATAGAAGGACAAGAAGGCGATACTTCATAGTTATCAGTGGATGGAGTCCGAGGACTCGGCTTCGAGGTGTAATTTCTCATAGCCTTGAAGAGAGTGAATGATATCATCACAAGATGGTTTGACTATCGCAGGATCCATGGATGTGCCAGTTGATAGAGCACGTGATCTACATTATTTGATGAGTGATTACATCATATGGCATGAAGTTTGTCCAGGCGGCAAAAGAGCTCTCGCGCCGCCAGTGCTATACTGGCAGAGAGGAAACGAACAATCCAATCCAACAGCTCTAACAGTTTTACAAACGATCTAGTTTTCCTTTTTTCCTTTTTTTCCTTTCTTTTTTTGGACGCAGAGTACTTAACTAGAATCAGGGCTGTAAGTTTCATCAGGTTTTTACTTGGCTTTTATAACATATTGTGGGGCTCAACACGCATGGAGCAAGCATGTTGGCGCAGCGGAAGCGCGCCGGGCTCATAACCCGGAGGACCTTGGATCGAAACCAAGACATGCTAGAGCAATAATTTTTGTATTTTATTTTACGTTCTTACATTTTCATCACTGAAATATACTGTTTGATTATTTCCCCTCGTTTTCTATAATTTCTTTGTTCCTACGACTAGGCCAAGTGTATGTAGGTATAAAAATCCTATGAGAATGATGGTAACACGTGATTGTTATCGATAAACGAGCATCTCTTGGCTCAAATCGTGAACAGCACCCTATCTTTGTGACAATTAGATTTCGCCGCCGCTGTGCCGTCATTGAGAATCCCCAGCAAGATGTCTGAACTGCAAGAGTTTTTGCTAGTGGTCGAGGATAACAGAGAGCAGGCTCTGGGGATTGCTAGTATCGCAGCCCAAAGTAAAGTCTTTCCCATTAGATTCTCGATTTGCCAGGATCCAGAGTACTGACAGGCTTTTGTATTTTAATTCGGATTGTTCTTGCAGAGCTTGAAAACAAGCAATCAACTTTGATTGGTTTAGTTCAGTCTCTGGGTGAATATATCAATGACGAAAATCCTGCAATTCGGGGGAAGGTAGTTTCATATTTGACAGCGGTCATAAAAGCGCTCTCGCCGAATTTCCTTTCCCGCCAACAAATACAGGCCCTGACAGACTTCTACTGCGACCGAATTGAAGATGGAGGGGCAATAGCAGGTCTGGATAGGCTTCAAGGTCTTGAACGTTTTACCAAAGATATGACTGGGAGGGTTATACGATCGTAAGTGCGTCAATGAATGATGATCCAAGGCCTACTATTTTATATAGGTCGGTGTTTGGGTTGGCAAATATATTTCTTGGGGAATGCTCACATACGTCCAGAATTCTCCAGCACTTTCCAGATTTACAGACTCGCCCACAGTCCCAGCGTTTCCAGCTTCTCCAGCTTCTTAATGGCTTAATGTCAAATCACAGGACAGGTACGAGCTTACCCCGCAATCGAGATTTTCAGAGAGTCGCTTATCAAAACACACAGCACTGCGAGATATGGGCGACGAATCGCTAGTTGGGATTGTTGACCTTGTGAGCGGAGAGAGAGACCCAAGGAATCTCATGCTCATTTTCTCCATTCTTAAGGTCCCTATGGTGGAATGGGATATATCGAACCATGTCCAGGTTGCGCACCTGACCACTAAACTGCACGTTGAACTTCAGAGTTGGCTAACGTCACGTATATAACAAGGCCCTTTTTGATTCGGTATACAATTATTTTCCCATCACATTTAAACCTCCGCCAAATGATCCATACGGCATCACAGCCCAAGATTTAAAGACCCGTTTGCAGAATTGCATTTCGTCAACTCAGCTTTTCGCGCCTTATGCGTTCCCTTCACTATTGGATAAATTAGATTCCACATCGCTGAATGTGAAGGTTCGTGGACGTCTGATCTCCTTATCATTCAATACTGCTAACAACGCTGCAGAAAGACGCCTTGAACTCGCTCTATGCATGCATATCCTCATACGACCCGGTCACTGTGTCGCGCTACTCGATAAGCGTATGGGATACTTTGAAATTTGAGATTCTCCATGCGCAGGAAGAAATTATTGCGAAAGAGTCATTGAGAGTGCTTCAATGCCTAGCAAGGCGACTTTCCACCATTACCACGAAATCCCAAACTTCCGCTCTCGTACAATTTCTGAAACCAATAACGAAGGAATGTAATGAACAGCTACGCGAACCACAACAGAAACAAGCTCAACCAGCGCGACAAATCCTGAGATCACTTTCATCTGCCTCTTTGACATCCTTTACACTGATTATTCAGGACGTCATTGTACCGTTACTTACTGTTTATCAACATGCTGATGGAATTGCCAAACAAAGAGGTCTCCTGGAGACTTTCGTTGTTCTATTTGACTCCGCCATTGATATTCTTGGAACATGGACTACTCCTGGATCAGATTTTCCGCAGGAAAACCCTTTCAGCCCCTTTGAGGAGCGTTTACTTGAAATATTCAGCCAAGCGCTGATGGGGTCCGCGAAGGATGAGACCTCGTTCCGGCTTACCTCCATGCAAGGCCTGCTTCGCCTATCCATCCTTCGAGGGTTCTTACAGGATAACGAAATAGGCCTTTTTGTACAGTATCTCGATGAGATTTTGCTGACGGAGACATCGGGAAAACCCGAGCTCAGGAAGGCAGCAATAGACGCTCTGGCTGGAATATCGGAACACAAACCGCGCCTCATTATGGATATCTCATTTCCAGCTCTCATGGCTATGCTTCCAGATTCTGACAAAGGTGTAGATCCTGTATATCTCAGTATTCTTGAAATCCTTGCTCAGATCAGTATTGGGAAAGACATATTCGAGACCCTCGTCCGACGCCTCTTGGGTAGGTTGGAGATTTTACTACAGCCCGGAAATACAAGCACTTCTGCATACCCCCGTGCGATTTTGTTGACGATACTCTACGCCATGGATCGAAAAGGTTTGGAAAATGACTCTACCATTGATTATTATTATGATCAGATACTGGTAAAATTGAGTAGGCGAGCGGCTATTGCAACTCTCGAAAATGGTACTACGACAGTTATGAAAGACCCGTCCGTTCTTGACGTTCTTGGGCGTCTATTCAATCTCATAGTCCGGTCTCTCCCTCTCAAGAAACAGGATGAAGTTTGTGAGAATGTTTACAGCCTTTTTGCAACAAATGACGACTTTGTTCCAGTCCCATTTTCATCAAATGTCACACACCTTCGACGGCAAACCATGATCCTGTCAACTTACCTTCTTGCTGGACTACCCAAAGACTCTAAGCTACCATACACGACGCCCGACATGACACACCTTATTAGGGAATTAGTCCAGCATATTATGGTCGAAGAAACCCCCTCTACCCATCTAGCACTCGCACGTCATCTTGCCCTCCTCGTCAACAAATTCCTACCAACTACGCAATTACCGACCGCTTCCTCAATTCTCTCATCCCTAATCCAATCCCATTCCACACCCATGCCAAACGAAACACTCTCTCCAGCCAAAATCCGCACAATATTTTGGTTATCCAAAGCATTGGTACTCCGCCTCGCGCCTTCAACTCCCGAAATACTCAACTCACTCTTAATTCTCCTCTCGTCGTCGGACGCTCAAACGAGCACAATCTCTGCCCGAGGGTTTTCCCTCCTCCTAAGCCCGGATGATGTCCTGTCAACCAGAAACGGTGCTGTCATCCGGCTTCTTTCCAAACAACGCGTTTTTTCCACTCTTATCCCTCTAATCTCCAAAAACGTGCGAGAACTTAATACTGGCGCAGCCGACGCATCCCGAACTCCACCCCATACAAAACAAGCCTATCTCACAGCTCTGTCTGGTATTCTCTCCACCATCCCCTCATCTCTCGTGATGCCAGAACTACCAACTTTACTTCCTCTCCTCCTGCAGAGTCTAGACTTGACCGATCCCCTTTCACAGCCTATAAAAGTCGGAACCCTGGAGACACTAGCTGTAATAATTCGCGATAACGGTGTCAGCGTAATTAGCGAAGTGGGCTATGTGGATGATTTGGTGAAACGGTTGTTGAAGACAGCCGCACATAACACCACAGTGTCAACATCAACAGCAACGCCAACAACAACAACCACCGCCGCAACTAGCTTCACCTCAACGCCAAACTCCCCACGCATCCGTGCACAATCACTCCAGTGTCTCTTGCTCCTCGCGCAGACGCCTGGCGTTTCGGATTCGATTTCACCAGGAGCCAAAGCTGCTGGCGCGAAACCGTCACCATTGCTTCCTTTGAAGAGCGTGGTGTTGCGTTCCTTGAAGTTTGCGCTTGATGACCCTATACGGGACGTGCGGAAGGCCGCGGTGGATGCGAGAGCGGCATGGCTGAGAGGGGTGGAGGATCTAGCGGGCGACGAGGAAGATTAATGGAATCCTAGACACGTCGTTTTAGTTAAGAAATGGAAGAAAGGCAGGAAAGCCAGGAGCGGAGCAAGAGAATGAATCAAGAGACTCTTTTTGGATGGGGAGAATCGTCTATAAGGAGCTTAGTCATTATAATTTGTTGTTCTAAGCTCGATGCTCCATTTAGCATCTCTTGAGGCCTTCTTTCTTTGGAGAGTTAGATTTATATGCATAGCCGGTTCACCACGTCGCACCACTAACTTCGTTTGTATCGTACGTACTTTCGGACTAGTAACCTTGGATGAACTCTCGTAAAATGTTCTCCTTACCCCGGGATTTGCTCAGAACACATCAAGGGGGAAGGGGAAGGATAGATCTCGCACCATCAGCTTCCGAGTTATAGCGAATCTATGGGGCATTAAACTCAAAGCAAAACACCCAGATGAAAAATTCTCAGGCATGGCACTTTTCACACAGAGTACTACCTAGGGAAGTTAATCAAGTATCTAAATCATGTCAGGGTTGGTACAGAATGAATTACAATGTCAATTGATGATTTATGCCCTTCTCCTGATGCGTCGACAACATGGATCACCCATATATATATAGCATTAAAAAAGGGTAGCAATATATCAAGCATCCCCGCTTTCAGGCTACTACAGGTCCCATTAGAACACGAAATTTATCTCATGTACTGAATAAAATCTGCGAAGGAGTTGAATTTATCTATTAGAAGTCACAATTTTCTTCCGAGCACAAGCGAGCGAAAGCTTCAACTTTACCAATAACCATCCGGCACCTCCGCCGTAGCCATTGATCGTGCAGCCACGGACGCTGAAACAGCTTGATCTATTTTCAGTCCTGCTTGGGCCTCGGGGCCAAAATTGGCCCATCCCACACCGTCGATCTTTTCAACAATTCTATTCGCAGCTTGGAACAATTCGCTCACGTCCTTGGAGCTGATTTCTGCTATGGGTAGCTCCGGGGGGTTCAATACTGCTGGGTGAATCTCTGACTTTTTGGCAGTGTTTGTATCACTGGCAGACCGCTTTTCATTCTTCACTGGGGGCTTGAAAGTGGACCAGGAAATGTTCGTGTCGCCGAAATCAAGATATTTGTTGGAGCGCAAGATCTCTTCGATTGCTGGGTTAATAACGGACATCTCATACCATAACCTGTGGTCATCTACCATACTATCAGCTGATATTGCTCGCGCACGTACGACCGTGTTATCATCACCAGAGTGTGCTAAGAGAAGATTTTGGACTTCGGTGATCTGGAGAAGCGGTTCTTGGGTCCCTAGAGGCATCTCTTGGCCGTTGGAACTACCAAAAGATTCGCAGCATTGATCAGTGAAAAAGGCAGGAGTTTTGTCGTGGATGGTAGCCTTCCTCCTAGTGCTTATGCGTAAGGACCTTGTCTCATGTCTATGAAAGCGGTGGCGAGTAGAACGCTTCGTGAGAACTTTGATGATATGAAATTGACCTCCTTCAGGGATTCGAGTGAAAATTACGATTCTGGACAGGTCGGGCTCGATATACAATTGGTCGATGAGATTTTGGATTGCCTGGTCTATCTCTTCATCTCCTCGAATGTATTCAACTGTTCCCTTCACCACGCCCCTCATATCCCAGGTTTGCGCTGCGCAGTGGACATTAACCGTTCCCAACACATATTCTGGTCTGTTTACAACTGCCCTCCCAGATTCATCAATACTAACAACAAAAGTCTCATCGTTCTTAGTTGTGCAGTGGAATTCATACCAAACATGACGACTCACGACTTCCTCGGAAAACATTCGGCATGAGAAATCTCCCTGGCTTTCAGGTAAGTCGAGAACAAAATCGACGTCAGCGCCAGATGTTGTTAGCATGTTGGTGAATATTGTACTAGGTGTTGGGAGGTTATTCTTGGGTTGAAAATGGCGATTCCAGGTCTTGGTATCGAAGATTACCTCCTTACACTCTTCGATAAGCGATCGACTTGCAAGTATTAGGCCGAACTGAATTTCAAGCGAAATTGTTCCTGGGAAGCATCGAACTCCATTTAGAACTCGACTAATGTGCTGAAGGAAATCGTTGAGGGTAACCGCACGTTTTTCATCTTCGTCCGCCTGTCGAGCCTTCTTCCATTCGCTTAATTGTAAGGATTTACTAGAAAGATTAGAAGAACAGGGGGTTGATGCTTTTGAGAGCATCGAAGGGACGACTGAAGTATTAAGGATGTTATCCTGGATTTCCACTTTGTTTTTGCGATCCTTTCCCGTTCGAGAATTGTTTCCAGCCTTCTGGCCCATAGTCCGATGGAAAACACGATACTCAGCCTCGCGGATTCTAGGATTGTTTCCAGCCAGCGGTGCCTTTGCGGCCCCCAGTCTGCAGCGATTTCCATTCCCTTTTGCTTGTTCGGAGTGATTTTCTTTCATGGCCAAATCAACCCTCGCCTTTATGGGGACTAGAGGAACTTGATAGTATGATATTGAATGTGTATTTGGCCCTGATGACGTCGAAGTATCATTTAAATCAATGAGCTGTGTTAGTTCTTGTTGTTCAATGGGCTTAGGGCTCCGGCTCTTTCTCTGACAACTGTCCTCAGTGGAGGAATTAAAATTCGCAGGCAGCCGAGGGGCCCGTTGGGATGTATAATCTTCTTTTGTTATGCTTTTGCCGTGCTCAATTCTTGAGGTCTCTGTGGGCAACAAAGGCTTTGAGAGCCCGATGGGTTCAGAAATGCCATCTTCTGCACCCATGATGATTGCCTTGCGTCTTTTGATTCCCGGTGGCAGAATTGGCAGAGCCGGCTCTGTAGCAGGGTTTGGAGGAGGCATGCCGCTAGGTTCCGGGACGTTTGGCCTGACAGCTCCGGCCTCAACTTCCGCGGCCCAGTTGTCGACAAATGATGCCTTTTCCCGGGTCAGGAAACGATGCTTGCCAGCAAGGGCACCTGCTACCAGAGCAGTTGGCCGTTCAATGTTGATTTTCAACTGGCTCTGCTGAACGGAGCTTCCTCCCTCGGGGACGCTGTCTCCAAACTGAGGAGCATTGAACGAGTCCCCCAGGCCCTGGTATTTGAAATCAGCCCACAGTTTGGACCGCCCTTTGGTGAGCTTCGTTGGGCGCGGCGGCTTCCTGAGGTTGATAGGGACCATCAGGTCCTGACTCTTCGAAGTTCTTGTCACTATCACAGTGACAAACATCTTGGAAAGTCGACCGATATCTTTCCTCTCCGGATCGACGAGAATGCGACAAACTGCCTCTCTATTCAACTCGTTATAGGAGGAGAGCTTTAGACTGTATTTCGTCTCCGGGGACACATTCAAGATGTGTGAGATTTGAGGCGTAATTGAAAGAGACTACCGTCTGTCAGCATTGGTACCGCAGTGGGGAGGGGACATAGTAGACCAAAGTGGAATGCAAACAAAGGAGGAAGCTGAAGCAAAGAAACCAAAAAAGAGCCACCAGAACCTGACAACGAGTAGGTTTCAACAATAACACATGCAACATAGCGTATACCAATTCAGGAAATCGTAAACATAGGGGCCATACTAGACAAGAGTGCAAATTAGAAATCCTATTCATAGCGTCCTCGACGATGCTACTATCCACAAAACTGGAAACACGGATTCTGTCATTCGACTCCTCGAAGACAATGTCTGCTCCAGAAATCCTGGAAATTCGTCGATGGCGTAACGAAACTTCTCAAAGCCACCTGTGGTCCCAAGTCCGGATTTCCAGTACTTTGTGGTAATCGGAATCTTGGTCTCT